AAGTGGAAGTGGAAGTGCGCGTACAGGAGGTCGATTTGCAGATCCTGAGAGTCCAGCTGGCTCGAACGAAGCTTACCAACAATATCAGCGCTCTCAACGTGCAGAACCGGCTGATCCATTCATTGACAATGTTCGTCAGCGTCGAGGAGCTGCTACAACATCCGCACCATCTTCATCTCAAGCACCAGCCGTACAACCTGCCTCCCCAAGTACTTACTACCAACAACCTGAAGGTCGTCCAAGTACTCAAACAGGCAGGACCGAAGGACAGTATGATGGATCAAACAGTGATGAGGAATATGAGGTTGATGAGCAAGGAAGATACGTTCTTGACGCTGCTGGGAACAGAATTCCGTACTCAAATGACGATTCTGATGACGACACGGCTGAGTATGAGCACAGTCCTCGTCAACACCGTCAAGGTCGTGCTCCAGTTACTGGCCCTCCCATTCCAATGGCTGGCGTTGAGTACGGGCAGGGTCCTACAAATAGCACAGCTGGCAACCCAACTTCTGCTCCCGCTGCTCCAGTCGATTACACAGGATCTGGATATGGTGCGAGTGGCTCCGGTGCAGGTTGGGAGTCCTTTCCTCGTCATCATCATCCAACTCGTCTCAGTGACGTCTTGGAAGAAGATGAGAGGAGCCGTACCAGTGCTAGCCAAGTCAGCCGACGCGAATAGACGACCTGTAATGATTATATCATTCTGATTTTTCAGTGGTTCTCCACCGAGAATCTGTCATCACATCATCGTTGGTTCGGTTTGCTGAATTTTTCTTTTTTGGTTCTATCTACACGAGATGAATCAGTTCATTGAGGTAATAAAATCCCTAGAAAGGGTACTCCATAGGCGTACTCACTTCAAGGGAATGGCGTCCTATTTTTGCCTTATTTCTGTTCACTTTCCTATCTAATAGAATATCCCAGGAAAGAACAGAATGGATTAGTTCCCTGGGAAATGCATATGCATGGAACTGGCGTTGCAAAGGAGTTTTGGTACATTGATTTGAGCGAAGAACGAGCATATTCGAATCGATGCATCGAGCAAGAGAAAGGGACGAACCCTTTTAATGTACCTCTGTAAGATAGAGGAAGAAGCTGCATATAGTACTCACTAGGAGTTACAAGAGCAGTAAAGATAGTGAATAATTAAAGAAAATTTAATAATATGACTAAAATCCGTTGAAATGTAATCTTATATGCTTGTAGCGAGGGGGTTGATCTAAGGAATCCAAGATGAGACTAGATGACGCTGTTTTAACTAAAATAATTTGTTTTGGTGGAGGTCGGAATTATACTAAAGCGGCGTCCTAAAGGTGGGCTGATTGATCTGAAGCTCCAAATTTCAAGCAAGCATCATCAGTTCATCATCGCTTCCCCTCCCCCAAGCTTTCTACATTGTGACTACAGTAATCATGTCAAACGCCATATTACCCACGAGTAGGAATATGCTCTCTAGAATCTCGAGAACTGGTGTGAAGAATGCGCAAACATTCGGGCTTCAATGTCAACGATTATCAACGATTTGCGCTTCGAGACTCCCAAGGGGTGTACAGGATAAAGCTTGTTTGAGCGGAGTGAAGGGATTGAATGGGTTGACTGAATCTGCCAGTGCGGAGGTGAAGAGTACGGGATTGAGAATGGGTGAGGGAGGTGCGGGAAGGAGGGGGTATAAGACGGTGCAGGAACAGAGATCGAGATATAAGTCTGGGGTAGGGAGTTTCCTTTCTTTTTTCTAGGCGGATGGGTGGATGGGATTTTAGGAATGGGATTGGATAGGGGTGGGAGATTGCTTCTGCCTAGGAAGAATGATGCTTTTATTGAATCCTATTCATAATGTGTTATTGAGGAAGAATGATTGCTAACGTATTATATCTGGAACAGCCTTTTTCATGGACAGCAGGAGTCCTTTTTCTTGGAGCAGGCGCGGGACTAATATTCTATTTCCGATATGAAAAAGCGAGGATGGAGAGGAAGAGGATAGCAGAAGCTGCAAAAGGTGTAGGGAGACCAAAGGTTGGCGGACCGTTTGAATTGCTCGATCATAAGGGAGGCAAATTCAGTAGTGAGGATATGAAGGGAAAATATAACTTGGTAGGTTTTTCTTTTCTACTGCGCAATTGAAGGGACGCGAAAGAAGGAGTTATGAAGGAGAAGAATAATGCTAATGTATAACTTTAAATAGGTCTACTTCGGCTTTACCCACTGTCCAGACATCTGTCCCGAAGAACTCGACAAAATGGCACAAATGATCGATCTCATTAACAATTCTCCCACGCGCACTGCCTCTACCCCCGCTCTCCTCCCTATCTTCATCACCTGCGATCCTGCGCGTGATACGCCTGCCGTGCTCGCCACCTACCTCGCGGAATTCCATCCTAGTATCATTGGGCTCACGGGCACCTGGGAACAGATTAAAGATATTTGTAAGAAATATCGCGTGTACTTTTCGACGCCGGAGGGCGTCCAGAAGGGCCAGGATTATTTGGTCGATCATAGTATTTATTTTTATTTGATGGATCCCGAGGGCGATTTTGTGGAGGCGATTGGGCGACAGCATAGTCCTGAGCAGGCGGCCAGGATTATTCAGGAACATGTAGGGGATTGGAAGAGGTGAGGTGGTTGGTGGGTTGTATGAATTAGATAGGTAGGAATGATGCGTTTGTGTGAGGTATGCTGGATGTGGGAAGGGGAGGGGATATGAATTGTGTTACTATTAGATGGATGGGCTTTAGAGGCCGTGTATATGAATATTTAGCTAAGAGTGTAGGGAATAATGAAAGCGAACGCAGCTCTATATATGCATCTACTAGGTATATGATATGATACCTCTACTGGGAGGTAATGAGAGAGTAATGGTCTGTATCTTATTCTGAGCATTTTCAATGGCAAGTTTGCTATGATATACTCGTATCATCTGGGGTGTTTGGTTTTGTGTTCGTGTTCTTTAATGTGTGTGTATGCGTATATGTATTACACTGTGAGGAGAGATGCTTTTGGGGGGTGGGAAACGAATAGAACAAGTTGGAATAGAGGAGGTGAGATGATGGGGTTTGATGACGTTGGTGGGTAGCTTTATATCTTTCTGGGTTGGTACTGAGGTTGTATCTTGGGAGGGGCAGGCGGAGGGAGGAGGATAAGGAGTTCAGGGGAATTGGTTTTTGTTTTGTTTTTTGTTTTTTTTTTTTGTTTTTTTTTTGTTTGGGGGAGTTTGAGGGAGTTCTGGTGAAGGGATTTGGAGTTCTTGGATCTGCGGTGTTTGGATCAGGAGCGGCTTTGGAGATGGAAGATGGAAATGGAATGGGTTTATATTGTTGGAGAGGGGTGCGAGGCTAGTGTGTGTGATGTGGAGAGGAGGGAAAGGCGAGGAATTTTTGGGTGAAGAAGAGGATTAGGTACACTCCTATGTGGAACAGTTTCCAGACTCATTTGCTACCCGCATGAACCTTGCTTCAATTCCTAAATTTCAGAGATTTCATGAGATGGATATTAGAGAAGTGTTGTCTTGTTGATCTCTGAGATCAAGTTGGTGTCTGGGTTTCTGAATGGGGGAGGGGGGATTGATTTCTTTGTGGAAGGTGAGGAGGGTGAGTTGGTTTGGGGGGTTGGTCTGGGTTTGCTTTCGTTTTTTCTGTTGTGTGATCTTGTTCTTCTTCTTGTTATTCTGCGCGTTGTGTTTTGCGCGGATCTGCAACTGGTGATTTCGCATGATGAGATGAGGCAGGAATGTATTTAGGATGAAGAGGGGGTGGAATGTATTGAGGTGAGCATATGGAGAGAGGCTGGCTTTAGGATAGAGGAGAGGCATCGCGGGTGGATGAAGTCGGAGAGGATTTTGGTTGGGTTGGGAGGAGGAGGGTTTTGGGAAGTGAAAGGAGGATCAAAAGGATAACCAGAAAGCGATAAACGGGAGGGATTGTAGCTTTGAGGGGGATATGAGGGATAGTATTTTGCAGATTCAGAGCTCTTTTCGAACTCCCGTGTGAAGTAGTATTTGTGTATGCTACTTGTGTGCTCTATCAACTTTGAATCGGTCGTTGGATAGATGGTGAGTACCATCAGCTCATCTTTCACTTACTTTGTTCCTAGGGCTTTTTCTCTGTCGAAATTGGCAACTAATCGCTAAGCATTAGGATAGTCTCCAACGGTTGGGTTAGGGGGCTTGGGTTTCTGATGCAAACACAATCAACATTTTCGAGGATGGGGCAGTGAACTTACAAATTTCCGCTCATATGACACTACTTAAGTGCATCTTTCCAAGATCTTGGGTGATGAGAATAGCTACCGGTATTTCACTTGACACGCTTAGGAGAAGGAAAATCAAACATGAAGTGGTAAGTTTTCGTCCACCGGATCGATCATTCACGACATATTATTATATTTCTTCTCCTGAGTTATTGAATCCATGGTTGGCTGTATCGAATTGAAAATTGAAATGGCCTTTTTGCAAACTGACTCCGCCACGCAGTCTCTACTGCGGCTATCTGACTTGAAATTTCAGAGCAGGGCAAGACAACGAGGTGAAATCCTCTAAATAGAAGTTCCTCTGCCAATGGATATGTAGCCATGTTGCAACTCGAATCTTAGGAGCTGAATAGCAGCTGTAAAGTATACTTTAGTCATTTGTTTGCTGTATCTCAAGCAGGCAGTTCAAAGATGCTTTTTTGTTGTTCACTGCGGTTTTTCATGCTTTTGATATTATTATTATTATTTGAGTATGGGAGTTGAAACACTAAGCTGGCTGTGTCATCTCGTGATAGACTTTAAGAGTACATTTGCCATTTCTTTTGAACATTCTGATAGATCCAATCTGAGATAGTCGAGGAAGATCGATTCACTGTTGCTATATCATGGTATGTTTGGGGCAGGGAGTCGGCTGAGAGCCGGCAGTGTATCTGCTGTATTGCACTTCTTCTTTCATTCTCGTATCCATATAAGTTGCTGTCTCGATACCTGTGCTTTACCTACTATATACACTGCACATACTACGAATCTTCAAAATGGTTTCCTCAATTTCTCAGACTTTGGCATTTCTTCTGCTTATCACGCACGCACTCGCTCAAGTTCGCATTCCTATCACGAGGAAAGTTCATGCTCCACATCCTGCTCTCAATCGCCGTCTCTCTAACCGTGACCCTGTCTCTGCATCACTTATCAACGATTTGACACATGCAAACTATGTGATCTCCGTCAAAGTTAGAACTCTGCCTCAGGATGTTGATTTGACTATCGATACGGGAAGCAGTGACACCTGGTTAGTTGCCAATACTGCCGCTTCATGTACTGGTGTTGGGTTACCAGAGAAGAATGGATCTGCTCCAGTCCTGTGCGAGACACCATGTAAGTACTTTCATCATTGTATGGTTTCATAGCCGCTTCAGGGAACACTGCCAGGTTTCATAGTCAAGACGCATCCTCGAAAACATGGGAAGAAATGTTGGATTTTTACTGATATGTAGTAGACAACCCAAACACTTCTTCAACCGTCGAGTTGAACATCACGACTGATAAATTTAACATCGAATATGTGAATGGTGATAAAGCCAAAGGACCTTATATAGCCGACACTCTTGTGCTCGGTAATGCCACCATTAAGTCTCTCCAGATGGGTCTCGCCAACGACACAAACATACAACTTGGATTACTGGGACTTGGTTATTCTATCAGCGAGGCCTCTGATACCATATATCCAAATATCATAGACGAGCTGGTCTCCCAGCATCTCATCAGTACCAGAGCTTATAGTCTCTATCTAGATTCGCAAGACTCGGCTACTGGATCCCTTCTTTTTGGTGCAGTCGATACCACCAAGTTTGTCGGTGAATTAGTGAGCTTAGATATAGTACCTCAACCTATCTGGAATGGCTCGGTTCTCTACTCATCATTTTCAGTCGATCTTGCTGCAGTGGGTATGACAGACCAAGAAGGCAATTCTGCAAACTTGAGAACTTCTCCTCAAGTTGTACTTCTGGACTCTGGAACGACGCTTACCATCTTACCAGCTGAGGTTACGGATGCCATCTTCAAAAGATTCAACGCCTACGACGATACAAACTCCACTGGCAATGTCTACCTCCCTTGTTCAGTGCTCAATACTTCACCTTCTTTAACAGTCGACTATCTGTTCTCCTCCTCTTCCACTTCTGCTATGATTAGGGTTCCTATATCAGAACCTGTATTCCCACTTACAAATCCGACTTACGCTCTGTATCCCGAGGATACTCTCCCAGATTTGCCATTTAGCGGCGAAGCATGTGCGTTTGGCATACAATCGACAACGCGGACTATCATGTGCTTGGAGATACCTTTTTGAGAAGTGCATATGTGGTGTATGATCTGGATAACAATCAGATTGGACTCGCGCAGGCCAATTTCAAGAGTAACGATGCGGTTGCCAGTTCAAACGATGGAGATGGAAATAAGTATGTTGTGGAGTTGAAAGCGGGAGAATCGATCCCAGCTTTAACTGGCGATAGTGTGACGAGTTCGGCGGAACCCAGCCCTACCAGTAGCGCTAGCAAGACTTCGAATACTCCTACTGACACGGCAAAAGCTACAGCGACTGGAAATTCTAGTGGCGCTTTATCGATGTTAAGGAATGTAGACTTCAGGGTCCTCGGGTTCTTCGTACTGGGAGGATTAATTTTAAATGGAGCAATCGTCGCGTGATCATTTCGGGTTCATATTAGAGGGTGGGTGCAACGAGGAAGTAGTATTATTTTACTGGGGAGTGATCAGATATACCAGACACAACGAGCAATATTATTCATTCATAAAAACACAAGCTTCAGAATTATCCGACCTTGGCACTACTTTACACTATGAAATTCCACTCAGAGAGTTCGTGCTAACATGACACAAACACGACATAAACTGTATCATGCCCCTCACCATACCCCTCCAATTCCGATTACCTGCATATGCACACCCCGCTTTCTGTGCATAATAGCTCTCTTTTTGTCGACCTGCGTAGAAGAGATCTTATTCTCACTTCCCATAGGACTGCATAGACAAGGTTTATATTTCTGCGACCGAGCCCAACATTCTTTCATGAGTGGTGCTGGCAAGTACTCCTCGGTTGTATGTATCATTGTTGATGATGATGTCAAAGACTATTGTCCGTTAATGGTTGATACAATTATATGATATGAAGAAATGAAGTAAACATTTGCTATTATTCTCGAATAAAACTGCAAAGAAAACTTTTTCGTAAAATTAGCTATATTTTCAAGCAACATTCTTCTTGAAGGTCTTTCTTGACTGTTTCGCTTACGGCTCGCATCTAAGCATCGGAAAACGTTTGCGTCTTCTGTCACAGAATCGAAGAAGCATACCCAACCGAGAAACCATCATGACTTTTCGTGAAACTCCCAAGGTTGCGCTTATTACAGGGACAAATGGAATTTCAGGATCCGCCTTGTTGAGACAACTTTCGAAGAATCCACTCTGGTAAGTATCCAGTCAGGAGGTATCTTTCAACCTCGAAACAAATACAATGTCCTTATTATCCCATTCTCTCTATCCCGGCATCGAATATTGAACTAAAATCTTCACTTGATACTAGGGCCCGTATCATTGCACTTTCACGCTCCCCACCCTCCAATCTCCCTTCCGACCCCCGTGTTGAATTCCATTCTCTCGATCTCACAGCTACTGCTGGTGAAATTGCCGAGGCTTTGAGTGCTAAAGAACTTACGAATGTTACGCATTTCTTTCACTATGCCTACATTCATACCGACTATGACCACCCTAACCACTTAGAAGAGATGACCAAGAATAATGTACCCCTCTTCACCAATACTCTCACTGCTATCGATCTCACTTCTCGTAATAGTTGTAAGTATAATCCCCATTCAATTTGGCTCTTCCGTCCCAACGTTAGATTCATTCGAAAGTTCTACACTGCTTCAGTGTCATCCAACGGCTCTTTCACACCAATCTTGGCACTCAAAGGTTGACTTCCTAATATAGTGCAACGTGTGGTTCTCCAAACCGGAGGAAAGAACTACGGTTTACTTACCTCCGCACCCGCCTCAGTGCCCCTAACCGAAGATGCTCACCGGGTGACCGATCCTCGTTCCCGTAAGCTTCAAAACCCCACCTCTACCTTTTTTCGACTTCAAGCTCGCATTTCTTCCAAACACACGTGCATATCATTTACCCGCAAAAATCAATTTCAACTCTGAATATCCCAAAACTTTTCTAATGAGTCACTAACTTATCATCATCCTAGTCCCCAACTTTTACTACCACCAAGAGGACTTTCTCTGGTCACTCGCCGAAGAACGTTCTTGGAACTGGAATATCACAATGCCGTTCTGGATATCAGGGTATGTAGGAAAATCTGGAAATAGCTGGGTCACATCCGCAGCCGTCTACTTTAGTCTCTGTCAAGCCCTCAACAAACCCGCCATTTTCCCCGGAGGAGAAGATGAGTACTATGGGAAATGGGACAAGGGACAACACTTCAGTACGAGTTGGGTAATTGCGGAATTCACAGAATGGTTGTCATTAAACGAAGAGCCTACAGTGAAAAATCAGAAATTTAATATTGTGGATGACACGATTACTACGTTTCAAGATGTCTGGGAGGGACTTGGAAGGTATTTTGGGGTTGAAACGAAGGTGGAAAGGAAATATGATTTGATGAGTGACGTGAAAGAGATGGAGAAAGAATGGCCGAATGTTTCAAGAAAATACGGAGTAAGAGACGATGCGTTGAAGATTGTTACATGGGATGCGTTTGTCCATGCGATGGACGCTGGGGAGTGGGGAAGTGTGGTTAATATGGATAAAGCAAGTAAGGCAGGGTGGACGAAGAAGGTTGATACTATTAAGGAGATGGAGAAGATATTTGGGGAGATGAAAAATGATGGATGGATTCCGAATGTCTGAGGGGAAATTCGGCCCAAGAGATTCTTCATCGTCTAGAAATATACCTCGTAGATTAATTTAATTTATGTTCTTAGTTCACATATTCAGTGCAAAAAATCACGATTTGTCGCTTCCTCGGATTGAAGAATTTTGCACATACTTTGAAAGTTGAGATAACGCCCTGAGACGCATATTGCCAACTTTGATATTAGCAATTTCAATTTTCAAGGAATACATTAGAATCTTCAAAGGTTTTGGATGACACTGTACAGGTCGACAAGTGGCAAACTACCAGTCAAACTATACTGGATTGTCATGTTGTCATTCATAGCCTGTATGTATATGTCTTGTTGATGGTTCCATAAAATCCAATGTTCACTGAAGCTGGAATATTTTACATTGCCCCTACTTCTGGTTCTTCTCGTGTGTTGAAAACTTCATATGGCATTGTTTTCCTTAGTACAATTATTCTAAACATTTGATACATGCATTTAGATACCATACATATACTAGTTCTTCAAGATTGTTGTATTCCAAACCTAAGTGGCATTCGCGGCTCAACGCCCCCGCTAATTTTTATGGGTAAATTCTTCATCTAAGGTTTGTGGATGGCATTTTTTCCAACATAAAATTCGCCTCCGGGGTGTAAGTTGCCTATCCTTTTTGTTTCCTGGTGTTTCTTCACTTGAATAAAAACTCCACCGAGATACATTGACTTGATGGTCCCGAAATTGCCTCCCAAAACTTGGATTTGATACAGGCTGATGCTTGCCTGTTGAGCTTCAACTTCTCAGGGACCATAATTAGTGAAGCTGATTCAGAAACTTAAACGTATTATGACTCAAAGCGGCAGAAGCAATAATATTGACCGATTAGAATCAGCGCACTCATTCGCAAGCTAAAATCAAAAGATGTCCCCCCAAAAAGTAAAGATTAATTGCATATGTATATGAGCAAATGATGCATTTCGGGAACCCGCATTCATGATCCAGCAGTCCGCCGCAACCAGCTCATACTGGATAAAAATTCTGTAGTAAAAGCACTAGCTTCACAAAACACATCTCAAAGAACCAATCAATAGTAATGATTTCCTTGTTCTCGTCATCGAATTCCCAGAAACAATAAACTGTATTGAAATTCGACCTAGTATTGTCGCGGCACTGATCTTTACAAACATTGATCTTGCCATTGGGAAATATTGCCACCCCTAGCGATCGGAATGAGTTAGTGGTAACCATTCCACTAGATAGATAAGCTATTGATTAATTCTGTATACCCACGTAGCAGAATGCATCCACGTCGTCTTCCGAATGTCGAAGTACTATTGATCGATGTGACAAAAGTTCATTTGAGTATGTAGGGAAGCAAGAGTGCTCCACTAATGAGAGAACCACTGAAGATCTTGGTTCAACACCACCTTCAATTGGGACGATAAAAGACATATGGGAAGATAGCCCGATTGAAGGCTTCTTGAGAAGTTTTATGTATAATGTCAAATGTTGAGAAGCACGAGCCTAGCCTAGTTTCATCAGCCACGTGATTTGAGAGAAAGCGATGTATGTAGGCTCAGGTTGGGAAGTGGCGATGAATCTTATCACATCATAGTTTCTTGTTGGCTGGTTCAACGCTTGTCAATTTGCAGCAGGTACTTAAAGGCAGGTACCTAGTATATATACGATAAATGGTTAGGAACATAAGGGCATATGCAAGATGAAGACAAAATGCTCCGCACGGTAGCACGTACCCGTTCATGAGAACTCACAGCTTTTTTTCTTTTCTTGGCCGTTTGCTATGTTCCATATATATTGATCAACGTCTCTAGAATGTCTATTCACCTGCCGATTAGCAACCTCACCGCCGTTTCATTGGTACGAAGAACACTTGCGAAAGCTTCAGCATCACATAGTGAATAATTGGTGGTCGAGCAAGAGATCTCAGTGGACCTCGACCTCCCAGCCTAGACTTCCATGGCGTTGGTGTACCTATAGCATGCGTAAGTATACCTGCAAGGTATGAAAGCACCTTCTGAGTTGTATACTTTGGTTGTCTATCTTCTGAGTTTTGATGGTTGTCTATTTTTGACTGACATTATCATCTGGGTCAACATAGCAAGTCCTTGCATAAATCTTCCCGCAATGCAATGTCCCAAGAGATGTTCCAACGAGGATCCAACATTAATGGATTATGGATGGCATCAGCGGAACACCAAAGCTTCCAAACCGTACTCCGTACAAGCAAGCGGCTTGCATTTCTCCACTATCATGTCTCGTTAGCACCTTGTCATCTGCGTCAATACTTACAATCAAAGCGGATTTAGGAGATATGAACGATATCTTGGGCAGTTGCTTGTTCTTACCAACATAGTTTGGACATTTGAACATTTGGACATTACACTACCCAGGTAAATTCAATGGGGTAAACATTTATAAGGTTAGCCCATTATGCACGCCATTAGATCCGGATTTTGGTGGAGCTTTTGTGTGGGGGCTGGTGAACAAATATCACGATACCAACAAAACTACCAACGAAATAGGTATGTATCTATTCCAGAACCGATCAATGAACCACTGGTCGTTCAATGTTGATTTAGTCCTGATAAATTCAGGGCCTGGAAGACTCCTCAAAACAGTGAATGATTACTGCAAGTGTAGATATAATCAATCAATTAGTCTGGGATATGATATACTTACATGTATATATCATCTGTGTGTGTTCCTCTTCCGAGTCTCGTTCGTAACGTATCGTCTTCGGGAAAAGCACTCCAGGAAGCTCGGCTGTAAAGGCATTCTGCATGCCAGCATGGCTGGCTCCAAGACTAGCTAGCCATCCCTAGACGAAAATCACACCTTGCTAGTTCTAGGCGATGACACCGTCATCCAATGATAGAAAAGTGGCCTTGCAAATTATCATTTTATCCATTGTCATATGCAATTCACAAGTGGGAACCGTTTTTATGGCGATAATTTGTGAAGTGAAGAGCGAGTGGAGAATTAGCAAATAAACTACATAGCGGCTGCATGTTTTTGGAGAGAAGCTTCACATGTCTGTTTCTCAAAGCTTACGACTGTACAGTTGTGTGTCTCGTACCATTTCAATTAGTTATATTCTTGAATTTACCATCGGACAATTGTCCAACTGCGGAAATGAAGAACAAGATCAAATTGAGATTTCGGTCACCGGAACATTATGCCGGGGGGGGTAGACGTTTATCATGCTGCCGCATCTGCGCTACGAACTCATTTATGCAGACTATTCTCATGTTGCACTCAAATTTTCTGGACCAGTTATATACTTCATGTCTTCTCTACTTCTATACCTTTCCGCAGTTTCCTCTCCTGTAGTTGTCCGGAATTCTTGTCAGCAATCCTTGCTGCATACATATTATGTATATGCCCCACCCTGGAGCCACACCATAGAATTTGAGAATTAACAAATACTCGTACACTGCACCTGCACAATGGACTCTATTCCTAGTCTTTTAAATAAAGTTCATAGCATGTCACCGAACATCGTTTCTCATTTCGATCATCATTTCACCACCTGATGAACGATTCTATCAAAAACAACGACAATGGGGAAAAGGGACGACATATGTTCCTTCCTTGGATATGAAAAAGATAACCCAACGAAAGATCGTCGGAATCTGTTAAAATCTACTTCTGCGTTTTTGGCCGATTACGAAGCTCGTGGGAACAAGGTTTATGGTAGGAAAGCCGAGTCTATTGGAAGTCGACTGTGTGCTGTGAATTTTCTCGAAGAAGAAGGTAGAGGGGACAGGTTTTGGCCGCCAACATCAGATGGAAGCCTCGTTTACGAACAAGCTCGTGATAAAGAAATGTGAGAGAGGATTTGTTTTGCTTCTTCTATGTCGCTGTATTCTGAGAATTCCGGTTTCTAGTATTATCGATCATGTAGCCGATCTATTTCTCATCCACGCAAGATCCAACTATAGCAAATTGGTATGTACTACTCTTGTCTAAATTTGTTTTATGAAATATGGCACATCTGATGGATGGTCTCGCTTCATTTCTGATGATTTGCGAGCATGTTAATTTCCCGTGCGGGAGCTAACGCCACAATGATGCAGCATGCGAAACGGAGGAGCCAAAAACACAATGCTACCTCCCCACCATCAAATGTTTACAATGAACGTATTAGCAACAAACGCTCGGCCTTGAGTACTCCTGAAGTATTTCTTTCTGTAACACTTTGCCCTTCCATTCAAGATACTAATTGTGCGTACAGGAAGCGTACTTGGAAGATGAAGAGCCACAATTTACTTATAGTTCATCTTTAATGACCATCAAGCCAGAATTATGCCTTACACCATGGTTAGATCCGCCAAAAAGATTTGACCGTAACGTGGCTATGCCGTGGGCAGAGCGTATTGACCCCAAAAATCTTCCAGATCCACCAGTCCGATTGGGAAAGGATTGGTTGTCACAGGTTGTTTTCCTAAAGACCAAATTTTCATGGAGCTAACTTGAACTTAGAAAAGCGTACAATGGCCCAGTGCAGTTGATAAGGAAATTCAGTACTTTATGCATAGATGGTTATTTTATTATACGAATGAATTAGAGAATGGCACAGATGATGGGATTCAAAGCCTCGTGAGCCTCTTGAGAAAGAAAGAGGGCACAGGTGCGGAGCTCGACAGCACGCAACTTCGAGAATTCAGAAAGCGAATTATCGATAGAGTGAGACATTGGACAGAGACATTCATCAATCACCAGTTTGTCGAATTACAAGCCGACGGTGTTCCTCAGATGACCGCAAGATTTCGCGCAATATGGACAACCTTAAAGTATGACGCGCCGACCCCTCGCGTCAGTAATCGCAGACGTAGTGTTGAAGAAGAAATGCCGCCAGAGACCCATCGCAAGCGACGAAAACTTTCGAAGAAATGTGAAGAAAATGCGCTAGATAGTAGTAGATCCAAGAGAAAGCCTTGGACCGAGAATGCATGGAGACGCAAGACAATTCCACCTCCCGCGGACATGACTTTTCCGAATCTGATGTCGAGAAAAAGCTCCAACATCGATCCCGTGACCGTTATGGTGACGACTCGGGCCAGTGTTAACGAAGAAGACAGTGATGAAGAGAGATTTCAAAAGTGCGAAGTACATGATGGGTCTGAGGTATGATTTACGTCATCGCAAATTCCGTTTCCATTTTCGTTATCATCTCTGATCATATTTAGCACACGATCCGAGATTCAAAGATTTCCGTTGAGATACCCTCACCTTCCAAATCTAACAAAGCTGATGTGTTCATCAAGATGGAAGAGGAATCTGCTATAGAGGTGTCACAGCTAGGGACGGCAGTCATCGAAGTATTGGACGATGAGCGATCCAGCGAAGCAACAAAAGTAGTAGTGCCTACTCAAGGGGCAGTCATCAAACCCCCATCTCCAAATCCAGATGATACAATGGCACTTGAGAAAACGCCTCCACATGTGCAGGACAGCATGAAAGGTCCCGAAGCCAAGTCAACTCTTTCATACCAATCAAGCAATACGTCAGAGAGTCGAAATCTCTTATCACAGTCTGACATGCCAGATGCCATTGTCATGCCAAACCAATCATCGAAAATAATCGCAGATGGTCCTCCAAAGGACAAGGTGATCGATGCTCAAGCAGAATTAATTGACTCTTATCAATTATCAACCCAGGTTGAGCATTCGAGTCAACTTTTACAGACTGCAACCACACCTTCGTCTCCAAAAGTCGAAGGAGATCTAGAATTTCGTATCGAAGTGAGCACTCAGCCGACCGACCTTGACGGGAAAGACTTGACCGAAGCGTCCATTCCAAAGCAATTAAAAGAATCGGTCGATGAGCCTCGAATCGCCGTCGCAACGAACCATCAAACTTTGACCGAAATTGAGGATCACAATGTCTCGGATTCTATCACCCCACCAGAGACTCAATCGTCAGAAACCCCAAGAAAATATGGCCCTTTCAACGACATTAAGATTTTGAACCAGCTTTTCTCGACCAATGGCTCCCGAACCACAGATACCCACCGACAGCGTGGTACTTCTAGCATTTCACCAACATCAAGCGCTGATAAGCATACACATGAAATGGACAAGAATTCCTTTCCGACAAACGCAACCCAGAAGCACGTATTGCCACAAGCCTCGTCATCGATCGAACTTGCTCCAAAAGAAGGTTTTGAAAAGCTGTCGGACCAGGGCGAAATACCCATGACTAATAAAGCATCCATGGAGGGTTCAAGTACGTCGTCGCAAAGTGCAAAGACTGACACGCCTCAATCTAGTCATTCCATTCAGATTTCCTTGTTAGATGTTCTAGAAACAAGGCAGAAAGTGTTCGAGAACAATGGTTCTAGTTTGACACGAACCCCCTTGCCGTCAGGTCCATTGACGTCTGAGACCGGTCAGGAAACTTCAAATCTGTTGCCTATTGTCGGGCAAGCTATAACGACCGCATCTGAACACCCCAAACCAAATATATTATCTCAAATACCACCTCGGAATCCTGTCCAGGAAACTCAAGCAGCCTTTCGTGATTCATTGGTTTCAGGTTTCCAACCTATAAATCGGCCGATATCTAGTCTTGCTTCACAAGCTCCCCCCACTCCCATTTCTCATAGTTTTCCGGGTGTACATAATTCATTGATTGCGCCACAAGAACCTCGAGATCAACGACACAACCAGCAGATACATGAGACGCCAAAAGCGAGTGAAGCCATATTCTCACAAAATCATACAAGGGAACTAGGCAGATCATCAGATCCCTCCTGGACCAGGAACGTCAATCTCAACTCATATCCGGTGAACTCTCAGAATGGCGTCTATCCTATGGCCTTTGTTAGTAAACCGACCGCATCAAACGTGTGGATGCAAGAAAACTCCCGAAAAAGGCAGTCAGAGCGAACGTATACCAAGCCTCGGAAAACAAGATCAAGAAAGAAGTCAGCGCCATGCGAGAAGCCGACTACGGATTCTGGAACTCTTCAATACACACTGGCTTCATCAGCTCCCGCGACCCAAAATGTAACGCCTTCTGTGATGCAAACACAATCTCCGCGACAGCCTGGATATGACCAAGAGTGCTCTCCCAAGCCACCACATCCAGAACTCATCACGCATCTGAGAATTATGGACGAAAAGATGGGTACGAATTCTGGAGCATCTTATCAGCACCATCTCAGGACAATTAATTCTCCGATATTCTCAAATCATCAGTTGAATACTCGTGGTCGGAATCTAGATCAGAATTTGGCGACAACCTACGATGCCAGGCAGGAGCAAAATATCTTGAACCCCCTCGTCTTACAAGATAAGATGCATTCAGAGCGAAAGCGATCGTCAGAGGATTGGGATACTACTAAGAGTCCTGTGGGTATGCATCATGCGACTTCTGTTGAGTCTCCAGCACAGTCCCAGCGAGCTTCCAGCATGTCGCAAAAACGACCGTCACTCCCCGAAAATATACAAATCTCTCGCATGGAGCAAGAGAGGTTTCAGCACGGTATGCAAAAAAACAGAAGATTGCCCAATGCTGGGGAAAATAAACTTGACTCTCAAAATGGCAAGCAGGAGATGCCCAACCTTCCGAAACTTGACATACAAATCAAAATCAATCCTGGGGCGACTACAGCTCGGAATCAAGTGCAGTTTAAGGAGACTTTTCAAAGCAGAGCTGACATTGAAACTCGTAATCAGCGGCCCGAATCTGCAAATATGGGTCAGTCCGAATCAGTGCGTCTGCGAGAGACGGAAACGAGGCATGGTGCTCCTATTAGTAGCGGAGCGGGGCATAAGATCTACAAAAGCCCTTCACTGTCAAGCCCCAAGACATCACAATTTCTCAAGGACCTACAGGGGACGCAAGATAGAGTTTATAATCATGTCCAACAGTCAAACTCAGCACAAACCAACCAGCATCTCAACCAACAGTCACAAGGGCCGAAGACTCATAGCCAAATTCAAGTCAACTCTTCCTCTCCAGAACTGTATCGATCGCAGGACCCATGGTGGAACTCGTTAGCTACTGATTATAACATCTCCACAATTCCCAAACAGCCATCAAGATATGCCCCGCAAACTGATACCAATATTTTACACAATCGCACGATGAGCAACACTACTCCAGTCTCAATAGTACCGGGTGCTTCACAGGTCCAAATAGGAGGTCCAGGGTCACTACCTGACACGAGACAAGTTGCACCCCAAGCAACAGAACGTCCGCAGTCCACAGGAGGTCAGGCATCCAAAGTATCTTACCAAGCACCAGAGAGCCAATGCGCCAAGTATCCTTCAACAAAGCCACCTAGTACAGAGCTCTCACCGGGGCAAAGTTACTCCGTTAATGAACATGCGACACAGTCGTCACAGACTCAGCAGTTTAATCCATCGGGTCAAATTGCGCAATCGCAATTTGGCGTTCGACCCTCAACTTCTCAAAATGAATTCTCAAAGCAAGCTCCGAGTGAGTCGTCGAACGAAAGCACACCATCACCGGCCAGCCAGTCTCATCGGCCTGTAACTCAAGCTTTGAATCGTCCTCTCACATCATCGAAAAGTCAATACAAGAACAACGCGACCAGTCAGCCACCAAATACACAAACACTTACCTTTTATCGTCAAGCTATCAATCAGCATCCTGTTCAATCCACTATCAACCACAGTCCAGTGACACAAAATCAGTTTGTCAATCGCCCCCCTACGCAATTTTCTCCTGTACAGGCGTCATTTCCCCGGAACCAATATACTGGCCCATCTCAAACACAACAAGATTCTACAGCTCCGGGTTCTTACAATACAGAGCATGTTGGACAACAGAGAGCAACTTCACAGTGCCAGTATCCAAAACGGCCACAGCAACTGCAACAGCCAGCTGAGCCACAAAATAATACGACGCACCCACAGAAGAAAATTTACAATGAGCAGAATCTTCTTGATCATACACAAAGTAGATTGAATAGCTCGAGTCCTCGAACTGTAATAGATTTAGTCAGTGCATCTCCAATGCAGTCCCCAACAATCCAGATCCCTGCATCTCAATCGTCATTAGCAACTACGATGTCTGCTATACTAAACCCTAAGCTTCCGCCAACGCCGCCAACGCCGCCAACACCAGCTATCGTTCCTACTACTGGGTCAGATTCCATGTCAAAGTATCCACCCAATACCCAATCTATGTCTGGAAACCCTCTGGAAAAACAAACCTCGGCCGTTGTACCCACTCCCAAGATTAATAATACTTCTCGTCATTATCATCCAGCCATATATTCTCCACAGCAGCAAACAGCCGTTGTAAACTCTACGCCTAAAATCGACACCACATCTCAATACTCGCACCCCACCCAATCACTAGTTACGCCACAACAAACACCGACAACACCTCAAGGGGCGGGGCCGAAACTCGACTTCTATCTCCAACGGTCCAGTTCCCTAATTGACACCAGTATTTCTTTCTCTTATCAATACATGGAATCACTCTCCTTGTTGAATTTGTTCGCATTTTTCTCTCAACGCTCCGGTATACCTCTAGAGAGATTAGACGACCTTACCTTCCGATGCATGTTTGGAGAATATCAACAATTCGTGATTGGAAAGAATATGGGAGACGGAGAGTGGAAGCGAGTACGAAAGAGAATATGGAGGAATTGGGACAGAGATGTTAAATCTGCGAAACAAACTGGAGATGATGAAGATGACGAATTTTGGGAGGTTAACATTTTAATTGGTAGATGTGCATAGATAGTTGACCGAATTCTCAAGCTCGGTTAATTTCCTCCTTGTTAGATAAATGTAAATACTGATTATAAAACCTGTATCTACATCATCCCAATGCCGACAGTGTCTCAGTTATCTCTTGTTGAGTCTTTCATTGCATAAACTACATAAGAGAGTATCCAGTGGAGATAGATACTCTAGTCCAGCACGATGATTCCACTGGTTGCATGCCTTCAGATGTATAAAGATATCGTCAAGGTTATCTCAATCTCATCTGAATGTTGAAAGTTGGATCTGAGCCTACCTATGAAATCCCCACTCTCCGAATTTTGTCTACCATCTCTAAATCGCACCTACTACAAGCCACATTCAAGCCAAAGTCAGCAACCTTACGCCTCCGGCAGCCATCCCGAGGTCGACGTTACGAAAAAAACGCCGAAGGGTAAGACTCGCATCCGAAATGCATTTTAGCCGATAAACCTTAATGTAACGGTGTTTCCAGCGGTTAGCCGATATCCGTTATTATGTCATGTCGTTATATCGAAAAATACGAGATAAATTAATATGTTGGTTATTCAAATTTCTGCGCCTCTTCAAGATCTCAGCGTAGATGGAATCAACAGTTTGATGCCGAGTAGCATGAAAATATGACGAATCCATCGTGTGTCTAACAAACAGTACACGTGAAGGCAACCTCATCCGAAAGTGGTGTAATACGTACAGGATCAACATTTGCATATGCACGATTCCTGGTTCGCGTGATCATTTTACCAACCAACTGTTGGATTTACATGCAGAATAAAGAATACAGACAGTTATGAGCGAAAGAGATTTTTATGCAAATTTCAGACGAATCCAAGGGAATGGTCAACTTTGGTAACTTAGGTGATTGGATTGAATTGTGTGTGGAAGGTTACATTAATTTGGATGAAATTGTGTGTGTGCGTATGTATGTCTGCCAGGGGAAAGAGGCGAATACGAATTGACAATATGTCGGTATTGATGAAGATTGCAGGGGACAATATCTTTAAATAACAATTTTGTAAGATGCATGACTCAGTCATATAATCTTTGAGCATATCTATTAATAAGAGCCTTCCAGTTAAGGATTGTCAAGATAATTGTATCATTTATCAGATCAGCTTGGGAGAATTTGAATTTTCTCGGCTATGCATTGATTTTATGAATGCGGGTTAGACCTGCTGCTGTTGGGAGAAAATATGGCTGAAGACCAAGAAGTGTAACCAGGTAAGTAGGGTTCACTCCCAAGAAATTACACATGTGATAGCTAAAATAGAAGCATTTTATTTCAGAAAAATTCAATCGAATCTAACGCTCATTGAGAATCGCCACTATCAACGAGCGAATATGTAACGAAATGAGACGATACTATTGCCATATTTCTCAAATTGCAGAACAAGCTTGAACCTTAGTAAACTGCTTTGAATGTAACATATCAATTTACTGGAGCATTCGGAGGAAGAGCAACTTGACTCGTCAGAAATAACACGTGTTCAATAGTCTTCTTTTAAGTTCTATCTTCAAATGGCAATGTCCACTTGCAGCTTTTCTCTGATATTTCAGCTAACACAGTATATATTTGAGTTGAAGGATCCTCCTCTACACCTAAGAAATCTACTTGTTCTCCTCTTTCTTTGATAGGGCGATATCACAATAATCCTAGAACAAATGCCCCGAAAGGCAGAAAAATAGGAGAAGACGGTAGGATAACAACTGAAACTCTGGGAATTTGAGGCTCTGCAATTTTGTTTTCAAAACACTCCAATGATCTTCATACATATGACTCTTATCGCTAGGAATAGTATATTATCATTTAATTTCCAAATACTAAGCACATTTTGCAAGCTGGAGATTTTCAGTGTAGAAATCAAAGTCCATTGAGAATGTGTATTTGATGAATGAACATCTTCTTGACAAAGGCTCCATGCAAACACATTTCCCATAAAATCAACATTACAATGCTCGAGTGTATATCCTCTCAGTCAATATCCTACAGACCCTGCTCTTCAACTTCGTACCATTAACCCATTGTATCTTGCTATACTTCCACAAATCTCTAATAATCTCTACTATATTCTCCCACTTTCTCTCATCTTCCTTCGTCACTGTCTCTAGTCGATCATCACCTAGCAAGATGGTAAATTTCAAGCCGTCAACTTTATGCATATTAACACCCGTCCTCCGAGCAAAGAGCAAGATAAAGGATGATAGCGAAAAATCCTCAAGGTTTCTGATATTGATTTTAAGCGGATTTTCGTAATCGAAATTTTGCTTCGACAGAAAAATGAAGTTTATGTCGTTCGAGAAAGTGGCAAGTGGAAGATCATCCTCGGAAGCTGGCTTGCCTGTCATTTGATTTATGGGTTGAAGTGGTGTAGTGAGCAGCGGAAAGGGCTTAGGGTCTGAGGAGTCCGGTTGGAATTGTACAGATGAATGATCGGAAAATGCTGAGTGAGACGATGGAAATCCGCTGCGCGGATTTGGAGCTGGATTGGGCTCTAATTTGATTGCAGCTCCGCTCATTGTAGATGTAGGACCAATTTGTCCAGTCAAATTCAAATTGGAGTTGCCCATCTCAAAATTGCACATAGTGGTGAGAGATGCTGTTGCCTTCGCATGTGCTGGGCCGTCCTAGAATTTCAGATTGATTAGAATGGTTCACTATGATCATGATTCGATATCTTACTTCGAGAAATTGAGATGTTCTCCCAAACTGATATGAGCTATAACGTTGCCCGATGCCTATCTCACGATGAGATATCTCGTTCGAGTTAATCTGAACTTCATCTATCCCTTTTCCTTTGTCTTTTATGATGGAAGGTTGGTATTGATTGGATTTTGAAAGTCTTCGACGCTTTGCTGCGTTAGTTTCTACATCCGCATCATCACCTAGTAATATTGATTGGAAAGTTCGTTTTCGTGATAGATCTATTAGACCTTCAGCATTTGATGAGCGTTGTTGGGGATTGGTTGCAAGCTCATCGCGATCTGTAGTTATAGACATGTCGTGAATATCTCGACGTTGTGTGTTTGATGACTCGATCTCTTCCCTGGCTTCCTCGGAAGGCTGGTCCCAAATGTTCAGTCTCCGATCCCATGCTGCGTCTAATTCCTGCGTTCGTGATATCTTGTTGCTACTGCGATTGCGAAATAACAATCTTTCAACAAGCAATGCATTAGCCAACTCTCCTACTCGGATTTGAAGACGAGCTTTTAATGTCTTGTAATGTATCTTGTTTGCAATTACTGGCTCGTCCTTGAATAGGCGAACAAAATTCATTAGACTCATGTTCTGACTTGTATTGTAATACAAGAATCCATGCATGAACCTGAGAATGTATGTATCAGGCTGAAGGCCTGCTTGGGCAACCCAAGAGAATTCCTCATCTTCCAACCATTGTGGTGAAATAAAGTCAGCCATCATCTGCTTATCATCTGTTGGCTTTATGTACCGGATATGAGCGGTGCATTTTCCTTGATGGCTTTTATTCCTAGTTGAAAACAACGATTAGCTTAAGCATACTTCAAAGTTTCAACTTGGAGTTTGCCGAGTTATTCTTTGACACACTTTAGTTCTCTCACTCTACTATCGTCGATGGATCGCCGGCTTGATCGCATTGCTGGAGATTCAGCGATAGAATTCGAAATCGCGCCAGCTTTTGAACATTTTTGGCCAGTCTCTAGGTGTTGAGTTCGTGGTGGTAAATCTTGAAGTGCCGGGGTGACTAAGGGTTCGTCGTCAGAATCTAGGTCTCGTCCACTGTCCAGACCGTTTTGTGATGCTTCTTATCGAAGTATTAGTTATATGTTAGACGAGCAACGAAATTTTCCACTGGTTGTACAAACCTTTTGCCGAAGATTCCTGAAAAGGTAGTGCATTTTCAATGCAAAAATGTGGGTAAGTAACTTCAAAATTCTAGCCATAAATCTTTTAGTATTCGTTACCGTAGTAAATGAATCGCAAGAAGCTCACTTTATCTTATCATTTTCCCACTTAAGCCGGCGATGATTGCCAGCCCCAATCTCTGGCCATAGAAACTGAGCTGTTTCCTTATCTGCGCAAAATGATTCTGCCAATTTTTGCGCCTCCGGGTGCTCCTTCGACATGACTTTGAATGGTGGAATGTGACAAGATGACACGAAGACACCAATTTTCTTCTTTAATTCCGAGCCAGCGACAGGATTGAATCCTAAGGATTTGTATAAATCACGGATCCTTTTACCTTTGCCTTTCGATGCTGTTGTGCTTCTGTTCCTCCTTTTAGAAAGGACAGATTGTGCTTGCAATCTTGACGACATCGTCAGCAATGTCAATAATTCAAGGCTTACGAGAATATAAAGAAAACCTGAACAGATGAACAGAAAGATCTAAAGATCTGAATGAAAGTGCGGGAGGGATAATGCTAGGCCTTTTTATAACTTCTGGATCATGCTCCCTAATATTAGCGAGAACATGATATCATAAACACGTTTTAGTGGTAGAGTATATTAAGGATTATAAATGATACGGAGCGATTTGATAGCTTACTTGTTAGGTTCAAGTGTTTCTTGTAAATAGTCTGATATATCATGCAACTCAAATGATCTGAGGTATCTAATTCATTGATTTCTAGAAATCTCAAGTGGCCGATTTTATTCTTAATGAATCTTCTCTACTAGGTAAGCTAAGAATATTTAACGGTCTGCTTCTTCCAATTAAGACAACAATCCTCCAGAAGACTGTTATTCTGCTATTGGATTCGTTTCTGCCAATAGTTGAACCCCTGAATTAGATGTTCTATGTATGAAGAGAAGTGATATGAGACATGTAACCAGAGGACAGGCGAGGCTAGCAACTACTTGCATAAAGGCCTGATATCTACAATCAAAACTATACAATTACATACCATCATCCAATACAATGGATTGAAACACTAGCAATAAAAAAATATTGAAAATTTAAAGACCAGATTCCAGATAGTGATCTGTGTGATATTCTAGAGAATAAATATAATGATATAATGGGAAAGTGTCTGAATACTAAAACGTATGTTTCAGATTCATTGTGGATAAGATGGCAGTTTCAAATAATGCACCATACATTTGTTGCAAGCAAGCCTTTGTGCTCTGTCTGCAGCCGGTCCCACGGCCCTGTAATTTCCCGAAATCATGAATCTCTTTTGAAACTAATTGATGAGCATTCTTTTGTGCTCAATGAACTGTGGTCAAAATCAAAACTTTGCATGGACCAGCCCTGACCTTCTCCACTACTAGAATTGGCATCGGCACCTTGCATGATCTCATCATTATGATAAATGGGGATACCTTCGGTACTTAAATTGGCTTTTTTCTCCTTCATACATTTTGGCTCATGTGAGCAGCCGCCTCTGTGGGAAAAGCAACGGTTTCGGCTAATGTTAACATTCCCAGGTTCAACAGTGGTATGGTTAGGATTCAAACATGTCCAATTCCCACAAAGATGGCTGAGATGCCATTTCTTGTTGATGAATCCATCTTTCTGCCGTTTTGTCATTGTGTGAAAGAGGATTTTGGAGACTATACCAAAGTTCAAGACAAGACTGTGTTTACCATTGTGATCTTGCCAGCTGAAAGTTTTCTGTATATTGCCGCAAGCACGCCACGTACCGATGGGAGTTATGCGGGGAGGCGGTGGAGCAGGGTGAAACCAGCAATCGCTGTCTTCTCTGAAGGGATCGAGCAGGCGATTGGTTAATTCTAACCATATTCGCATCGACCTTTTAACATGGAGAGGCCTTCGAGTTGACGACACAATAATGCGCTTTCTTTCTCGGCATTCCAGCTTGCTGCCCGGTGAACTTTGATCTGATTTATCAGCCAGATGCAAGACAGCTGGGACAAACCCAGCATTGCAAGAACTGGTGATTTGGTAAGATGCTAATGGCCGATCTTGAAAACCTCCCGACGGGCTTGATTGAATGCTTTCCGAAGAAATTGATGACTGCTTACTTATTTCGTCTTCTGAGTCGTTACTCAAATCAATTACATCGACACTTGTGGATTTACCTGCGAATTTGCTAACGCCCAGCGTAGTTCCTGAATCTTTGCCTCTTGCCTCCCACAACTGCGCCTCACATAAGTCTTCAAAGACTCTAAATGAAGAGACTGAAGGAAAAGATACAATTGAGTCTCCGTAAGTTGGCAAGGCTACTAAATCGATTGATACTATATGATGAGTAATGTCTGCCAAGGGCAAACGATGATATCCTTGAGCACCACGTACTATAGAGATTGAATCTTCGTGGGGTTCCTCTCCTGGAACATCAGAATCCTGTTCAGAGATTCGAGTGGGATCGATGAATATGTGCTTATCCTCTGCAAGTGTAGTCTTGTGGCAAAACAGACTCTGGTCGTTCGGTAGAACACCCCTCAAAATCTGGTCTTGTTCCTTTAAGTCTCTTGAAAAATGCGTCTGGTGGCTTTCAAAAGTTATGTAGTCACAATTAGAATCTGTGACCCGAGCGAGCGGTGTCACTATGTTTCCCCTATACCGACAGCCGTCTGAAACTTCAAGTGAAGCTATACTAAACCAGGAGACAATATAAAGCTACTTGGTCCCAAATGATAAGCATGTGATATTGTAATTATGTTTCGAAAAACTGATATTTTTAGATTTTGTTCGCCGGGGACCATATGAGAGTTTAATGATTGCGGCGTACTAGAAAGTGTGAATCTTGTAGAATTCGTGGTAGCAGCAGCAGCAGCTGGGCAAGCGATTTGAGCCAAAGTGAGTTCGTAGAGTGAAGATATGTTTCAGCTTTCGACAACCATGCAGATTATATAGGCTAAAGGTAGTGAAGTTCTGTTGCAACGCTGAATGAGTTGAACAACAGCAGATGCGCTGCTACAAAGGACGACCCTGGGCGGGTATTGCGCGATCTTGTCTCAATGAAAATGCTTGTGTGATATTTCTAGCGATTAAGACATCGAAAGCGAAACCAGTATGTGGTGAAACGTAAATTTGGGATCTGCTGAAATAATCTTCTTGACTGGTTCAGCCAAAGAATCAGGAGTCGAGGAGATAAACCACGTGTTTTGCCATTCATCGCACCTTCCCTTGTTGTCGCACCCTCCCTATTCTGCCCTGCCATTGACAAACTTCACTTTACCTACTGGGTAGCGTAGACTCTTTAACTTTGGTGACTACATAAGTAATCGATAACTTCTGTGTTTCTTCAGGTCATTGACTTCAACTATTGTAAACGACGATCTATTCATCCAGAAATGGTCAATATTACTGCTGTCAAATACGAGTAGAATTCCTTTTTTTTGCTCTCAGAGAGAATCTTTCAACCTTTCGTTCTTCACAACATCGAACTTTGGTCTGAAGATCATCAGCCAATAGGCAAGATGATCAATTTTCAATTTCAGGTTCCGGCCCCCTGTCAAAATTGTCGCCGTTTCCATTACGGATACTGTCGCGATGCTCCGAGACAATGCTGGCGTTGTAATGATTACAACCACATAGAGCGCTATTGCCCCCGTCGTCGCACAAGATGGCCTCGCGATCAAGCACTACCAGGAACTCGTCAATGGTGTGATTATCATGGCTTGGGCACTGATGCTACGCTTCGGTGAGTACACGATCGACAATTACACTCTTCATCCGAAAAGAGCATTGACACTGCTTCTTCTAGGACCAAGGTTCTTAACGCGTTGAAGGCTTGCCCAAGCTGCAATATTTACATTGATGATTATTGTATCTACAAAGGTTGTGTAGAACATCATTTTCGACGCGAAGAAGTAAGAGGCAGACCTTTGGCAGAGAGAATGACTCGTCGTAGATCCAGGTGAGTCGCTATCATGGATCGTCAAGATCGAAACATTGATTTAAACAGATCTCCGAAGCGAGAACAAGTAAAGCGGGGTAGGTCTCGTTCACCAATCCGTCAAAAATCGCCACCACCAATGGAGAGACGGTTCAGGCCTCAGAGACAGTTCTCCCCAGTTCGTCAAGGACGTGGTCGATCCAGAAGCCCATTGCGGCAGCGAAGACAGTCACCGCCACGCACACCAATGCGACCTCGAGGAAGATCTCCAGTTTTCGGTGTAAATGGGGCTGCTAACTCTCAAAGTAATACTGCAACTGCAGATTTCAAGATTTCCCAGTCTTCATATCTACAAAATCTAAGTTTGCCTGTCAACCAAAAGCAACTACCAGAGCAAAACATGCAGCAGAGCATCGGGATCTTGGACACTTCGATTACAACCAACCTCAACTCATTTCCGAATTCTCAAGTCCCATCTGGTACAGTGTCGGCAGATCCACCCCTACAAGTGATCGAGAAGGGTGGCTTCATCCATAGTGTTGTCGCTCTTCAACAACCACTTCCAAAGGTGCCTCCTAAGAGACATGACACTGAGGTGTACGTTGAGGATCCGTATTTCGTACTAGGAGTCGGAGAAGAAGCTCTCGAGAGGGAGTACGTCTGCAAATTCATTTCAAATTGGCTAAATGCAATTGCGCTAACACTGAACCAGGATTCTAGAGGCCTACCAAAAGCGTATGTGGGAAGTTGAGCTTGAACGTGTCGCAGACACAAACTACGCAGAAGCTCCTGGACCAGATAACGTTTGGGATCAGAGTATAGCTGTATTGCGCGCGGCGAAGAAGCAACTTGTGGGATACTAGGCATTCGGTGTTCTGGGTTGATATGAATGTTCCATGGCTTTGTTTGGCCCTTGTAACGGAAACGGCAGGTCATCACACGGAATTTTGGGAATGCCACGCGGGATGTTCTACTTGTGAATGATTGTTGATGTGGATGAGTTTGGCAGCTTGAAACGAGATATGAAGAAAATAAATTGACAAGATAGATAACCAGAAATAATCTTCGTGAAAACTCTGTCAATACCCTAAGGACCCTCAGACATTACCATCGCTCGCCGTTATAGCATCTGAACATCACTTGAGCGTGGCGCCCAAGTGCAAAATACCATGCATACATTCGTCTGATTGTAGCATGCATCTCACATTGAGGAGGGTAGTAATACTTTCTATTTGTTCCTCAAGTAGACAATAGTGTCAATCAAATCATCTGAAATAAGGAGGAGGTCGATAGAACTTCTTACGAAGTATCATATACCACAGTATTGTAATAGACATACCTCAATCAAGCATAGTTCAACATTTTGTGACACTCATGATACAGGGTATCCAGAAAACACGTAGGAAAGTATTGAATGAAATGCCGGGGTTCAGAACCTTTTGTGAGCAACTTGCTAAACTGGTTTGAAATCTTGGGCGTCGTGTCCTAGGTACTATATAAAATACCTCAGTGTGATGCTTGACTACCTGTTCCAGCTTCGAATAAGGGTCGATGAAAATCAACACCTAGCTCATCAATCCGTTGAAAACCAGACACCTATTGGTTCTATTCCAAGTGGAGTCTCGTTTTCGAGATCCTCCATTGTTTCTACCACTGCAAGCGTATTAGCATTGGCTTCAATGCAAAGTTGCGAATCAAAAGCAAATGAGGACTTACAGTCAATTATATCCTGCCTTCCACTCTGCGTTGCATTCCAAGCCAGCCTAGAGCTAACCCTTACGCTTCTCAGAAATGGCAATCTTCCTTCTTCCACTGCATCATAAACAGCCCCAGCAGTAATATCAACCTCTGTGCCTGCTGTGCCGCTACAATCCAAATCCAATATTCGCAAGGGGTGGCTGACGGGTATATTCTCAAACAATGCATCTGTGATAAAATCGGCAGATATTCGGAAAGCGATTAATGACGAGCACATCAAAAGGACGTAGTCCAAAGTCCCAACACCCATACGATTCATCGGGTGTCGAATTGTTAGGTGTTGCAGTTGAGGACCCAAGTGCCCCAAAACTTCTAGAAGTGCGGGGCCATATACCATACTGCAGTGTTGAATACTGAAACGTGAAAGTGTCGATGGGACATGGCGAAGATGAGTCCTGAGGAAGTGGTCATCGACTCCCCCTGCTAGATGGAGACCTTGTAGCTTCGGTGGCCATTCATATACTTCGTCAATTCTTTCTTGGTCACTATTGGAAGTCCGCGGGAAAAGTAATGTTTCGAGTTCTTGCAGTGTCTTAAGAGTCTGGAATAGTAAGCGGGTCGATATCGAAGCAGAGATCAAGGAGAGATCCAGGTATCGGAGGTGGGTACATTTGCTGAGAGCGGGGAAGGAATTTATAGCGAAAGATGCTTGTGGTGCCACGAATTCAACAAGATTCCCTTTCAATCGGCCTAGTAGTCGTGCAGTCAAGCTCCTAGAACTATTGTGTACCAATCCTCCCATGTCAAGTCGGCGAACCAGAGGTGCGAGTGCGGATTGTCGTATATGTGCATTTTTGGAGGGGCAAACAGTAGCTACAAAGCTATTGAAATTTGCACCACTGAGGTATGGCCGCTCATATAGAATAGAGATAGATGCCGAATACCAGAGCCTAGATACCAGTGCGCAGGAGTAGAAAGTGTATTGGGTGTCCACGCGATTGGGAATATACGAGAGGATCTGAGATATTATTTCCATCGGGAGAAGGATCTCTTGCGCGGGAGCTTTACGATAAAACTCAGCCATTGAATCAGAGGCCGGCGTAGGCTCTGAATTTCGTGATCTGATGGATAACTTAACAGGCTGCGCCATCTCCACGTTCCAATTACTCTGTGCGTCGAGAGCCATTATGTAGTATTCGACGTCGAAAATGCTTCAATAGTTCCTCAGTTGTCCGGCCTTTTAACCATGCAGCGCTATTTGTGTTCTGAGAATATTCACGGCTCGAAGAAGGAAATTGCCAATCTATCAATGAAGCAGAGAGAAGTCATTGTAATGTAAGCAAAAAAGAAAGGATTCGTCATGTATATGATGGTATATTGAGGTTTCTGATATGAAGATAGCCTCGCCACAACATTTGAGGCTTTGTTTCGGGGGGATTAGTCAGCCTTATCGCTAGAGGGTACTTTGACGACCTCAATAACGTCATCTGATATTAAGTCGGGTACCCTACTTTCTAGCCACCCCCCTTTTGAACCACTTTTCATCACCATAATTAACAAAAAAAACTTTTTTATTTATAAATAGAATTTATTAAAAATGTATATATCTATAATTGAGATCATTTTAAGCTTATTCTGAAATTTTCAGATTTTTAGGATTTTTCTAAACAAAGATTTGAAGCTTTCAAATATCGATTTTATAATTTATTGTTACGATGGGTAACAGAATGCCATGTGACCAGTGTCACGTGGTGGAGTTCTCAGGAGCCAGGACTCCAAGAAACTCCAAATCAATATTAGAGAACGAAGATCTATATAAGGAATGGGATTTCATTATAATATAGAGCTTCGTATTCAAGAGAACAATTATTAGTTTCATTACTATAATTACAAGAATTGTAATTAGTTATAATCTTATTGAATTCCTATTTGAAGTTTAGTTTAAACCATCTTAAGAGAACTCTAGACACTTCCACATGACCCTAGAGGCAGCTCCCGTAATATTTATATAAGAATTACATATAAAAAAATTATTTTAGAAATCTTTGATACCTCTTTAATAAAAATTAATAGAAATAAGTTATCAATTTTATTATAAGTTTATACTATTTATAATATAGAAGAGTTTAAAAAATTAGAAGAATCTAATTAACAGGTATTTATAAAAATACCTTCGAAATTATAGGAATTATTTTTTCCTACCTAAATTATATCTTTATAACTGTTAAATTTTTTTTAATTCTTTATATAGATTTAAGCTCGATTTTGTAAAAATGTTACGGAGGTACTCGCACCGCAATATGAATTATGAGGTAAGCCTAAGGCCTTGATATTAGGACCTATAGAAACAACATTATAACGTGATTTATCAGTGTGCGGGTCATATCAGTGTGCGGGTCATTTTCACCTCAATTCACTCTTTCAAACTCATATTATTCAACAACCATTGAATCAATTGATTAAAACTATGAAAATTATAATAATCTAGGATCTATTATATTATCTTGACAAGTTCTTGCATTATGTCCGGTCTTTCCGCATTTACTACAGCATCGACTAGAAGATGCTTCTTCATTAGAATTCCTCCCTTTTTGACGCTCGTCGCGTTGAATCTGAATATCAACCTCTTGTTGAGATAATATATCAAGAGCTTCTTGCCCAGTAAGTACTCCTCCTTGACGTAATTGGGTTTTTTTCGCGCGTCGACGCTTGCTTAATGCCTCATTTGCCTTTCGAAGTGTACGAATCTCTGCATTCAAAAGTGTATTCTCATGAGCTAATCTCTCTGTACCTTTAGCTAGAGCTAGTACAGTCTCAAATATAGGTGTAGGGGAGCTTGATTGATGTCGGGTTATTCGAGATTTCACTAAAATTGATTGAGAAAGAGCTTCAGTTGGGTTGTGAGGGGTTTGAGAGATCCATTGATCTAGATCGAAAGAGGGAGGGGTAGGTGTACGAATTCGAATATCTAACTTCGAAAGTACGGCTTCAGGGTTAAATGGTATTAAACCTGTTCCTCGAAATCCTGATTTCATATTCTGAGAGATGATTGATTCTTTATATGCAGCTTTAAAAGCTATAAAGAATTCAACCTTCGAAATATGATTGATATGTGCCTTGATAAATCCATCAATTTGACCACCATATGAACGTTTCAGATTGCTAAAACAGCCCACATCAAGTGGTTGAGTTAAATGACTTGAATGCGGTGGTAGACTTAAGCATATAATATCGTTCTCTTTGCAATATGCTTGAAAAGCTCTTGATTCATGGCTTTCATGCCCGTCTAGTACCAACATTCGATACCTGCCCTTTCTTCGGTTCTTAGTGTGCTTGTCGAAGTGTTTCAACCATTCTAAACCTGTCTCATTGTTTGTCCATCCATTAGATGTAGGTTTAATAGCCCAATCCGCAGGAAAATCGGTTTCGGTATACCAATTGGAAAGATGAACCTGTCCTTGAACCACTAGAAATGGGGGTATAGTTTCACCCTCCCCATTGCCACATATGATTGCTGTAGCCCATTCTCTATTGCCTGGTTGTATTGCCTTGCTTCTGCCATTCCGTTCAGCACTAGTTACTACCATTCCGGGGCATATTATACCCATCATAAAGCCCGTCTCATCGAAATTGTAGAAATCGCCATCCAAAATGCTGTATTTCGCTCGCATATTCGCAACCAATCGAAACCACTCTTCAATAAGCTTAGGATCTTCGCAGAGAGCTCCTTGAAAGTCATAAACACGACTAAAACGCGTCTTTAATTCGATTCGACGCTTTACGAATCGATGCGCCCAGAGCTTCCCAACGCGCTTTGCACCCCTCGATTCAAGAATATGATTCGCCATATCTTCTACATTTCTTAATTTAGGTGGAAATCCTCTCAAATCCATATCAATTATATATTCAGAAATGATATTCTCTTCTAGTTCTGAAAGATTATAAGATTTAGGTCGATATTCGGAACGGGAAGTAATACCATTAATTCTACGCTGTAGTGTTGTATTCGAGATATTATATATCTTTGCAACCTTTCGAATACTTGTTTTTTTGTCTTTTTGAATAGCTTCGATAGCGAGGAGTATACGGGCTTCTTGATTATTCGAATCCATTGTGGATTGTTGATAAAAACGCGTATTGAAAGAGAATAGAGTGAATTGAGGTGAAAATGACCCGCACACTGATATGACCCGCACACTGATAAATCACGTTAGGGAAAATCGGCTAAAGAGTATAGATTAGATAAGCAATAGTATCATTACCAATCACAAAATGGATATCATATGATCAGGAAATCGACTTATCGAAATCAACTTTATGATAATCAACTTATCGATTTATAAAGTATAAAGATCTATATAAGAGAATAGATTTCATTACAATATAAAACTTTATATTTAAGAATAATTATTAGTTTCATTATTATAATTATAAGAATTATAATCAATTACAACCTTATTAAATTCCTATTTAAAGTCTAATCTAAATCATTTCGAGAGATCTCTAGACACTTCCACATAACCCTAAAGGCAGCTCCCGTAACAAAAAAGTAATTAGTTTCTTTCTATTAATTATAATTAAAAGGTTATTAAAGATTCAAAATAGATTTTGAATTTAAATATTATTCTTATATAAATTAAAAAATCAATATATTAAAGCTTCAAATCTAATATTCTTAGAATAAGCTTAAAATGATCTTAATTATATATATATATATATTTTGAAAGAGATATCAATAAGCTAAAAATGCGATTTTTAATGTAAATAGTATAACGAATAACATATGACATTATAATTATTTATTACGCATATTTTAATTCAAGATTAGCTTGAAATAAGCGATTGTTATTATATAAAAGATATAGAGATCCCTTAGGGATCTCTTCTCTTTTTAGCTTTCTTATTCTAGTTGTTTGATCTCTATCAATATCCTCTAGTATGTGATCGTAACAAATAGGTGGTTCAAAAGAGGGGTGGCCGGAAAGTAGAGTATCCGACTTAAACTCGAATTAACACCACCCGCGATTCTTCTTAGACTTTTAATCTCTTGACCATTAACACTCAATAAACAAACATCAATATAATGGAGGACTTTAATCTTCCCAGTCAGGAACGATTAAAGCTGCTCTAGATTTCACAAGATGCAATCGGCGATGTGCCTCCACATTTTTGGGCTGCATGCCAGATCTGCGACCTCGGTGCCCTCAAAGACTTAGTCAATTGTGGGCGCGAGTATCCCAATGTTCTCACAGGCCTTACTCTACAAACCCACACAATGGCGCATTATTGTAATTAAAATACTCCTGTTCCTTGATTCTAGCTAATGATAACTTACAAGGGGGTCCGTCTCCTCCTAGAGCGCAATTGCAAGCCTCGACACTGAAGCAGACAACACTAATGTCTGTAATAACAGACATTACGAAAGTAAGAGTATGTTCGAATCACTTTATTTCAATTATTAGGCAACATTTATTTAATAAATAATATAAAATAATGTATTTATTGAATACAATATATAATGAAATATTTATTTCGGATTTCAGAATTTGAAAAATTATTTGAAATTATTTAATTTCATTTATTTATCAAATAATAGTATTTATTAAACACGATATATAGTGAAATAATTTATTAGGAATTATTTAAATCCAAATAATTATTTTGTAAATATTTCAAGCTTTTTTATATAATAATTGTAAAACTCGATTTTCAAGCTTTACAACTAATATTTGAAAGAAAAGTAATATCTCAAAACTTTTTTAATATTCCTAACTATTTCCATCTATACTACTTTTATAAAAATTCTATTATCTAACTCCTCTTTTTACCCCTTCATTATTATTCTCTTTTTATTATAAAATATATTATATAATCTAAATATTATTCAAATATATTAATATTTATCGAACATTATATTAAATCAAATATATTAGAAATTGAAATTTATTAGGATTTCTAATGACTTATTAAATTTCAAATATTGAGATAATATTTTATATAATTTATTCTAATTCGAATAGTATATATAACGTAGTTTATTAGTACGTATATTATATTAGTATGTATATTATTATTTTTATATAAATAATATAAAAAATGAATTAAAATAATAAAATCTTATAATAATAAAAAAGTTATTTAAAGAAATAGATTTTTGTAATACAAAGTATAACATTTTTGAGCTACAATTAAGATATCTATAAAAAAAAATTAAATTTTATAAATATTTCATTTTTATTATTTATAGAGAAACTTTTTCAGAGAAAAAATAATAATTAATAATTTAAATAAAAATAACTTATTAATAAAAGATTAATTTTGGTGTATTTTGAAGTGGTGTATATATTGATGTTACGGAGGTACCCGCACCGTAATATGGATTATAAGATAAACCTAAGGCCTTGGTGTTGGGACCTATGGAAATAGTGTTGTAGGGATAATTGGCTAGAAAGTATAGGTTAGATAAGTAGTAGTATTATTATTAGTTATAGGATGGATATTATGTAATCAGGAAATCGACTTATTGAAATCAGCTTTATAATAATCGACTTGTCGATTTATAAAGTATGAAGATCTATATAAGGGAATGGGTTTCATTATAATATAAAGCTTTATACTCAAGAACAATTATTAATTTCATTATTATAATTACGAGAATTACAATAATTACAACCTTATTGAATTCCTACTTGAAGTTTAGTTTAAACTATCTTAAGAGATTTCTAGACACTTCCATGTGACCCTAGAGACAGCTCCCGTAACACTTGATATAATATATATACTGATAAATCATGTTATTCTAATAAAATATTTAGAATTATTTGAATTATTTAATAAATAAAATTGACTAATAATTAAGCTCTAATAATTTCAAAAAAGTGATCCGAACGCACCCTAAGATTGTAGACTTATTCGATTTATCATGGAATAAATATCACGCATCCTCCGTTCCCTACTGCTGTAGATTATCTTGCACTCGAGAACGCAAAATCCTGGCCGTCTAGGAAGCTTGGGCCTTTGAGGCTCAATAACCTTACGAGTGGCTTGCTCGAACCACAAATTACTCCCATAGATATAAGAATATAAAACAATGATCTTCGAGTTTGCAAGAAAAGCACTGTCCGTTAAAGTGCATATCTCGAAAATAGGAAAACCCTCGCGATCTGGATTCTGAAAAGGAGGTTGAGGATATTGAAATAACAGTTGAAGAAATCTGGGCTAGGCGCGTATTTGCGAGACGAAATTGAGAAACAACTCCTGGGGATCATGGCCGGTACGAAGCGCACTCGCTCACCTTCACCTCCAAATTCTTACCTTTACTCAAATAAGAAATCGAATTCCGTGATAGAAGCGCGCGTAGATCCAATCTATGGGCAGCGAAGTGCGCTTCCCGCAGATGATTATTCTCTCAGCTTAGACGAGGACGGTATAGATGCCTTGAACTATTTGAGATCAGTTAGGTGAGTACACTCCTTGTCAATTTCGATGTTTGCACACATGAACATGAGATGGTGTTGAATTACATGTTATATTCAATTGGAGTTATTGCTAATTGTAAGTACAGAGCCGAAGCAGAGGACCTCCCACCCATCTTCTACGCTCCCGCAGAGACTGCGAGCTCCAATAATAATGGCGAGTACGATCGATCGATATATGAGAGTGGCGTGGGCGACTTTAGAGGACATTATGAGGATGGTGCTTATTATGCAGCAGCCGAAGTTGAAGACGAAATGGAGGATGAGGTACACGATGGCCAAGATCCTCGATCGGCGTACTTCAACTCTATCTTGACGCGATTCGAAACCCTACGAGACAAACTGCACCAAGTTCCTCCAGCAGACCTAGTAAAAAATCTAGATGCAGATCATCCCACATATCTAAGCGTATTGAACACCAAGCTTTGTAGGTGGTGGAGATGGAAGATGAAGACGGTTGATCCGCTGCCTGTGCAGATCGCAAGTATGGATAAGGTCACAGTTCTGAGACTACTGAGGCTCCTATTGACTGGCACGTTGTTGCAATGTGGCTCTGATATCAATTTGAAGGTCAGTATGTGGATCTGGGCATTGTTAGCGAGGCTTCCGGTAAGAGGGGAGCTGAGTAGTGATGAGATAGGAGTTGTAAGGGAATTAGGAAAAAAAGCCGTGATGCTTGGTGTTGGATTGAAGGCGGGTAGTGACTTGAAAGAGGGCTTGGATGAGGTGGAGAAGGTATTTGAGGCCGATAATGAGGTCGAAACTGTGGATGATGAAAATGCCACTAGCTCCAAAGATGAGAACACAGAGAGGATTGACGATCAGCCGGAAGTGGAGCTCCAAGTAACACAGAACAGCAGTAATACCTCGCTGATATTAGACTCGACGGACAACTCTATGATGTCAACGATAACAGCAAAGCCTATTACTCCGGAAGAAGATGCCGCGGAAGCGGCACCAGAAGCCCATGAACTAGAAGCACTCAAAGCCCGCTTACTCGCTAATCTCGCTTCAAATCCGCTTGCTGGTCCCACAGCAATCGCAGGTCCTCAGCCGCTCGAAGCAGAAGAATCTACCCCCTCCACAACCAAATCGGCAGTGCTCACACCAGGACAAGCATCTGATTGGAATACCAGAGCGACAATTGACATGATTCTCACGATTGCAGGTGAGATGTACGGACAGAGAGATCTGCTGGAGTTTAGGGAAGTATGGGGTGAGTAGGACTCCCTCGAGCTGCCTAATAACAACATTTGATCCGTTTTGGCAGCCAAAGATTCATCTAGCAAAAGTGCGTCAAACGCATTTCAATGTGTGGTGAAAACAAGTAGAGCTTAATCTTTGCATTATTTTCTAGCTCTAGCCTGAAGTGTTATGCGTGGCTGTAAGTATCTTTGTAGTAGGTTTTGCGGCAAGTAATATTTCTTTAGATGCACATGAGGCGAACCAGCTTGCTTCTCATGAGCTGAATATAACACCAGTTTTTATTGTCACGTTCACCTGTTCCATACAATCCATGATTTATGTGATCAATAATCAATTATGTAGAAATAAATGTGAATACAGGAAGTGTTGTATGACATAATGACCGATGGAACGCTAGCAGCCTTCCCAAATATTGCAGCTTCTAGGCTATACAATCATGCTCAAATAATCCATCCAGAAACGCCTTCCCAAATGTATGCAATGGACACACTTCGAATCGTTAATACCCATAATACAGATCCCACCTCCCATAACATGTAAAAATTGTCCGAAGCCGTTGGTAATACATCATTCCCTGGCCTCTCTTAGACACCGCCCATTTGAACCTCGTCTGCTAAATCATAATCCAAAAAGTCGGCTTCTCCAAAATCCACATCCGCATTCTCACCTCCACCAAACCTCATCATCCCACTTCCTCTACCCTTCTCACTCTTCCTAGACATCGGCATCGCAATTCTTCTATCTCCAACATCCATCAAAGCTCTTCCCTCATTTGCACCCTGTCCGAATACATTTTCTCCCTCTTCTTCGTCAACAAATCGTCTCTTGGCCCCAGTAACACCCCCGTGACTTCCGACACTATCATTGCTCTCTTGACTGCTATCCCAGATTCTTTGTTCATAGTCCTCCTCATCTTCATCTTCAATTGCCTCTCCGGATTCATCGTATCCTTGTACGCTCATTCCCCCAACCTTCATCAACCCGCAGAAAGGTGTCAATTCCCTAATTCCAGCACGAGGTCTTGTTCCTTTGTATTTCGGTGCTGCGGGTGTGGAAGAGGGGGGTGCGGATGCGAAGTTTGACTTTGTGGCGGGTGTGACATCGGAGAATAGATTGAAGGCGGAATAGGAACCGGTTTTGTATCCTTCGGGAACGGATTTGCGGATGCGCATGCCGACGGATAAGAGGGAGGATTGGATGGGATTTGGGAGAGTGGGTGGTTGATATTGAGAGGGAGGAGGGGGTGCAGGGAGTGATGTGGTGCCGGGAGTGAAATAGGAGGTTATTTGGGATTGGGAGCCGGCGTAGGGGCGTTTGGCTTGGCGGGCGGGCATGATGATATTATTGTTGCTGGATGAGATGGTATGAGAAGTTGAGTATTAGGTGGATGTCTCCCCGTTTGATGAAGTCAAAGTCGGGTTAATAGCGAGATGTTATTGAGTTTGTCTTGATAAGTCGAAAGGAGCTACGGTGTCGAAATTGAGGACAAAGCATAGAAATGTTCGAAGTCAATTATTAAACTGGGCGGCCGCTGAATGAATGTATGTACAACGAGATGAAAGTTGATGAACTAGATACAAAAGCAATTGATACGATGATGACGACGACTGATTCGATATTGATCAAGAATAAGAGGAGGTTGAGAATTGTGCAATGGAGTTGTGAAATGAAAGAGGGGCTCATGCAAGATAACCTTCAGGGATTTGGGATTGTATTAACTTAAATTCATTCATGAAACCGGTTGAGAAGCGCGATCGACCGCGAATTATCGCGTTTAGTGGTTTTGTGATTACATAAGCTTATAGGAATGCTTCACGACAGCTCAGACGAATGCTTCTGTTCCAGCGATAACTGATTGCCTTCTCAAGTATGTACGACAAACAGAATTCAAATCCTTAATCGTGAAATGCTAGAGATATATCTAGTGTCATGTTTGGTAAGGAGAGATTGACGAGTGTCAATGTTATCTATTCGAATGAAGCGGGATTCAGCCTCATGTTGTAGATACGCATACGCACACACAGCCATGGAGGAGTGGATCCTGCAGATGGAGTATCCAACAAGTAACCAACTCAAAGGATATGTGAGACAATGAACTCAGACTCAGAGAAATGGTACGGCTCATTCCGATCCCTTGAACCATTTACCAGATACCTCGACGGTCCTCTCATCCATGGACCCCAACCTGGAGCTGGGGTACATATCTCCCCAGTTTGATCCCCTAAACAGCGTTCTTCAAGGGCTACCCTCGGAAATGTAATGGATCTGGAGATCTTAAAATGATATGTGCTAGCACCAGCATGTCAGACGATATGTGACTGGGGAGGTAGCTACCTGCCCTACTTGTGTATGCGTCACACAGTAGTATCAACCCTACCAGAGATAGGGTAAATTAGTAGGTCCGAGGGAAAGGTACCGTTTGAACTCTTGGTCTTGTTATTGGCTTAACAGGCTATACTGAACAGCTGGATTACCGGGTAGATAGTAAAGCTTTCGTAGGCGCAAGGATTGGTCAAGACCTCTTTGCATAAGCTTTCGATGATTTTCGAATAGTTTCATTTTTTGAATATAGTTAATTGATAGTCTTGAATGTGTGGTATATTCTAAGCAGTCGGAATCTTTCCTTCCAGTATTGCTTGTCTCTCCGGCAGACACCAATGATCAATACTTCACATGGAAACAATCTGAGCTATCAAATCGTCTTGAGACCGTAGCTCCAACTTGCAAAAACTGTAAGGATGCTGGGCGGGGACCCCTGAAAATGAAGCTTTGACCACTTAGACATAAAGATAAACACAGCAAAATATATCTCCACACTCCAACTCATTCACTTCATACGCGCTTCACCCTCCACACCCTTCACACCCTCCACACCCTTCACACCCTTCACATGTGCCTCACTCCCACCCAAAGATTCGTTGAACTGTAGCACCCACATACAACTATTAAAAATGTCCCTTATCGCCCAGCTATCCCACAAGGTTCCCGTGAACTCCCGGCGCTACCAGTTATTAAATCCGATAATGCTGAAAAGCGGGAAGTCTGTGAATAGGATAACCAGCTTTATCTCGAACTTTGCTAAGCCAGCTTCTACCCAACGAAGATCTATATATTCTTCTCGACTGCCATCAACTTCTTTCTCTTCTTCTGCCAATTCTTGCTCCCCAAAACAAGCGATCAAAGCTGCAATGTCTCCCATCACTCACCAACGTCGGTCCAGTACTGCAACTCCTGTAGCTGCAAACCTCCTACCAGGATTTGCTTTTGCCTTTGAGTATGTATTTTTTTAACCATTATCATACAACTGGTTTCCAATCTAACTGGTTTTAGCATTGATGGTGTTCTACTTCGATCTTCTTCGCCAATTCCTGGAGCATCTGAAGCTTTGAACTTACTCCATTCAAACAACATCCCTTTTATCTTATTGACCAATGGAGGAGGCAAACATGAAAGTGCTCGTGTTGCAGAGTTGAGCAAAAAACTCAATGTTCCTCTTACTGAGGAAAACTTTGTTCAATCACACACACCATTCAAACAACTAGTTGAGGGGTCAGAAACAACGGAGAGTCTTAAGGATAAGACAGTTCTTGTCACTGGTGGAGATGGAGATAAATGTCGCAAGGTTGCAGAAATGTCAGTTCCTCTCCCCCCTCACCCTCCTCCCCCAATCAGCTGCTTTATTTCACAAGATAAAATCTCACATGGTGAATTTATTTTGGTTTGATATAAAACCTAGCAAATATCTCAAGCAAGGAGCAAACATCTCTGGGAGACAAAGCTAACCTTGAATACACAGGTATGGTTTCAATAAGGTCGTCACACCTGGTGATATTCTCATGGCTTATCCTACCATCTGGCCCTTCAACCAAATCTTTAGCGAGTATTATAGCAAGGCTACACGCCCTCTTCCCAGACCAGTTGATCTACACAACCTTTCTGAATCTCTCAAATTCGATGCCATTATGATTTTCAATGATCCTCGCGACTGGGCCTTGGACACTCAAGTTGTACTTGATCTACTCTTGTCCGAAAAGGGCATTCTCGGTACTTATTCTTCCAAGAACGGCGACGCTTCACTACCCAACAACGGTTGGCAACAGGATGAACAACCAAAGCTGTTCTTCTCAAATCCAGATCTTTTCTGGGCAACCAATCATCACATGCCTCGTCTTGGCCAAGGCGGTTTTCAGGCATCCCTCGAAGGCGTTTGGAATGCTACTACCGGTGGAGCAAAGTTAGAACGCACTGTTATTGGTAAACCACATCCAGCGACATACAAGTATGCTGAGCGTGTACTCCACAAATATCGTACGCACATGCTTGGTGGCAGTGGCGAGTCCAAGCGAAAGATTCCACACCTGAAGCGCGTATTCATGGTCGGTGACAATCCAGAATCGGATATCCGCGGTGCCAACGAATTCGAATCATCTCACGGCACAGACTGGACCTCCGTTCTGGTCAAGACCGGTGTTTATAGAAGTGGTACAGTTCCTGCCCACAAGCCAAAGGCAATCGTTGTGGATGTCTATGAGGCTGTTAAGTGGGCTTTGGAGCAGGAAGGTTGGCATTCAGCCTTGTGATCATTTCATTTTCGCTAGTGCTTTTTTTGCATTGTTGTGGGCGCGGCATATCTTCTTTGGAACATGGGAACGGACAGCTTCTTTTTTAACATTGAGAAGCGAGCGAACATTCCAAAAATATACATGCATCGCGAAAGGTGTTTCATAGAGTGGGGGAGTTTCGGTTGCAATTTTGCTTAGTATGATGTGCAAAAGCATCATTTAAAGGCGATGGATGAGATACCAATGAGGACTGGCAATAGCCAGCCACCTCACTTAAATAGATGAAATAGATGAATATAGAAAGAAATCCAAAGTAAGAAAATTCGTTAGTGTTATAAGTATGTTCGTCTCTTTATGCAAGTGTGAGCTCCCCTTCCAGGTACGCAAGTTTTGCAGAGTAATGTCCTGTCCATGAAGCGGAGGCTATCTGCAATTCACTTCGGAGTCGACGTACTAATATTCAAGACTTCTTCAATGAACAAATTGAAGCTGGCCGATGATTTCCTTGGGCTAGAATCATGCACTTATTCTTATGGGCAACCCTACAACTCAATACTCAATGATGAACCTGAGATCATTGTACTGGCCAATACTTCTGTAGTCAATCAAAGGTGTGTTCAGGTCCCAATTGACCAAGCTAGTTTGTGACAACGCATCCTTTCTGATGGTTCCTCAGTCTCGCTATTCAGAACAGAAAAGGTTGCATTGTATAACATGGACCTTGGTCAAATGCAGTTTCCAGGTTCCAATCCCATGGTCAATCAGGTCCTCACCTTGCGATTGTATTCGCTCTCCCTCTTGCCAACTCCTTTCTGAATCTGTATGTACTTCCCGACTCCATTCCCAAAGTTTAAGGCGGAGCCGTCAGATGTATATATGTGGACCCGTTCTAAGTCAATATAACCGAAGGGGCTTATGGCTCTCCAGTAAATTCAGAGTGCTGAGCGCTACTGCGACATTTGCGGGCCATGAATGAAATGCAGTGTATATATGTGATAGAGATAAGTTGAAACAATACCGTAATGTGATATATGTATAAGAAGATTCTAATAATCGGACACCAAGTACTTGCACGGAGGCTGAAAGATTTGTGGATATATAGGTGAGGGAAATCATAGGAAATCAAATCGGTAGCCCATCGGGGACACTGCATTCCCCTAACTTAATCAGCTACTCGGAAAAATGATGCTCTTTAAAGACCAAACGATTTTGACATTCAAAAAAATTCTGAAGTTTAGAAGTAATGTGATATGATACGAATGCCATCTTCTCTCCCGAGCGAGCAAAGCTCAATTATGTTGTGGTAATGAACCACTTTGTAAGAGTGAATAAAATCATAGTCAGATTGCTTTGGAATTTGCAGGCTTTCGATTGAGATTAATACAGATTTAGATTTTTTGATTTGATATGTCTGGGGAGGAAAATTCTTCATCTCATTCACTGGATTTAGTATTAGGAGTTCGACTGATGCTTCTTACTTGCGACATACTTTTGGGAAAGTCAACCAACTAATGTCATAGAGCCGAGCCATTAAACTCCATGAATACTAGGAGGGTAACTCATCAGTATCGAGCTTCGCTTTTTCCTAACTCTTTAGATTCTGGCATATTAATTGGAGTTTACTGATTGGGACATTCTATAATTCTCGTCGTTTTGGTACTGATGATGTCGGCTTGGTTGAATGTGTAGTGACACATATAAAAGATATCGATATCTTCCTTTGCGATTCGATACCTCTAAGTTTCGAAGTTCAATATCTGAGACCTACCTTTTGGGGAAATCAGAAATAATGCTTCGGACAATTTGATTCTCTGAATGTCATTCGTTTCTTGATATTCTGCTCTTCGGCCTCTTTTCATGACTTGAACTACTCTGCGTAACAGAATCTAGCCCGCGGTAGAGTAGCGAGCGGGGCGGAATTATCCAGGAAAGGGACATTCTCGGCAAAAGCCGTTCCTTTTACATCTGTGAAACGTCTATACTCACCCCTATCGAATTGTTTCCTTCACGCCAACACATAGTGGATTTGGCGACGTATCGCAACCTCAAAGACCACAATTGCAGCAATACTCGACTTTCTTTTGATTCTCAATTCATGACGCTGGGGAGCATACCTTGCACATCATGAGTTACAGTAAGAAAGATGAAGATGGCGAAATGGCCATCATGCGTGTGGATAGAACCTCTGTTTTCCAAGAAGGTCGGTGAACATTCCCAATAACAGGCCAGCTAAGCTAACATTCAAAGCTCGATTGTTCAATTCTTCCCCTATACAACCTCGAAGATGTCGTGTTCTCCTTACGAAGATTGCGCTTTTGTTATACACCGGCGAGAAATTCCCTACCAACGAAGCCACTACCCTTTTCTTTGGTATTTCGAAGCTGTTCCAAAATAAAGATGCCAGCCTGCGGCAGATGGTCCACCTTATCATTAAGGAATTGGCGCATTCCGCTGAGGATATTATTATGGTCACAAGTACAATAATGAAGGATACTGGTGGTGGAACAGATGCAATCTACAGACCAAATGCCATTCGGGCGTTGTGTCGTATCATTGATGTGAGTGCGCTGGATTATTTTGAGGGATATCATTGACACAAACAGGCTTCCACAGTCCAGAGTATTGAACGAGTAATGAAGACCGCAATTGTCGACAAGAACCCTTCCGTATCCTCTGCTGCCCTAATATCTTCTTACCACCTATTACCTATAGCTCGCGATGTTGTTCGAAGATGGCAAAGCGAAACACAAGAAGCTGCAACAGCTACAAAATCGTCGGGTGGATTCTCCCTTGGTTTCTCGACTTCCAGCAGCCAGATGCCAGTTAACAACTCAACAATGACACAATACCATGCGATTGGTCTTCTATATCAAATGAGGATGCACGACAGAATGGCATTAGTTAAGATGGTTCAGCAATTTGGGGCCGCAGGAGCTGTTAAGAGTCCGGCTGCCACTGTCATGCTTGTCCGCCTAGCAGCACAACTGGCAGAAGAAGATCAACAACTCCGAAAACCAATGATGCAACTCTTGGATGGCTGGCTCCGACACAAGAGTGAAATGGTGAATTTCGAGGCTGCCAAAGCTATTTGCGACATGCGAGACGTCACAGATACTGAAGTTACTCAAGCCATTCATGTTTTGCAGCTTTTCCTTACCTCGCCAAGAGCTGTCACCAAGTTTGCTGCGATTCGCATACTTCACAACTTCGCCTCTTTCAAGCCCCAAGCTGTCCATCCTTGCAACCCAGATATCGAACTTCTTATCTCGAACTCCAATAGATCAATTGCTACCTTTGCCATCACCACCCTTTTGAAGACCGGCAACGAAGCCAGTGTTGATCGATTGATGAAGCAAATTTCAGGATTCATGGCTGATATTACAGACGAGTTCAAGATTACCATTGTGGAAGCCATCCGTACCCTTTGTCTAAAGTTCCCCAACAAGCAAGCCGGCATGTTAGCATTCCTCAGTGGTATACTTCGCGATGAGGGAGGATATGAGTTTAAGCGCGCTGTAGTGGAGAGCATGTTTGACTTGATCAAGTTCGTTCCAGATTCAAAAGAAGATGCGTTGGCACATCTCTGTGAATTCATTGAGGATTGTGAGTTCACAAAATTGGCTGTGCGCATCCTTCATCTTCTCGGATTGGAAGGCCCAAAAACATCTCAGCCTACCAAGTACATTAGATATATCTACAATCGAGTGGTTCTTGAGAATGCCATTGTACGAGCTGCCGCAGTCACAGCGTTGGCAAAATTCGGTGTGTCACAGAAAGATCCAGAAGTCAAGCGCAGTGTTACCGTCCTCCTGACCAGATGTTTGGATGATGTTGATGATGAAGTTCGTGACCGTGCTGCATTGAACTTGAGATTAATGTCGGAGTCTGACGATACAGCGGATCGTTTCATCAAAAACGGTATGTTTTGATAATTATAACTTCCCCTGAACAACTCTAACCATTACAGAAAACACTTTCGCTTTGCCATATCTCGAGCATCAACTTGTTATGTACGTCACAGCTGATGACAAATCAACTTTCGATAACCCCTTCGATATTGCTTCGGTTCCAGTTGTTACCAAGGAGCAAGCAGACGCAGAGGAGCGAACCAAGAAGCTCACAACAGTCACACCAACAATCAAGGCTCCAAAATCTGGTCCCAGCAAGACTTCGCAATCTGGCGCCGAAGCTGTTGCTTCCGGTTCTGCAACTGCTCAAAAATATGCCCAGGAGCTACTCAACATTCCAGAATTCAAGCCATATGGTGCTGTATTGAAGTCATCTCCTGTTGTTGAATTGACAGAATCTGAAACTGAATACGTCGTTACCGTCGTCAAGCATATCTTCAAGGAACATATTGTTCTTCAATACGAGGTTAAGAATACCCTGCCAGATACTGTTCTCGAAGAAGTGTCCGTGGTTGCTAGCCCATCTGATGAAGAAGAGCTCGAGGAAGATTTCATCATTCCTGCCACTAAGCTTGTAACTGATGAGCCCGGTACTATTTATGTATCTTTCAAGAAAATCAGTGGTGAAGCTGCTTTCCCTTCAAGCACATTTACAAATATCCTGAAGTTCACCACGAAAGAAATCGATCCAACAACTGGTGAGCCTGAAGACACTGGTTACGATGATGAGTATCAAGTCGAGGATCTCGAACTTACCGGCAGTGACTATGTTGTCCCTGCTTTTGCCGGTAACTTCAATCACATTTGGGAGCAAGTGGGTGCTTCCGGCGAGGAAGCTGAAGAGACGCTTCAATTGAGTGGTGTCAAGAGTATAGCAGGTACGTTTTCACTCCGTGGAATACTTTTGAGTGAAAAGTTAATGATTTCACAGATGCCACTGAACAACTTGCCAAAACACTTTCACTACAACCCCTTGATGGCACTGATGTGCCAATCAATACAACTACTCACACACTCAAATTATTTGGTAAAACAGTCACAGGTGGAAGAGTTGTGGCTAATATCCGGATGGCTTATTCTAGTAAGTCAGGAGTCACAAGTAAAATTGTGGTTCGTGGTGAGGAAGAAGGGATCGCAGCTTTGGTTATTGGGTCTGTTGCTTAGGGGTCAGCGATTTCCATGGAGTTGAAAGTTGGGTGCATTTGATGATTGTTGTTTAGATAATGGGTATAAGAAGCTGTGGAAAAATGGATTGGCTTCACCTCATGGAAGATGAAGGATACAGCATGAATCATCGAGTCAAAAATATGAAATGTATCACAATTAATAAGATTTGACATGTTCGTGTTTTCATAGTTCCTGTAGTTCATTCTCCAGATGAACAGGTCGAGAGGTACCCACCTAGGTAGTCTACTGTTCAATTGTGCAGTATTACTCTCATCTGAGTTATTAATATGCAATCAAATCCGTAATTTCAATTGATGTGATTCACTTGAACATTCACATTGCCTTTTAGTTATTAGTATTTTGCAGAAAATTCTGCAATTCATTGCACAATGTGTCGGCTCTGTGGCCCTAGGTTTCTTTACTGATTGCCCCTATCAAAATGCCTGAAAAGCTCGGTACTGATATGACGTTGCATAACTTGGGGCTTGGCACGTTTTTCTAGAATTTAGAATTCTTGATTTGAAGGTGCCTCGATTTTCCTTCAGATACCACAAAGAACGAAAGAACACTGTCCAAGTATTTCATATCTTTCTCATGAAATTTGTCCTTACTCGAAGTACCTCCTAAACAACCCAAGGTCTCGTCACAATGGTGTACGTACGACAAGAAAAACTTCCAGGCCTTAAGAAGTACAAATATTCCGGCGTCGACCATTCCCTCTTATCTCGATATGTTCTCAAGCCATTCTACACGAATTTTGTGATAGAATGTTTCCCGATGAGCATGGCGCCGAATCTGATTACTCTTACGGGTTTCAGCTTCGTCGTCATCAATATCCTGACTTTGCTGTGGTATAATCCAACGCTTGATGTGGATTGTCCACCTTGGGTGTATGCCAGTTGGGCTGTGGGATTATTCTTGTATCAAACCTTTGACGCGGTCGATGGGACTCAGGCGTATGTTTACATTCTTTTGCAATTGATACGAAAGGAATAAAGCTGACCTAGCGCGTCAAAATTACAGACGACGAACACATCAGAGTGGACCGCTTGGAGAGCTCTTCGATCATGGTGTTGACGCAGTCAATACTTCTCTCGAATGCTTGATCTTCGCGGCTTCGCAGAACTTGGGAATGGGCTGGAAGACAGTCATGGTCTTATTTGCTTGTGCGAACTCAATTTGTCACCTTCTACCAGCATTATGCTAACGATTGATAGCTCTCCTGACATTTTACGTACAAACCTGGGACGAATATCACACGAAGACTTTGACATTGGGCTTAATTTCTGGACCTGTGGAAGGAATTGTTATTCTCATCACAGTCTACGCGTTTACAGCAATCAAGGGCGGTGCCAGCTTCTGGACTCAATCGATGTTCAGGACTGTTGGCATCCCACATTACGCGTTTATCCCTGAATATGTTTATGAACTGCCATTCAACGAGTGGTATATGGTTCAAGGTGGAATTGTGCTGGTTCTCAACACTGTACAAAGGTAAATTTACCCCTCCTTGACCCTTGTCAAAAATGTCTCACGGCTAACGACCCCTCCAGCTCCATAAATGTGATCAAAGCTCGCAGAGCTCGTGGAGACAGATCTCGAGGCGCGCTCTTGGGTCTCCTTCCCTTCTTCTTCACGTGGTCGCTCATTCCAGCCTACCTTTATCTCAACCCTGAGATTCTTTACAATCATCTCGTGCCTTTCGTTTTCTTCGCCGGGCTTGTCAATGCTTACTCGGTGGGCCAGATGATCACTGCCCATTTGGTCCAACTGCCATTCCCTTACATGAATGTATTGAACCTACCGCTGGCTTATGGCGTCTTTGATTCTGTAGGACCATTTTTGAAGGAGAACTTTGGATTTGGATGGCCAAGTGCTCTTGGTGGTGGTGTATACCAGGTGGCATATCTCTTCTGCATGCTTGGTGTGGCGGTTGGAGTTTATGGAAGCTTTGTGGTGAGTATCCGTTCCTCTGTTCTCTCTTGTCATTTGCTGACACTGTAAGGTTGATGTAATTGTTACTATTTGCGATTACTTAGACATTTGGTGCTTGACTATAAAACACCCTTGGAACGAGGAAGAAGAGGCAAAGAAAGCCAATTAGAATACCCTTGTACGACAAGTGTAATGCGAACATGACGGCTGGAGGTTTTTAGCAGGTCGGAGCTGGTCTAGGGTTGGCATGGCTGGGCTGGTTTTCTTATGAGTATAACATCCGGTCTGTATATATACCATTTACAGCGAGTTAACAGACTAATCCATTTATCTCTGCAATATTTCTCCTACTCGGTTGTGCTGCCAAGGATACAACCTTCATTCAATGTGATGCTTATATCAAGAAAGAGAAAAAGGCTAGCCAAGATTAGTTTTCTAGTGGCTGCGAAGATGTGCACAATTCTACAATTTGATCTGAGATGCCAGGCAAGGCTCGCTTTTAGAATATCTACCTAATTACCCATGACATCTTCGCCTTTTTTTTCCCCCGCGTGTGAAATCTTTTTTCCGTTGAACAGTTTCTTGTGCCGCCGTTTGAACAATTCGCCGTCCAACGGGCATTGTCAAATTAATCTTCGCACTTTGGATGACTAGAAGAAGCGCCTCGGTATCAATATGTCACCTCGTTTTTTCACAATTGATCAATCAACACTGCCGGAAAGATCAGGAATCTCGGTCCGTGTGAAGCCGAAACAGCGAGATCTGTATTCTAAGGTTGCAGTGACGATGAACATCCAGGTCGATCTTGTTTCGATCCGACATGGTTAAATTCAATGCATTCTGCATTTCTAGTTCGGAGGTTATGTAAATTCCCGAAGGGAGTCAATTGAATTAAGCTTGATTCGAAGTTCGATCTGAGCCTGTATTTCCCAGTTTATTTTGCGGCATCTGCATGGTATTGCCCCAACCCTGCACAAGACAATGGAGACTTGGAAATGGGGAAGATGCACAGTTACGTTTGGCCAGAATTTTTTTGTCTATTTAAGCTTCTATATTGTCTCTATATTAAGATCCATATGTAAATTATTTTTCTGTATTTTCGGATAGCTATTGAACTCAAAATTAGATCGCTCAATTATCTCGCAATTTTGGCTGTTACGATCTTCTTCGGTAGTGCCAATGGAATCCGCCAGCCCTGACTTCTCGAGCTACTTGTACCGTTTAATCCAGTTTGAACGGTACGGACGATGTGCCTGCCATTTTATCTGCATTCAAAACATGCGGTAAGGATGGAACTGTCGTCTTTCTCAATCATACATACACTATCAACAGTATCATGAACACCACGGGACTCTCAAATTGCAACATAGATATTCATGGAACACTATTGGTGGGTTTTCAGGACTTCCCCTACATCTATTTCGTCACTAACCTGCCATGTAAAGTGGTCCACAATTATAACCTACTGGCTCAACCATTCCATGGCCTTCGGCTATCAAAACTAGACTTCAGCATGGTGGCTCGGCGGCGATAACATCAACGTGAACGGATGCGGATACGGTACTTTGGATGGTAATGTGCAAGCTTGGTATGATTTTGTCAAGGGAATTTCAAACTATCCAAACAGACCTCATGCGCTTACGTTACGAAATGCGACGAATTCTGTGTTTAAAGGGCTACGATTCGTGCAGAGTCACATGTGGTATGCTGTATTTCAATGGTTTTGTTTTGTGATGATTCAAAGAGTTAATGACTCAGACAGGACAATGACAATCTTCAAATTTTCCTCAATCCTCCTCCAAGACATCTACGTAGACAGCAGTTCCTCTTCTGGTAGTTCCTCACGCAATACAGACGGTGCAGATACGATTTACAGTGACAATATTCACTTTGATCGCTGGACAGTTGTTAATGGTGATGATAGCATATTCATGAAAGCTAACAGTACCAACATATTAGTCACCAACTCCACATTCTACAGTGGGTTGGGAGTGGCAATAGGCAGTATTGGACAGTACAGAGGGGTATACGAGAGTATTGAAAATGTGACGGCGACGGGAATTGTATTTTATAAGACGTTGCATGGAGGATATGTGAAAACGTGGACTGGGGAGCAAGTGGGATATCCACGCAATGGTGGAGGAGGGGGCTTGGGGTGTGGGTATCATTGATTGTTTCTAATGGGGATCTTGAGAATATTTCTAACATGAACACAGTTGCGAAAAACATTCCATTGGGAAATTTGTCTTTCCATTCCTTGAGGCGACCACCGTTTTCAATCTCACAATGTCTTACAACATTCTCTGGCGCAGCAGGAAATTGTTCTTCTTCAGCGTGTAAGTACTTCAGCTCTCATTCTCTCCCTCTTCCCCTTTCCCTAACCCCACTAGTTCAAGTTTTTGATCGCATTTTCTCACGGGACATATTACCACATCACTCGAGCTAATGCCCTACAGTTCAAATAAGCGATTTAAATATGTACAGCGTATCCGGTCGTATGACGAATCCAGTAACCAGCTTCCAATGTAGCGCGGTCGCCCCTTGCACAGATATCACCATGGAAAATATCGACGTCGTGGATGCGAATAAGACGGCCGGTGTAGGGTACAAATGTACAAATGTGGTTGGGACGTCAGGGTTTACTTGTACGGGTCGTGCTTAGACTTCCGAGAGTAATGGAAATTGTGTGGGTTCTCTCTATGGACCTTGGGAGAAGAGGTATTGATGAGCATTTTGGGATCAGAGCTTGGAGAACATTGGGTGAGCCGCATGGAATGAAAAATATGTATTGCTTAGTTATATCCAATAACCAAAATGCATCTTCAAGTAAATACATTCCTTCATGGCCGTACACAGTCTTTTAGATGCATACAGTGAAATACTGCATATAGGATTACATTGTGGATTACATTGTCGGTCTTCATTTAACCCATCAGTGTCGCCTCGAAGAGATTCTCGGATGGTCTAGCAAGAATAATCATCTTATGTGATTGAAACAATCTACTTGGTCGTGCCAGTGAGAGTGAGATTTTCTGAATCTGCAAATATGAAAATGATATGATTATAAAGATGAATGAATTATACGCAGTGAAGTACAGCTTGGTCTTGTTTGATTCTGCGAATTTATTAACAAATCGAAGGGGTTGTTTTTAGTGTGAAAGAGTGGCCCGGAATATGAGCGGTCGAAAATAGAATAGGTCATTGGCCTCGTTGACGTACTGCCAACTCCGACCTATTCCCCCCAGGTCCGACAAAGGACACTTCAGGTAGTCCGTAAGCATTCTTGAATGATAAGTTCTGATTGGTTAAATAACTTGAATATGAGCTTGTCGGAACAAGTGATTAAACATGTATTTTATAAGATCTTCGAACAATTGTTCTTATTCAAAAAAAAAAAAAAAAAAAAAAAAAAAAGGTGATGTAAAATGTATTAATTCATTGCGAGGTTTGGATGAGATGAAGAATTAGTATTAGACGAATGTACAATTTCCCCTTGAACGACGACGAGTCTGGGATATTACTCTTGCGGGACCCCTATGGAGTTCACAATGAAAGACCCGGGGGTAACCTTCATTCAAATCCTGCGTGTTTTGCTTCACCACTGCATAGTGACATATATCTTCTTTGAGCGTTCGTCTAGATCATGGCCTACTGCTTGGTCGGCGCTGGGGGACTGGCGGTTTGGGACCATTCACGCTTCAATTTTCGCGAGACCCCTTAGTTGTAGATAATCACAAGACCGTTTCGCTGAAATTTTACATAAAGCTCATTATAATTCTTTTGTGATTTAGTATTCAATACGTATTTTATATATTTTACACACATATCAGCATTTGGAATCGTTCTTCACAACGATAAACTCATTTCTATCATTATCAAATCATTATCACAATTTCGAATAAACATGCGACGAGTTAAGATTTGTTGGTATCTACTATAATATAAAACAAAAGTCGGTCTCCACGAAGCAGGAAGTAAAGATTTTTTTTGTTTCAAGCAAGAGGGAAAATTAGGGACAAGTCCCGATTTATCTTAAGCAACGGGAAGAATTTTGGGGACATATAGTGGTGGTGGGTCAAGTACTCTTCAAAAGCTAGCTGAAAGATGGTCGAAAGATCATGCCACTGAAGTTGTGGGAGAACGACCTGTGAGATTTCACTTATACTACTTCCACGAAAGGTATATTTTACCAATCAGGTATATAATCCAGGCGCTAGCAAAACCATGGCCTTTGGCAACCATCTTAGAGATGGAACGCGCTTTAACCTTGAATGGGACGAATATTCTCTTGATATTCCCAAGGCTCGTGTTGATAGCTTTCCATTCGATATGAAGATGGAGCAACGCAAGAAGGATTGTGAGAAACTAAAAAGTGCGCTTGATATTGCGAGGCATGCAGGTAGAGGTATTGAAGTTGCTTCTGAAAAGGTAAAGAACATGAAATCCAGAATCAAGCGTTTGGAATCCTTTATCGGAGACATGAATATGAGAGTTAGGCAGTATGAGGAGAGATATGATGAGGTGCACAATGGAGAGCGTAGTATTGATGGTAAAATGTGTAGGGCAGTAAGGAACAGTAGCAAGACGCGAATATAGGTCTACGAACTAGCGAAAAGTAGATCACAGGTGGAATAGAACAAGCTCGAAAGCCTTATGCAGGGGAATTGGAGTGTTATTTGTGCTTTTGGAATTGGGAGTTATTTTATTTGTTTGGCAAATATAATAAACAGTACGTAGATATGGTTCATATGAAATTAGCCTCAATTAATACTGGTAAGAGCTCTGTCCTGTGACAAAGCCTTTCACCTCGTAGCTATTACACTTTAATACGATCAATCTTCAACCTCTGGGTGCCCTCATATTCTAGTCTATACTTCCCATCCTACCCTGTAGAGAGCCATACTTTAAAAACAGAATACTAACTAGTAGTTTCCTTATTGAACTCGCTTGATCACTTCTACTGAATCCCATTGCTGATCAATATAAAGAATCAGTTCAATCAGTTCAATGATGAGTAATGAGATTTTAAGGGTTTATATTATATTACCATATGAAGGTTTAGGGCATGTCTTTATTCATCATTCCGTGGATCTGGCTTACATGGAGACTCTCATATGACAGGAATGAGTAGCTAAGGTTCAGTCATTTATCAGTCAATCTCTTATGTAGACTAGACATTAGAAGAACCTTTCGAAGATTTGAATGTGGATATTCAAGAAACACCAAGATGGAAGCGACTTCAAGAATGAGAGTTAAATTGAATAACGTTCACTAAACGCTCTAATTAATTCATAAAGACATACTACCACCCAAAACTCCAAAGAGGAAACAACTAAGAACTCCTTGATGTACTTCACTTGTCCTGAGCAGTCTGTCTCATCCCATATTTCCAACAATCAACCTTAACACCTTTGAAATTCTTCAATACCATCTCATAAATCATAGTAACTCATCACTGCCACTTGCGACACTGTTCTCGATTGCATCCAGTATTGCGCTCTCCTCGAAAACTGGTCCTTGCCCATCGCACTTCGCAGCGTTCTTCAGTCTTTCACTAACAATTCCTACATCCACCAGACCTTGCTTGTACAGCGGATGTTTGATAATATAGTCCCACGTCGCACCTGCCGCCAACAACCTTTCCCCTTTATCACTCGTTACAATTCGATGGCTGGGAAATTTATTGTCGTGCGCATATAGAACCTCACTGTAAAAGTCCGTAGGTGTATATTTCATGGGGCCTACATTTGACAGAGGTTGCGAACCTCCATGGTTCGAATGCCTGGACGTCGCTTTCAATATTTCATTCTCCGTCGCAGCTTTTGTCAACTGTAGCTTCAAGCGCTCGTTTTCTTGAGCCAGATCTCCGGTACTTTTTTCGAACTCTGCAAGTTTGGCCTCTAACTCTTTGACGTGTCGCTCTTTGCGTTCGCGAAAGGCCCGTTGTCTGATTTCTCAGGTCTTAGTATACTACGGTATAAAGTAAAGCTTCAAAACGAGTGAGCTCAAAGAAATGGTCTTACGCTTGGCGATTTTGGGCTTTGCGCCGGGATTGTGCCGGAGTCAAATTCTCCTCATCGTCGCTATCTCGTCGCATCGCATTGTCGACTATATCGGTAGGCATCTCTGTGTACATGGGATGGGAAATCGATGGTTTGTGCTGTGAAAGCGGGGTTGTGACTTTAGGAATGCGTGAGTCGTACTGATTGGCATAATCATAGGGTTGGAATTGATCAAAGACATCCTGCTGTTTGATGTTAGCAGGAGCATTCTGCTCACAAGGAACGGGACAGATACAGGTGGAGAGTTGCTGAATTCATCGGTATTTGATACGTTTGTGTGAGTTGGAGTAGGAGGGAGAAGAGGGAAGAACGGCTGAGCATTCGGAGTGTAATATGAATAATCCATCTTAGATGTTAAAAGGAGATCGATGCGCCAAGAGCTTTATCGAGTAAGAGCTAACTTATACTATTAAATAGTATTTGGTATCTTTAATGAAAGGTATTCCTTCGATTGTATTGATATATCCGAGAATGGTTACAATATTATGAACTCTTAGGATGAATTTGATGGCTTGTGAGGTCGTAGATGCTTGGAGCATTTGTGAGTAAGGTACACGCTAGGAACCCTGGAATTTGGTAGGGCTCGTGGCGATAAAAACGCCTGAGCATCACACATCTTTCCCCCCTCGACCCATCAGTACAGTTCGGTAGAACATCACATTGCACAGATACTACTTGCTCATCCGGATCCATCAATCGTGCAGATCTGTGCTTTTAATACTTGTCATGTCAACCATGAGACCTCTTCACTTATATATACTACGCGAGTAGGCATACTAGTTGCAGGATATGTATAATTACTCGGTCGCAACAGGTGCAACAGACTGCTGGCGGCAGAAATTCAACAATGTCCCCAAGAAAACGGTGAATATTGGGCATATAAATTTGATCTGACCAAACAGCCTGAGTGCATATACGAGCTATGCTGTTGTTGCTGACACCCATTAGCAATCGAACAGAGAATTCCAACGCGAGATGCTCCAACCTTCACTGGTCATCTCCTAGTAAGCAGCAGCGGGATGGAAGACAATGTTCGGATAGAATCTGGACTACTGTCGTTCACACGACAGGTCGCTCAATATCCTCCCAATTCGGATGGCATACAATACGCATGTCCCGAGTTCGGTAGATGGAACTAGTTCGAGTTACAAGCGCTCCTTATGTGCATATGCATGTTTGATGTCATACGTGTGCGAGCCTGCCTTGTGTTTCCAATGACGACCCTTGTTTACCGTTCCGTCGATCACTAGGCTCTTGTCAATCATCGGCAGGCATGTGTCTTAACGGATCAGACGCGAAGGATCAATAAGCGTAACTATAAATTGCTATCTGTCAAGAAACGACAATATTGCAAAAGAGCTGCTAGAATACATGTCCCGATGCTCTTATGGAGCTTAGACATGTGAAGCCCCAGCTTCATGTACTCAGGTGTCAGTTGTCTTTTCTTAATTCTTGCAGCCATACGTATGTACGCATCAAGGCGACCTTTACTAGGCCATGAGTAACATTTATACACTCAAATCTAGTTTCGCCATCGCGAGAGCCACCCAACTCTCCAGGCTAGAGCAGGAATCAGTTCAATACATGAACAAACGTCCAGACACTCTCACAACTCCCCCTACTATTTTAAGATCGAGTAACAATAGAGTCCATAGCGAGACTTGATAAAGGCTCCGCAGGCCACTTCGTGTAGTTCCGAGTATGTACTGCAGTTAACAGATAAGCTTATTCCCATGTTTCTTGTTCTATATTTCATAGTGGAATTTTGTTTGCACAGATATCATCTGAATACTGGTTTAACTAATGGTTTTCACTTGTACGCATCATTTCTCCAGAAGTCATTAAAGGGCGAGAGGAAACCCTTCGACTGAGATTTGCCATCACGTATTCTTTAGAGCTTACCAGAGTACTAGATACCGGAACAGATGTAAAAGAAACCAGCCACTTTTCCTTCCCATACCGGCCTGCCTTATCAGTAGATCTGTTTAGCAGTTCTAGCGCCTCATTTTTTGATAACTATTGCATCGGAGCGACTTATAGCCGTACACATGACTCGCACCCGCACTCATGTTCCGCTATTCGGTTAATTATCAGACTCATCCTCAAACATCTTATACATAGCTTCCCTTTTGCTATAACGCAGCTTCTCCCTCCAAGTAGTTCAGCGAAAGTCCAAGCCTTTCGGCATTATGCTCGGTCAAAGTGAAAAAAATGTAGGGAGTTGAATATGGAAATACCTGCAATATCAATGGATTTGTACAGTTATCAGCAAGAATTGCATGGCCCCTAGTGCTACTCATGGGTTCTGCGGATTTCGATTAAGAGCATCACATCTTACTAGATGATTACCGTATGCTTCGAGGGAAACTTGGGTATCGCCGACGAGAAGAACGGCTTTCATGTACTTGAAAGTAGGCTGCTTGTAAGACCATCATATTGGAACACCGGTAACAGATTCATGAGGGACTGATCCGATATCTGACACCAGAGTATGTTCATCTCATAGGGTTCTGACGTCACAATGAAATGGTTTTAGAGAGTTTTCAAAAAGATGACAGACGATTGATTACATGAGAGTGCTAACCTACCACGTGAAATAACGCCATCAATCGTTTAGAACAAAGCTCGATAGTATCGTTGAGACAATGATCGCAACGTATGTTACTCTAACTAGTTCCGAGAATGCTTCTAAAGCCTGCCTCTAGATTGGGCGCTGTCGATTTGCAATTCCCGGTGTAAGGGCGCGCAACTGTTGTCAATAAAAAACTCGTCGAACAGGCGAAGGGATTTCCAGACTGTCAGTCGATCAGTTCACCATGCTCGGAGCCTACTTATATTCCAGTCCGAATATCGCAGCCCAGGAACAGAATTTCTAGAGACTGTAATGCTTCACTCCCAAGGCGGACGTGTCATAGACTTTTATTCATGCCGTACATATACAGTGTATATGTTCCATCTGCGATAATGAACAAGTAAATGGGGGGAGCCATTCTATATTTCAAACTTGATCGTTCACTTCTGTGTGGCATTCTGCACAAATTGCACTCAACCTGCATCATTCTGTATAATCTATTCTGTGGGTATAGATCCAAGTATAATGTTAGATTCTCAACGGTACTATCTCGTATCACAACTCAGTCTTATCCCTGAATCGTACGAGTATCCCGAATGGCGCGTAGGTACTAGAATCATTGGGCATGGCTTTAATGCCCTATTGGTATCCGTTTCCTGACATACTTGAAAACGTTCAGCCAAGCTTTCGACCTGGTGGATCGATTTTGAATATAACATGGTAGTTTTCAGTGGTGTTGGAGCTGTTTGGACAATTCTATTGTCACGTTCTGCACGGGGAGAAGTTGTCTATAACCGCGTAGCCACATGATCCCTACAGTTTGCACCACAGTATTGTCTGAGGCAGATAGAGCTCTAAGGGCAATCTTGAACTATGGCTGCGGTGGGTATACAAGCCAATAATTCTGCTTGTAATATCATGAACGAAACAATGCCGAAGCGTAAAGATCATCCTAACGATGTAGGCTGTCACGGCCATACATAGTGAACTACGTGACATTAGATTTCATCGATCTTTTTGGCCTACCGTATTTCCTCATTGTTTAATGGTACAATAACTGAGTCCCCCTGACGATGATGGATTGAATTCTCTTCGACTAAGGTATAATAGATAGGCGATTTCCCGAAGTTTTTCAACAAAGGCTACATAATTAGAGTTGCCGTTTGATTGCCCATATATCATTCTCCCATTTCTCCTATTATGCTAGATATCAATATTCAATGTTCTTGGAGTCCAACGACTAGCTTCCATAACCTTGGCCGCGCTTCCCCATTTATATTGGTATTCGCGTCTTCCAGCGTGTGTAGATCACTCAGTTACTTGTGAGAACTTGAATGGGTTCTTTTGTTAAGATGATGTCGTCGTTCATAAATTAACAGAGCATCTGTATTCTATATGAAATCTTCTCTGAGGCGAAATGGCATGAAGTGTCGGCAGGCAGAGTTCCAATAGCCTGGGTGAGTTATGTCTTCGTCCCTTCCTCCCACTCAACCACCTCCCACACCACGACACCAATAACTCAGGAAGCTACTGCAAGATCTTCCATCATATATCTCTCAATATTCTACTCAATTTCATCAAACATAGCAAACATACCAAAAACACGGGTACCGACGCAAAATTAGTTATCTACGGTTCAGGTCGCACTGTTCTCCCTTCGGGTTCCGGGTGTAATTCCCGGCGGTACCGTTCTCTTTTTTTTATTCTTCTATCTACAAAATCTACAAGTGATGAGTTATAATTCAGGTTATAATATGTAAGAACTGCCAAACAAATTACTTCTAAGTCCTTCACTAGATTTCAAGTAGAAATCCGGAACAGTCATCGTCGTTGTCACCGTTATGCGCCCACATGTTGAACCTCATTCCTCGGAACGCTTTCTGCCGAGCGACGGTTGCTTCCTTCGTCGTTTTTCGCAACTGCCATTCTGTAAGGGGTACTGCCTCACGAGCAACATCCAATAACAATGCCCTGTTCTGATTTTGCTCTGAACTCCAAGTTAAGTTCTTGCAGCTCTCTAAAGTGAGCATGATAAGAGCTTTCAGAGTCAAGTTTGCGTCATTGCCGTCACGATGAAGAGAATCATAACAATATGGGATTTGGAAGAATTTCAGAATCACCCAGAGACGTGCTCTCGTCTCTTCCTTGACAAGACGCCTAACCAGATCGCATGTATCAACCACGATCATGTTCGGGAACTCACTTAAATCCGGCATCAGTTCCATCTTTCTCAAATTGAACAAATCATGGAAAATCCCATTAGCTATCAGGATCACTTGACGAGACTCTGTTGACTTGGGGAAAGGGCTTCCAGTTCGCAAGACCCGTTGAAGCAAATCCTTAACTTATTCTCTTCCGTGTATTCGGCCTCGCCATATCGGAATCTTTTGCTGATTGTTTTGTAACGATGGAGTCCAAAGCTATATGTCGACAGGACCTTATTCGTGTCAGACGTCGACTTTTGCTTGAAATCTTGACGGTCTCTAGTATCCAGCGTACAGATACCGATTTCACTGAGCTGTGTTTGGTCCTTGCTCATCTCGAGGTCCATGGATACAATTATGCATTCTCTCAAAGCATCGGGGATGTCAGCTCGAAAGGGCTCGCAACTGCATTGTGGTAGTTGTGATGACACTTCAGAAGGAAACCCAAAATTCTGCTGAAGTATTTGAATGAATTTATCCTCACAGCATGACTGGTAATGAGCTTCTGTACTTTTGCAGCTTCCTGTTCGAAGAATGTTTGAATCTTTGAGATGTGAAGTCATTTTGTAGACGTTGGTTTCCCGCCATGCAGTAACAGGTGCGGAGATAGCTAGATAATTGTGAGATAATGAGATATTGTAAGATAGTAAGATAATTTTGAAGTAGCTATATGTTCGTATAATGAGATTTGAAGGGGCAGATAATTGATGTTTTCGATGTTAATTACGAGAGGGGGGAAACTGAAAAGATTTATGTGGATATGCTCAGTTTAGATAGAAATCTACTAACTTTCTAGCTTAACCCTAACATTTTAGTGAGAAACGGGCTCCTATGTCATTGCTAAATAGTACGCTCAATAATCTAAACTAAATAAAAGCATTTACTAGTCTTCCGGTACATGAGAGACGCTGGGCAAATTGAAAATCTTAGTAAATTTTGTACAATGGATCAATCGGGTGTGGAATTGATATGATATGCTGAACTTGTTTTTAGTGTTAAACAGCGAGATATCCCTCATGTTGATAACTTTTCAGACACTTCATCCTGCTAGATGCAATCTAACAGTGCACAATATAGGTACCCAAAGTAGGATAATCCAATGTAGCCAACTGCATCCTCCATATCACAAAAATAAGTGAAAATGATTCTCATCTCAAATCTTTCTTCGTTTCTCTGAGCTTTCGATTCCTGAAGGACTTCTTCCTCTCCATCGCTTCGTTTCGTTGGTTGAATTTCCTGCTACGATGGCTGCCCACATTTTCTTCTCTTCTTCCTCAATCATGCATCTCTCGAGGTTCTGACAAGCCTGCTTGAGATTTTTTATGAGCTCCGGAGAAAGATCTTCACGATCCTGACGTTGCGGATACGGGTGGTCACTCTCCGAGTTCGAGAATGAGGCAGACAGGGGACTCGGTCCAGGCGCCATCTTTGACTTAAGCCTGAAAGTTCTCTGTGTATGATACATTGGAGAGGTGTTATTTGAATTTGATGTTTTGAGATTTTGAAATTGGATATATAATGGTGATGCTGAATGTTCATCTGAGGTCATTAAAGATTCCAGAAGAGAATACGGAATCTTTTGCCTCGGTGCAGTGTCGTTATGAGGATTTGGAAATGGTGATATATATAATGTAATTTACTTTGACTGGATGAGAATATATACTCATCCATGAAGATATGAATGACGCAGATTTTGAATTGTAATCAGTATCGATAGTTGAATACGGCAAATGTGAGTGTGAATGAAGCTAGGTATGGCAGACTCCTCAAGCTGCTTGGCTAAGCGAACTCTAGTACGAGACGAACTTCACTACTAAGATTGAATGAAGCTAAGTTGATTACGGTACACGTATGTCACAAACATTTTTCATCTCTCATGATCAAAATGAGAGTGTTATCCCATAGACTACGGGGAATACAGAGGAGAGTGGAGAGGTGGGAAGTACGGGAATATGGACTTTGGGCTCTATCCCTGAAACGCATAAAGTATGGAAAGTCGATAACCTCGTAGTTTTTTATTCTGATTTCTTTTCATGTTTCCGTTCAATAGGCATATCTGAACTAAGTGAGAATGGCCTGTGGCTTTTCTGAGGCTCTGCGAGATATCGTGACACAAATACCCAGATTTAACCACAGGGGTTCGCTCTAAAAATCTCAAAGTCTCCATACTTCTTTACCACTCTATCATGAGCTTTCAAATTGACAACCTAAGAGCTTACTTGTACCTCCTGAATTTGAATACAGTTCCAAGGATGTTTCTGGGCCTTCAAAGAAAGTGGAAATTATTGCAGAAATAGATTTCTTCACTCAGTTCCTGGATGTTCATCCACAGTGGCGCACACAAGGTGTTTTGCGAGAATTACATGGAATCGAACTTTCTTGATGCAACTCCAGAATTTTCTTTCATTGTTTAATATCCTGTTGCTGGTAGATACTCTCTAGTTCTACATCGATCCTATTGTGCTGCGCATGTTTCATCTTATGCCTCACAAAGACAAATGCTTATTATATATCATCCTGTACGTGAGTATCAAGAATTTTTTCAAGCCAGTACATCAATTCACATCGATTACTTCATTACAAAGTCACTATAACAAACATCAAAAACCCGACTTCGAATCACAAATACCACATCACATACACTTGACGATGACCAAGATGCTAGCACAGAAGCAACATTCCGACAAACTCCTCGACCTGAAACTTCAGAGGAAGAGAGCATCGATTAGAAAAATTAATGCAGAAACCAGGAAGATAAAAGCAGAAGCAAAATGGTTGGATGCATATACAAAAAGTATTATCATTCATAATAAGCAGGCGAAAGAAGCTGCCACGGCAGCAACCTAGGTACATGAGGGAAAGACAGGAAGTGGGTGTTGACTTGGAGTACCTCTTGAGAGACTAAATTGGGGCTGTTGAATTTTCTTAGTGGTTAAGTCAGTATGGAGGATGTGAAGGGGTGTGGAGGGGTGCTGGATAAATGGTGAATGGAAAGCAGGTTCCATTCAGAATAAAGCTTCCTTTTGTGCTATCATTGAAGATGTGTCTGGCCAGTATTCACAATCATGAATATGTTTTTTCATCTTATGCTCTTGCCTCTGTAGTGCATTCGATTATTCTTCTCTCTTGCTCCTTGATCGTTGTTCTCCCTTAGGTCTTTCATCAATCCTTTTTGGAAAAGCTTGGTGTCGTTATGAATGTCACCTTAATGTCTGTGACAATACTGGCACTTCATATGAGGCTCGTATAGAACTAGAGATTGTTGCCATACATGACACAATAATCATTCATCAATTTGCCTACTCTACTCCCTCCATGGAAATATAGATGTGATATTACGAATATCTACTTCGTAGATCTCATCCTAAATCACTGTGATATCCATTTAGAATTACAATATCTTGGGAAATATTAGTAAGTATTACTTGAAGAATGGTTTTGAATGGAAGTTCAAGGTTCTCTGAGGATCATGCTATTCAGACTGCGAAACAGTCTCTCACCTTGTCTTGTGATACGATACAGAGGTGAGATAGCTATCAGTTCCTGATGGGAGAGGAGATAAGATTTGGGATGGAGCAATTTGACGTTTGAAATCTAATACCATACTTTACTGTCCCTAGTATTTCACATTAAAGGGGAGAAAAAAGTTGAAGAAGATATACAGTAAATCTAAAACATCTTGTCGAATATATTGGCTACTCCAGTGTCTTATTTTTGGTTATCTAAAGATAGCTTATTAAGAATTCGTCAATGGTGAATGAGATATTAGGATCCAGTCTCTAGAATCATTAGAAGAATTCCATACTACAAGCCAAACCCTTTCTCCAAGCCATTTAATAGTAGAGAACCACACCTTTGTACACCCACCCATGGACTATTTTGACTACCTATGCAAAGCCAATAATGATTTTGATCACTAGGCCTCTAGCCCAAGCAGTGAGTTATTAAAACCACCAGTTACTCTTTATTATCGCAACAATTCAAAACAAAGTCAAGAGCGTATCAAAAAAACCACTATGAGAAAACAATACGGTTGAAGCTTCCCCCACCAAAATTCCAGCCAATAAAGAGCAGGACCCCGAGCCGAAAATCCCCTTTCTTCAAAACTCCACTGCCATCTTTCAAACACAAGTTGTTTTTTGACAATCACTCTTCCATCAATTGATCTCTGGACAAGGATTTTTTGATGGTAATATTTGTCATTATTGTATTCCTCACTAATTAATCTTCCAATATGTCGTCATTTTCTGTCCCCGCTGTTCGCAATGCTACTGGTGCATCTGCTGAAAATAGCGTAACGGCAATCATTATGCGCAATCGAGCGATTCTCTACGAGAGCAACAATCCTTCCAGTTCTTTCAATCCTTCTGTCTTGAATTTACTCGATAGAATGGTATGTTATCTTCTATCTATACTCAACTCTTGGGGGTTCCTTCTTATTGTCAATATGACTACGAAATCTTATCGATTTTCTTTGAGCACCTATGAAAGAAGAAAGGAAGGACTCACCACGCGATACTTCCTCATTTTACCCTTTCCAAGACCATAGCTAACACAATCAAAGCCCAATGACGAAGCCTCCGAGTCCAGATTTTTCGCCCGCTCATCCGAAAAGAGACAATCCCACATCAACACCACCATGCTTCTCGATGGCGCAGCCGATGTCCTTCAACAGTCTGTTGAGGAATCCCCCGAAAACTCAAGCTCCCAAATTGAAACCGTCGATGACGAAGTCCCACCTCTCTCTTTCTTCCGCTGTTGCCAGGTTAGTGTTCCCTTCTCCCTTCCAACATATTTTACCGTTATATTCCCCATTTCCTCGCGATGTGCACAAGCTAAAATATACATATAGTGTCAACAGACATCCAATTCGCCAACCTGCAAAAGAGAAGAAAAGAAGATCGGTGTCGTTCAGGGAAAAGAGCAGAAAATCCTGGTGGTCAATAGTGAATGCGAACATGAGAAGTGTTCTCGATGCGTTAACGTTGATGAGAATGGAGTACGTCTTGGTGTCAAGCCGTGGGAATTGGAGTGGACAGGTCCTGTTGTTTCAAAAGAGGCGTAGAGTTTGATGTGGATTGGGAAAGTGTAGGGGGCTGTGAGGAAGGCTTGGTTCATTCTTGGGGCTGAGATGTTTGGACAAGTTGGGAAAGAACTCTGCAGTACGGTGAAATCCTAGGTAGCGATTGCAGATTACAAGAGGCAATATAAAGAGTAAAACCTGATGCGGCAAGACGAGTTCTTACCCCATAACAACCCAGTGTACCAGTTTCCACCGTCAACTCAAAAGCTAATGATTATACATTGTGAATTGCAATTCTTGATCATCTGAAGGCCAGTGACTTCATCAACTCCATCTCTGATTCGGCACCAAAAGGTCTAGGTATTATTAATCTATGTATACGAAACCTCTCTCAAATATATGCTGTAACAATTGTCGTTCTTCCATATCTATATACTCTCGCGTCAATGTGTTCAAGGATTTCTTTGTGACTGCGTGCTCCCATCTAAAAGCCCTCCACTTTAATACACAGAAAGAAGATCAGTATCTTAATTCTTCAAAGGAAAAAGTCAAAGCGATCATCGAGTATCTCACTTCTCAGAATAAGTAGCTGGGACCGCATCCCCTTCTGTCTCAGGCACCTGAAGTTGTTGATCCGGTTCTTGTCGGAGACCTTCCGCAGGCGCTCCTTCACTTTCCACGAAATGTGATATGCGTTCTCGTGGAAGCCATGCTCCTACGGGTGTAAACCACCAGGAAATCAGTGCTAGGATTGTTACACCTCCCATAATTATTGGCGCATCTGTGTTTTATCAGTATATGGCGGAGGGATGAGCAGCTACAGAAACAGTCGAGGGTTACTTACAATTCAATGTAGCTGCAGTGACAGGGAATTCATAAGGACTGAAAAGGATTGCCACAACCCAACCATTCCAAAAGATTGAGATGAATTGAAATGGTCTACTCCATCTACCTAAACTCCATCTTGGCTTGGGAAATGTATGTGGTGTCAAGAAAAATCTTCCAAAAGCAATAAGTCCATATGCGGCCGCCGAGGGAACACCAGCAGCGGATATGAGGGATGTGAATGCGACTGCAGAAGGTAATATGGTGCAAGTGACAAGCGAGGCACAACCCCAAATCACAAGGACGGCGTTTCGGGGTTGACCTTCAGGCGAGACACGTGATACCCAATCCGAGAATGGAAGAACGCCATCGCGAGCCACTGCAAAGACAAGTCGAGATGCAGCGACAATAGCAATCGCGGTATTGAACCAAAGTGCAACCACTGCAATGATGTTCATGAAGACATGTCCACCTTGTCCTAAGACCACGGCATAGAGAGGTACGAATGGTTGAGGCGAACCGTAAGAGAACAGAGTATCCGGATCAGGTGTGCAGAACAGAAACAGAATGATGGTGGCAAACCCTCCTACTCCACTGACAATAACACTCCAGAATATGCCTCTGGCGGCTGTAATCGAAGCGTTTTTGGTTTCTTCGGCAACGTGTCCAGAAGCGTCAAATCCAATGAGGATACCAGCAGTAGCGAGATAAGACAAACACCAATTCCATCCAGCAGGTGCACCGGTTCCATTGTAAGTTGTCATAAATGCCTCCTCTGCAGTTCGGAAACCGATGGTTCGGGCAGCTCCTATTGGTAGCCAGATGAGATTGAGAAGGAAATCAAGCATGACTAAAAAGCTCGATACCCAGAAGACATACTTAAAAAGACGGGCTAATTCATATGTCAATATTTAACAATTGTTCCAATCAAGTGTGATAACTCACGTGGTAGAAAATTCACGATTGCGGCTAGTGCAAGGAGAACCTCAGTACAAATCCATTGAACTGCTCGGAACTTGATATCACTGGTATCCGTTGGAAAATCGACGTTGAAGACAACAATTTCCTGATAAATATTAGAGAACGTCCAGCAAAGAAAGTCAGAACTCGCTCATGGAGCTGTGGGAATATCACGTGCACATTAACTTACCGAAAGCATGTAATTGACAGCTCCTTGGGTATTGCCTGCAAGTAATTAGGATGAATTTTTGGAATCATGAATCCGAGATAAGCTTACTTGCACAAAATGTCATCCAAGCAGTAGTACTCCACCACGCAACAACGAATCCTAAAAGTCGACCATACTTGGCTCCTCCAGCTTCAGCTGCCCAGAGATAGATGGAACCAGCTGAGGGTGACGCAGAACAGACTTCTGCTATAACGGCTGCAGTAATGAAGGTAAAAAAGCATGTTACAAGATAACTCGTCCTATAGAGACAAGAGTGTTAGAAGTCAGGTGAGAATTTCTAGATTTCAGGTGCACAACTAACCAATAAGCTAAAGGACCTCCGGAGGCGATTCCAGTGGTGTAAGTAACTCTTACGCCTCCGACGAAGTACAAGGCAGCGAACGATGTTGAGAAGTTCTCAAAGAGAGTGTATGTTCGATGTAACACCTGTATCGCATTTGTGAGTTGTTGAATCGTTGTATTTTGGATTGAAAATTTGACTTACGGGTTTGTAGCCAAGAGTTTCCTGATCGAGTAGATAAGATTAGTTTGAATGTCATCCATCATCAGGATCGATTGATGGTAAAAGCAATGACTTACTAGTTGAGCATCATCTCGGGCCTCAATTATGACACTCTTGTTGTCTTCCCCATTGTGAACCATGTTGTCACTGGTTATCTAGTACTTGGCTAACAATTACCAACGAAAGGGTTTGGGAAGAAGGAAACAAGAGAAGATAGAAGTGATACTAGTCACACTGTCCGAATCCGATGTACCTAGCCAGTCATTTAGTACTCCGTACTATGCCGCCTTTATGCTCCCGAGAATATCCACTACGAGGCTCAATTAGTACGCGGGACAAATCACGACAGAGGAAAGAGATTTCAATGGCGCTAACCATTTCATTTTAGCCGGAGAACCAGAATCCTGATGGTTGGTCGGTCCGTTTGTCATCGATTTATACACAACCTTATTTGGCCCGTTTTTCTATTTTGATCAAATCGTAGGTATTCATTGGAATCGAACCTTTGTGACAGAGTGGGAATAAACAGAACGGTATGGTACATGAATAATAACTAGTAGGTAGTATTTGCATTATGTGCAATTAATTACCTACGAAGTACCTACTTGGGTAGGTACAGAGGACGATATAATTATTCCGTGTGTCTGTCGAACTTCGTACATTGTAGAAAATTGATAGCTATTGCAGTGCACCCCACTGTTATCGTTACCCCCACCGAGCCCACTCCAACGTAAGATTAATACTAGACCTTCTTTGGAAGGAAAGTATTTTGTGTTCTCAATGATATGTCTACAAGAAATCGTAGTATTCTCGTTGATGTGACTTCTTTCGACGTCGACTAAATACTACTACTATCATGATTCGAGATGAAGGCGATAGCCAAGTAATCCTTTGAAAGTTCAAATGTTGAGCAGAAATAGTTTGGGGGATGCAAATAACCCTTTAAACTATATTCACGTTAAACTATATTCACGCTGTAGTTTCGATTCCAAAATGAGAGACTTCATTCTCCCACGACGACGTTCTGATCGTGGCAGATTCCAACAACTAGCTTTATAGTTATTTGATTTGGTGCCATCTCAAAATTTTGCGTGCAGTCGAAGCATGAGGCGTCAGATGTCCGTCACAAACACAAACTTGCGGATGAACATAGCTCCGGACCTTATTTAATCGTTTTTCCTTTGGCTTCGATAAGGACAAAATTGCCCTCTCTTTTCCTCTCAAGCCTTACAATTTTAAACCGCTTCGTCTGTTCCCCACTGCACCCATCAAATTTGACGATGCCTCGTTGTTACCTCTCGTCGATCGCTGAGCGTCTCTCGTCGTACATTGATTTACTCATCACCAGTCTAAGTGTGAACGATCAAGAACAAGCTCAAAGATATTTTTGAGGTACTACTTAATACCATTAAAAGACTGAGATATAGTTAACTCTTCGCTTTCATGAAATATACTAGCTCTAGTTAGGACTGAACTTCGGTCCAGCACGCCTGGAGCATTTCGAGTCACGCAAGTGTGTTGCCATAAATACATTTACATCACTCTGCATCATGCGAGGGGAAGTTATAGATGGCGCATCATGACTTATAAGTTATTGGAAGCGAATCTTACCTCGAAAGGGATATGGCCTTGTCAAAGAGTCGTATTGCAATGCTTACTGGTACAGCGAGAAAAATTTAGTTTACATGACCTAGCTATCTACCTTTATGATCTGAGAAAAGATTTGAACTTACTTATAAGCAATTCTAATTTCCTTACGGACATGCAGCCAGCATCCATTATCAGCTATCTCATCTGCCCATTCCGTCCTCTTATCTTTCCATCTCGATTTTCACTTGCCAGCCTCCTCATTGTCAATTTCAATTTACCTGCTCACAACTCCATCTCCATCTACACCGACTGCAACCTTTTCGCGCCCATTCACTAGCGGTATTCATGCTTGTTCTTTCTGTGCACCTCTAGTCTCAGACTTTGGAGATCATTTAGCTCTCCATACCAAGATATATTCTGTAGTAACCTTGCATACTGTTTGATTTCTCCGACACAAAACTAGAATTGTATTGGGGCTACTACTTGAGGTCTCACTTAATCTATTGTTGTCGAAAATGGTGGTCTTCATTTGGATGATTATTTGTAGGGTATATAAAATGAAGATAATTAATATGTTGGAGAGAATAGCGTGGAAGGGAAATGTGGCATTCAAATCTTGAGTCGGTTGAAATTTTGGCAATCATGCATCAATTGAAGCTTATCAGATTCACTTTTTCTCCTATAACAATCTATCTCTCCACATGTTAAGGAATAAATATCTGTCATTCGATGGTAACAGCTTGATATCATCATCAAAAAATCACAAAATAACCGATGACTTTGCATATTCGTCCAAGATTGATTTCTACCATACACCACAAACAAGAATGTCTTTCGCACAGGAGAGCAGCATTTGAGTACAATGCAGACAGTTTGATTGAAAGACGAATGAAAATCTCGGCGCTAAATCTCCTTTACCGAAACCAATCAGGTTGATTCGTTGATACCACACACTAAAAAAATGCAATAACCAATTGCTGCGGTCCTATCTTAAGCCCTCTGCCAATTTTCTTTCATAGACGTTTGGGATTAGAAATGAACACAATTTGGCGTCCTTGGAGCTGAAAGAGCAATGATGCATGTAGCCCATACGATAACCCCCTTTTGTAACTCATTTGGGATCCTAAGCGAAAACAATTTATTACGAACAAGGCCCTGAACAATGCGTTGTCACTGTCACTAAGCCTTTTTTGCAAACTACTTGGGACACTGGGTGAAAATAACTAAGCGCGAAAGCTCGGAAGATAATCCAACCCCGTTGTCAGCCCATGATTGTTTTTTCTTGCAAACCATAAGTTCTTCTGATCTCAGCACTTGATTCAATCCATTAATCTGGATCACTGCTTCGATTTCTGCACATAAAGATTTTCTGCTTAAATCCAAAAGGCCATCTTCAGTTACTCCCTTTAGGTTTCTTTCAATCATAGCCCTCTAATTTCTGTTCACGCCCTATAGACAAGCAATTTCTTCGATTTTCAGCATTTTCACAGCTCCTCCCTCAATCTAGCATGTGGCACAGCAAGCATACCGTTGGCAGTCTTTTGGAGCATCTGGAAAATTACGATGAAAACCAGAGTTTCGAATCTTTGTTGTATGATGAAGAGGTACGTAATTTCGTTTGGCGCTTCTAGTCAAGGGAAATAGATGTAACTCAGTTCACAGTTTGCTAGCCTTCTCCGTGGCATCTTCACATCTCTACCTACAGAGTTCCAAAACACGGCCCAAGCGATGCTCGCCAAGACCAATCAACACAAGAAAAAGAAGACGAAAATTTCGGCATTATCAGCAGTCATTGAGATCAACAATATTGCTCTACCGCCCACTCTACAAGATCACTATCGATTGTGGAAGGAGAATCCTTCACGATTCTGGCATCCCGTTGAAAGTTCGATTACCGATCAATCACTCGAGTTCATCGCTGTCGAAGCATACCTGGTGGTCCGAAGTCTTCGTCGGCGACAAGTGCACGATACCATCCTTTGGAGGCTCTACGCACCTTCTTTTACCAGCTTGCATTGTTGTTAGACCAGAGAAAAAGGGTATCAATAATTGAATTACCTAACAATCTCTATCAACGACTCATCAAGGCCACACAATGCGAGAAGATCCCCGATGAAAAAACTCTTATTAAGACGAACCTACAAACTTGGGTCGCTGCTGGGTCGAGATACAACAAAATCTGCATGGCTCTCGACAAAGGTGCCTTGTTTTTGCTTCCTCAGATATCAGATGCTATGTAAGTCATCATCTATTCTGCTTTCGAGATCAGCATACTAATAGTATAGATGGGAGAATTCCACTTGTCTAAAAGGTGCAGAATTCGGCGACGCAATGTCCCATCTGAGGAGCCAGGGCATTATGGAGCTATCAGGTCAGCTTGAGGCTGACGCTGTGGCTAACAAAATTCTTGATGCCGCGCTTGGCCATTTCAAATGGAATGTCGTCGATTCAAGGACTTTCACAGCCAATCAATCAATTGCTCCAAAGATATTTCCCGTTGATACATACGCCGAGTCAGGAGTTGTTGAAGCAGGTCCCTCCATCGTATCGCAAGCTGTTACTGCCGGTCCATCCAGCGAACTGAGGGCTTTTGAAACGAAGCCAATTTCAATTTTTTCGCTCTTAAATTCACCAGAAGCGGCACACGATTGATGATACATCGAGAGACATAGATTTACATCTACAGCCGCGCAACGCTAGTGAGAAGCGAGAACGTATTAATTAAGTCTCCGCTTTTGATCTAACTCTTACAAAGCACCTGTGGTCGCCGATCCCAGGTGTGATTGTGTCGGGTGGACAAGGAGAGGATGGACAGAAAACGTCCTGTCTATGGTAAGATGAGAGGCTGGTTTTACAAAGAGGATAAAATGTGGTTGGGTCCATCATCATGTCCACTTGCTATTAGCACGAGCAGAACGAATACTTTACCCGACGAAATGAACAGTTCACATACTCGATTTCGGTATTAAAAGCTCAAAATACAAATATCGAGAAACTTAATAAAATAATACCCGTATTCACCATAGGGATGAAGATGAGAAATGTTCATGTCCGAAAGATGGAGGTGAGAGTGATTGACGATGTACTATATATTGTCATTTTGATGCACGTATATCAATCAATCAGGTGTTGTGGTTTAGTGATATAAATCCATCGTCGCCCAAGTTTGCCAGTGCCGCCTTGAGCAAAGACACCGTACGACGATATTCATATACTAAATCGTAATTCCTCGGTCCCGAAAACTGTAATCCAGACAACAAAATGTGGTAACCTTGACAAGGGATAGAATCGGGGTCTCGTTACGCGTAACGCAGGGGAGCATTTCCTCTAAACCGCAATCAGGAAATTTCGAACATGGCGTACAATCTTCAAGGTTGAAAGTAGCCATTGAAAAGACCAGCGAGATCCCACCCGGACAGAAACACGAGATTGTTTGTTTGCGCACTAATCTGGTCGACCAATCAGAATCAGAAGAGCGCAACCATTGGTTTTGTTCAAGCGATGATGTATTCGTACTTCTTTGAGTACGATTCGGTTACATTGATTGAATGGTGATCAGATCCTTACAACAAATTTCTTATCTTCGATATTCGTACATTTTCTGAGCACGATTAGGTCTTTTCTGTTGATTGGTGATTAGCTTCTCGTGTTAAATCATTTTATTTTTAGCTTCTGTACTCATGTGAGTACGATTAGGCCTTACCACGGCTAATCAAGCTTCGCATGGCACAATGCGACTTAACCACAACAAAATCATGGCTGCGCCGCAGACTGCATCAATAATACAAACACGTTGATGATGATCATTAATGTACCCGGAGATTATAAGAGAGTTCCATTCAATTGATTCTGAGTCGTAGAGATATATGACCTCTTATACTCTCCTCATCTCCAATGCTATTTCATCAAGAAAACATACCACTTTATTACTATACCAGTCGTCTCTATACAACCGACATGACCACTTCAGCTCCCCATGGAGCTGACCAGCTACTTCATGAAAGAGCTCAAGCTTTGAACGGCCTTTTTCGTACGCGGAGTCGGGATCTTCTAAACCTAGGTATGTTGCCAAATTGCACAAGTGAATTAGCTAACTTTATGAATTCAAACAGCTTTGACGATTGATTTGGGCGAGACACTTAGACGGTGCTTGCTTGAGGCTTTCAGCCAACCCCAAATTCATGACCATAATCAATTCGCCTACCATCTCCTTCTAAATTTTCTTTTATGCCTTGAATTAGGAAGACAGCCCAGGAGTGTCGGTAGGGATCTCATTCTCTCAAAGTTGCAATAGTGCTCTTTCTGATAAGTTACAGATGATATACTTAACTTGTTGGGCTTGATAGGGCATGCTGATAACATGGACTTGACAGCGGACGATGATGTGGTTGATTTGATAGTGGACAATGATATGATTGATTTGATAATGAATAATGATATGATTGATTTGATAATAGATGATGATGTGATTGATTTGATAGCGAACGTTAATGTGACTGATTTGATAGCGAACGTTAATGTGATTGATTTGACAGTGAACGATGATGCTCTGTACCAGGGAGAAGATGAAGATTCAGTGTATTCGAAATTCGGTCGCTTCGGGTTTTGTACCCATCCACCTACATACAGTTTCTAAGAACAAGTAATCTGTTGGAAAGGCACGCCTTCATAGGTGTATCAGGATCAACTACGCTCTTGATTATGTAGACAAATAATAATGTTATTTTGTGACAGGGCATCATCTTTCAATTAGTCTGAAGGAGTACTAATCAGATTTCCGGCCTTTTGGCCATTCCCTTGTGCCCCTCTCATCCCAGACTGGGCTCCTATTCCCTCCATCTACCAGGACCAAGTTGGGGGAGACGCATATATTGAATGTATAAATGTAACACACACAATCCCAATCATTGCATAGACCTTGCATAGCAACTTCATCCATTGAGCGAGAGTTTCACGCACGGATTGTGATTAATCCATTCAGAGATTGTAACGAATTGAGCCTTGTTTCCTATTTGATCTTGAAAACAAATATGTAATTTGCATATCACATTGCATACATATATCTCTGCTTAATTTATCATGCATTCCATCAGTCTTGGTTCTCGAGCGGTTGATGAACAGAGCAGAGTGGTATATGCCCAGCTGCAAGATTCCTTCAACACTTGTCACTGTCAAGCTGAGAGGGATGGTGCATAGTGCTGCCTCCGGGGCACCTCACTTCATTCCAATCAGATATGCCTTTGCGCATTCAGCTACAGGAGTTGAGTAGTTAATGTGGTTTATCTCGTGTAATGAGAACTACAAGGTAGTATTCGGAGCAACAAGATGGGATAGGAGCTAGCCATTTCGTACGCAGAACCCTGTGCACGAATCGTACTTGCTAACGTCATATAAATAACTGTTGAGTATGAAATGAGAGCTAATGAATCTCCTTGAGAACTGAACGAGTTGAAACGAAAGCCCTAGACCGGAATCCCTAATCCAAAAGTTTTAGTTACTATGGGCTTTCTTGTGGCTATCAGTCCAGCCCAAGCTGTATTATCTTCAGGTCAGTTATTACATCCACCAGGTTGGGACCAGGAAACCTGCAGATGTAGTATTCGTAAGGCAGCTTGCAGTTACGAATTTCCACAGATATTTGTAGGTCCAGATCAAGACATATCGCTTGAAAATAGCAACGTTTCTACAAACATAAATGATTCGAATATATCGAACACCATTAACTCTATCAGTATACATAAAGCAAACAACAGAACCACATCTCCGATATTGGTATACTGCCGGGAAAGTTGGGAACACAAACTACGTTCCCCGATGAGAACCTGGAGCAGATGTTAGAGCGAATGCCACTGAACTGGGATCAAGATTCCTCTATTACTGATAGAGAAGTAAGCTCGTGGCTGGAACCTGATATAGACATTAAGAAATTGATCGTAAGAGCTTAACAGGTTAATCGAGATCAAGATATTCATTTGTAATTATAGAATCAGAAATCGATAGTTAAAAATCAAAGCCTGAAACTTCCCATCTATATAAAAAGAGTATGAATATGTCAAATCATTCTGTCAAATAAATGTATGATTAGCCTTTATATTCAGAGGTCTTTCCTTCCCCTCAATTTTAAAGTCACTCTCGAATATACGTTTATATACTCCTATTAGAAAGATGAAAACCCCAGTAGCGAAGTTAGGATCTGCAAGTGTGATAGTGATGTAAACCTCTCTCTTCAGCCTAGTTTTGATTCTTGTTGGATCGACGTTTTGGGCGGAATATTCGTATATGAGCTGGTTTTGGAGGTGGTATCTTATATGTTTCAAGCAACTCTTTGTAAGGCCACTGTATCCGCCGTACTTCTATATCTATTAGTATTGTGTCGTAATTGAATATGGAATACAAGAACTTACTCTCATAAATCCCTCTCGAACACCCAACTAGGTACCTCGAACTCAGTGAATTTCTCTCGCTCTATTTCGATCACTAAATCGCCTGGCATTTCATCTGCTGCTTGTTGCATTAATTGTAAATGAACCGCATCTCTGACAGATGCACTCTAACAATCGTATATCCGTTAATGGTCGCCATCGCGAATATACCATAGGAAATGTTGCTGGTTTGGAGAAAAGTTTACAAAAAAAAAATATGCAATGTCCATGTGCACGTGCTGGTCTTACGATAGAAAAACGTGTGCCTGATTATTAGCTAACTTTGAACTAGTGCTGATGAAACAGTCGACCGCGCGCAGTTGGTCTCGCTTATTAGTATGCTTAGTTAAGTAGCATTAACTCCATCGACGTGTACTCTTTCTTCTCTATTCTCTATTTCTATCTTTATCGTTATCTCCATTTCCATCTCTATCACCGTCTCTATATCCCTCCATCTTTATCATCGTCTCTGTATCCCTCCATCGCTATCATACAACATCTTTCACGACTATACGAGCGCGGCCTTTCTATCGCTATCGCTATATCCCTCCATCTTTATCATCGTCTCTGTATCCCTCCATCGCTATCATACAACATCTTTCACGACTATACGAGCGCGGCCTTTCTATCGCTATCGCTATATCCCTCCATCTTCATCGAACAACATCTATTACGAAACAAACTCCTCTTTATATTGTGTTATATACCAGAGTTGTGTTTTTCAGCATCTGCTGTTTAAGAACCGCCCTGCTAGTGGTAGTTTTTCAGCATTTGCTGTTTAAGAACCGCCCTGCTAGTGGTAGTTTTTCAGCATCTGCTGTTTAAGAACCGCCCTGCTAGTGGTAGTTTTTCAGCATCTGCTGTTTAAGAACCGCCCTGCTAGTGGTAGTTTTTCAGCACCTATTGTTTAGAACAACTCCAGCACAGTTTATATGTTGAGTTTTGCGGATCACTTCTATACCCCATTCTGTTTCAAGTCCAAGAGTCAAGGCTGCTCTATAGCCTGGGTGGGTTGGGATTCACACGCAAAGTGTGGGCTAGCATTATTTCAATACATTTATTTTTTAACTAGGATTATCGCTAATTATACTCTTAGGGGTAAACTATGTCGAAACCAACTAAGATTCTGATTAAGGAATTCGGGCTACACAATCTCCTTCGCGAGAGAGTGTTTGTAACATGGGAAGATCAATCAGGTACATCTCGTGTGCTAGGTTGTCGTTCGGATTGTAATGGGCAGAATCTCGAATTTTTCATAGCTGCATATTATGATATGGAAGGACATATCCATATTCACTTTTCCCTTCAAGTGTCCATTATAGTTAGAGGCAATAAACAGAAAATAGAGTTATTATTGGTTGTTCCTCCAGACGCCGATCTTGCAGATGCTTCTAGGTCTCAAATAATATCGAATATCGATAAATTGTCTCACTATCACGCTTCTGCTATTCACGACGCCGGTATCAGCAATTCAACACATGTTATTTGTATACCATTCAATCTAGTTGCAGAAGGGTTCGTCGTTATGAAGAAGAAGCAGAGTACTGCGACTATGAAGGCCGCGAATCAACCCTCAAGAGAATTGATTCGTAGCTTTCAGTCTCTATCCATTACGAAAACCTTCACTGGATACATCAAGCCAAATGATTATGCGCTGGTGGGTCTGGAAGATCTTCGTAATCGTTTGACCAACACTGGTACTCCCGGCCCACGCAAAACTATCACGAGGGAAATGTACATTCGACAAGCGCTTGAATTAGTGGAATGGAGTAGATTTGACGCAATATCACCACCACCAGCGTATATCGAGACTCCTCGGCTATTCCCGGAAATACAGGTTCCCCGCTCACCACCAATGGTTTTTGAACAGAAAACGCCTTTAATCCATAGTGTCGAAGCAGCGATCGCAGAAACACCAACTCGAACTCCAACTAGCTCTAATCATACATCGGTGCATGGCATTTTCTCTTCTAACTGTGAAGAGTTGCTAGACAATGAAGTGAACTTGGACGATATCGAAGAGGATACAAGATCTATGGAAATGGAAATGAACTTCAACGTGGATTCGGATGAGGAACAGCTTGCTATTTTGAAGTCTCGAGAACTAAGTCAGGAATTCAATTATGATTTAGAAGTATTACAGATACTTGATTCGAAGTTGTTAAACTGGATACAAACAGCAATACGGATAAATTCAAGCATCTACGAACACAATCATTTGATTACCAAGTTGACAATTCTGGGTAGTTGTGTCCGTACATCCAATACTGGTATATTTGATGCTACTCTACCCTGGTGCTCTGCATTATTTTTTTACGATCCGTTTGATTCCGATCCCGATAATACTCTTGGGCTATGGGAGAAGAGAAATTCATGGCTTATTTCAGATATAGTCAGATTGATTCAATGGGCCAATAGATTCCATTATGGTGCTGAGATGAATCCGTTATTATTAAAGCATTTTAGGAGATTGGGTGATATAGCTCGTACTATTGCTTTAAATACTAAAAGTAATAAAAATGAGTATGAAGATCAGAAAGGTGTTTGTATGGCTCGTGTATTAGTGGAGTTTGGTAAGCCGGGTATTAGTACCAGCAAAGGGAACGGCAAATCTGTCTTTCGACATAGCTTGGGAACTGATAGCAATGGGTCTAAACGAGTGAAAATGTAATACATACAATATCAGGCTGAAAAAAACTTGTATGTTATGCTTTGATGTGAACAGCGAAGAAGCAATAAAACAATTCAATCGTAGATATATATCTATTTGCCCAGAATATACTCAAGAGGACAAAGGTATTCAACATGACCGAGTGGTCTGTGCAGTCAACACACATGACAGAGGCTTTGGCACGGCTCGTCACTCATGTGATGGAGAGATTCGCGAATACATCACAGAAGTGCAGGGTTGGGAAGGAAAGTGGGGGGGAGGACAGGGGGGCTATATAGTGCTGTGTGTTAGACAATAATTAGGAAAGTAGGAGTAGGGAATCTGAGGTTGGACATGCGCAGGTTTTGTAAGAAGTAATGTTACTGAAGTCTTGATTCATTTACTATACTCCTGCTCCTATGCATTAAAACACCAAAAATAAAAGATTCTAAACAAAATAAAAACTCTTTTATATAATCCTCTAAAAAAAAACCCCAAAACCACTTAGTACTCCTACAAATACTCAATCTCTAAACACAAGTCCGTATCGAAAGACGTTCTCCGATCAATCCCGAACGCTCCTTTGTAAGCAAAGTGAAAACCCCTTTTAGAACATTTTCGTTTGGCTTGCCATTAGGTATGTTGAAACGAGTTAGGTAACTTGGAGCTGGTCAGTCGGTTGTTTACGAATATCAGTTTCATAACCTACTTCTCCCAGTACTTCCAGATACTGCGATATCCTCGTGCTGCAGGAGGAACAATTGATAATTTTTTCCCCAAATTTTCACCAAAATCATCAACGTCTGCAAGCAAGTCATCGAGTGAAGTACAAGATGGAAAACGAGATTGAATACGGGAAGAGGAAGCAGGTGAAAGGAAATCATATTGATATACTACGGTAAACATGGTCTAAGTAAACGGATGTTGGTTGTCCAGTTTCGTATCTATGCATGTACAGATTCTGGAAATTGGTGGAAAGAATTTAACAGAATATAATAAACGAATACTGTTTTACTGAAACCCTGATATTCAGTGACGGTTTACGGGAAAGGGTTAACGAGAAACGCGTTAAAGTAGCAGCGCTGGATAGTTTATATTATGTATTGTCCAAGTGTAGAAATAAGAAAGTGGTGTTGTGGTTTAGTGGTATAATTCTTGCTTAGGGATTTATTAATCTTCGTTGATTAATTCTCCATGTAAGAGGTCCCCGGTTCAATCCCGGGCAACGCCCAAATTTCCCCTTTTGAATTTGACTTTTTTGCTCTGGTTTTGGAAGTAAGAAAAACATGCCTTTGGATCAGATGTGATGTCAATCAACGTTGTTGTTAGTTATTACTAGCGTTTTTTACTCCTCAGCGTCAATTTTTTTGAGATAGGAACAGTTGTTGGGTGAGATCTTACATAAGCACAACCCCCCTGTACTCACTTTGTGCGTCGATCGCGCTGTAGATCTAGACGTGGATAAACTTTTGACATTTATTGATCTCATGAGATTCTGTCGAACACTCACTTATCCAATTAGGAGTCAAGTAGGAGTCAGAAATGAAGAGATTTCATACGTGGTACTTCGTATCATTCTTTTATCATTTGCCCGTAGTATATATGGACATGGTTATTGTATCTATCCTTTTCTTTCCTTTTCAACATGGTCATTATCGTGAGATATAAGAGTTTAAGCCCCAACTTATCGCACACTAAACGAAAACACATCAAAAACCCTTATTTCTTTAACTTTTAAACTATATATTAATTCAATTAATTTATAAATTAAGTTTATAAAAATAATATATAAGATTAAGAATTATTAAAATGATTCAAAAAAACAAATGAAATATTTTTAATTATTTTTTTTTGATAAAGTTATAAGTTCTTAAAATTGAAAGTATCAAAAAACTTGAAAAAAATGATTTTTTTTATAGGAAAAGTATTATATATTATAAATTTTGAAAAATTTCAACTTTAAAAATCTATAATTTTATTAAATTTTATAATTTCAAGAAATAATTTAAATCAAATATTCTTTATATAGTTATTTCTTATATATACAATTTTCAAATTTATTTTTCAAATAATTAATTTGTATAAGAAAACAATATTTTTGTAGGGATTTTGTTATGAAAAAGAATGATGTATATTAAGCTAGGGCCTTAACTCTTACATTGTGTATATATATAGATCTGTAGGTCAATATTTATAGAGAAACCAATTTATTATATTATACTTTGTCGACCTCAATTGCCCGATAAAAAATTCTGTTGATATTCCACCTTTCTAGCACGATTAACCATATTCGATATGGAAAAGCCAGCTGATGAAAATAGATCAAAACAACAAATAATGAGACAAATTCTCCGTTTCTATTGCGCCCCTTACTTACTTCTAGAACACTAATAAGTAAGGCCAGCCATGGCTTCCCACTGTAAGATATGTTCTTTCATTTTTGTATTAAATTTTAATCCTTTATATGATTTCTCCTCAGACCAATAAATCATGAGTTCCTTCACCGACAACCTCCTCCCCATCTATATCATTGGAGAAACCATACGCGCCAATTATGCATACTTTGCCTTTCACACAACTCCTCAGATAACCCCATCACTGATTGCGCTTCTTTCCGAAACTCTCAAACTTGCTATCGCAGCTATAATTATCAATCATTCCGAGGAAGGTCTTTCTTCTATCAGAAAGAAATTTAACAGGAATGGCTCTAGGGATGTTGTGCAATACGGTGTTCCAGCAGCCTTTTACCTCATCAATAACCTGATATATTTCACGATTCTGCCGTCCACATCGCCCAGTCTTCTCCAAGTATGTATGCTTGCGAAGATTCCCGCGACGGCGATCCTGCATCATTTCTGGGTGAGGAAGCAAGGAAATGCTCGATCGTGGATATCTCTTGGCTTCCTCTGTTTTGGGCTCTTTCTCTTCAATATCCCCTCGGGCAATGATACCAAAGGTTGGCTTGTGGCTCCTGTGGCAGGATTGGTGATCGCGGTCTTCTCTGCAATCGCTAGTATTGCTAGTGAGTCTCTTACCAAGACTGGTTCATTCTGGGAATCTCAACTATGGCTCTATCTTTGGGGAGTTTTCTTCTCCATCATCACATACCCCATTGCTACATGGATAACGGTTGATTGGGGAACGAATGCAAATCTCTCGGTAACATCTACGGCAACGATTGCTATCTATTTCTCGTGTCTCACATCCGGCGTCGGCTTAATCGTCGCTGCTATGCTCCGGAAAAAAGACAATCTTACGAAATTGGTGGGAACTTCGATTAGTCTGCTCACGATTGCCGCAACGCAGTATGTCATATTCCCCGCGTTGCGATCATCGGGTTTCACGGCGTGGAAGATCATGGGGGGATTGGTAGTCATCATCTCGACGGGTTGTTATAATTATTTCAAGGATACATCTCCAGAGAATGTCAGTTCGTTTAGTCGGTTACTTCCAACCTCCAATGAGTACACTGAGGATGGGGAGATCTCAAGATCTGAGAAATCAATTGCTGTATCGGCAATGGAAAGAATGTTCTCATGGTTTGCTTTCGTTCATCAGAGATCCCCATCTACTTCTTATGGGTTGGTTGAAACTCGGGAGGCTGAGAGCGAAGAGAGATTGTCAACTGCTAGTAAAGATTTAACTTAACCTCGGAAATTGCTTCCAAGCCTAATCTTGATTAGAAGGACATCGGGAGACTTGGAGATTCTCGAGAAGCTCAAGTCCTTGATAAGTTGGATGAAGTTTGAAGAGGTCGATCATTGGTCATGATCTTCTTCGTCGGTGGCTCTATACTCAGAAAGTAGGGGACAAGTTTTCAAAGCCATACCTTCTTGATATCATCTAGCCGTAGATTAGACCGGTATCTCTATTTTACTGTGCTCGCAATATTTGTCACAATCTTGCGCATTTATAGAGTTAATAAGCTAGCCGTTCTCTCCACGCAAATACTTACCAAAATCAACAACAAAATCCTAGACCTCATTTCCCTCCCCCATCCCTCCCAATGCATCTCTACAATCCCAAGTTTTGCCAGCCTATCGCATAAATCTCCCTCCCATTAACTTACACTGCCCCTCTGTCTCTCCAGTTCCACACACCACATACTCACCTCTTCTCATCCCCCAAACCATGGATCCCCCTCTCCATACAAATCCACCATCTATCTCGCTGAGCAAGTACCTGTACAACCTAACTATTTTAACTGAAAACCTGCTAGAGGATGCACACCTAGAGAGAGTACTCCTCGGACAACAACTCATTTCTCAAGAATGCAGATGATAGATCGGGATTCACAAGGTACCCTCCTCCCCATCCTCCCTCCCCGCTCCCCGGGACATCTCATCTCACCTCACCTCATCTCAAATGAATAAACACTATACTCTAAACATCAGCCAGTAGCATAAGAACTACCACCAAAACCCCAAATCGCGTAATCAAATTCTTGGGCGAATTGGCATCTGTCAGTAGGTATATATATAATAAATTGGAGGCAAGACCACGCAACCTCAAATATGGAACTTCGCAAAAAGTCTGTGAGGAGTCTTCCCACAGTTACAACGTATAGATTTTCTTGGCGAAATAAGTTGAGACGAGAACGGAAAAGATCTGGAAGATTCCGTAACAAGTGTGCATATGCTTACAGTAGGCATTCCATCTCAGTCTTTCCAATCACTACAAGACGAGATCTCAATCTCGAAATTTTGCGTTGAAGGACCTAAGCTTCTCTGACTTTCGTCCAGAAAAACACAACCAGATATAGAAATGAAAGATACAAACCTTTATTCACAACACTCAAATGGTCACGCATATATGAAGATCAGAATCTGAAGAACGCTTATAATCTCATATCGTTTCGTCATCTATCGATTACATCAATTGACAAGTAAGTCGAGTCAATCAACACCATGCTCAAGAGCTACCATGCTTCTATGCCATGTCACCCCTCCCAACAACTCCCCACTCCAGTGATGCCACTGAGTTCTTCTCTGACCTCAGCCCCACATATTATGAATACCAGATACACCACCACCCCAGCATACATACTACCCGTCCATCGCCCATCTACTCCTCTGTATGTTCATAAACAGTGATTATGTACTCTACAGAGGCGAAGGAAAAGTAGAGTTTATGTTTGTGATCTTCTATCCCCCATTCGAGACGTACCAAAACAAATAACGCCAATATAAAATGTATCCGTTTCCGTGTCGTACTTTCGAGAAAGGGGAGAGCCTGTTAATATCGCGGACAAGAAACTATCCGCAGGAAAAGAAAATAAATCAAATGTGTGCATATAACATCTACGGGCAGCCTCCAGCCTCCAGCTTCCACCATCTATCTTAACCTCCTCAGTGCCGTGAAAAACGAGCCCCGACCTTTTAGACATTTTAAAGTGACCGAAATCTCTTCTGTGCCACGGTTTAGTCCTGTATGTACTTGACCACTCTTTGGATGCCCTCTGTAAGCGCGTAAATCATGGCATGTCCCGTAACTGTTGATATCGCATCTTGTTTAGGGTTTTCTTCTTCGAATGTATAGGATCTTCCATCCAGAGCAATCTTTTTGTCTATATTTGTTTGAAAATTATCCGACAGTTCATTATACGCTCTGTGGAGCAAAGGTTCCGGTCGGCGGAGGACTGTTAACCATGCTATTTCGTTTGTTGCGGCTCTTTTTCATCTGGCTCTTCAACGCGCTGGAGTCCAATGGCTTCAATAGTTCAAAGCTGCAAAGTAATTCTGTCGAAACACTCATGACGGCTCCATAATTGTCGAATTCGCCACAGTAATTTGGCGCAGAGAACACCGTAACAAGGACTCGCCCCTCAAAAAATTCGTAACCGTCTTCAACAACCATATGTGCCCGACAAACCAAATCAAAATCATGTCTCAATAGAAACTCCTGTATGACCTTTTTACCAAACGAGTAACTAACGCCTCTCTCGCTCTGCTCCCAATCTGCTTCCTGGTCTGCGGGATCGGACCACAAAAGATCATTAAGTAATCCATAATCAGGGACGTCTGTTGGTCGAGCAATATTTCTGATATCATCCATATGGCTAAGAGCGGGAGATAAGCCGCCATGAACACAAAAGATTTTCCCTGCGACGATTGCGGCGATAGGTAGCTGGCCACAAAGTCAGTCAAAAGGCATACATACTAGATCAAAAGGCGGTTACATACACAATTAAAGACATCTACAAATGTCTTCCACACTTTGACATTAGCTCTTCGTTTACACTCATCATAGAATCCATAGACTCTAGTAACGTTTGCGCATTCGTGGTTGCCTCTTAGCAGAAAGAAGTTCTCAGGATATTTAATTTTATAGCACAAGAGCAATAAAATCGTCTCAAGAGACTGCTTTCCTCTATCGACATAGTCACCCAGAAATAAGAAGTTTGACGACGGAGGGAATCCACACATTTCGAACATGCGTATGAGGTCCGAGTATTGCCCATGTATATCACCTACAATCTTGACTGGGGCTTCCAATTCAATCAGTGGCGGTTGCTCTAATACAATCTCTCTCGCTCGAAGACAAATTGAGTTGATTTCCGCACTTTTAAGACAAACTCCCTTTGTGCTTTTGCCCTGGTATCCTGCATCCAAGAGTCGTGAAATATAGTCGTCAAGATCTTTATCTTTCAAACTACCCATAGAAATTTGTGCAGAGCTTGAGGTTGAGAGTGCGGTTTCATTAGATCCATTCATTGGAGCAGCTAGCAAGGTAGCTGTGTCAACAGGGTTAATCTCATTTGCTCTCCTGACCAGTATAGATTGCCCAGCGCGACCTCCAACTGCGTAAGGATTGACTGTGCCGGAAGGGGGTTGGTCGGAGACATGATCTACCTCACCACTACGTTGTGCAGCACTGACATCATGATGTCCAGACTTCATCGAAGCAGATTGAACGGGCGATGGGGGAGGTTTGAGATCATCGGTTGGTGAAGGAATATCTTCCGAAGAATCTTGAGGTGATGTTGGTGAGCCTGGTACAGATGATGCCCTGCCCGATTTAGCGCTTTTTCCTGATTTCATTGAAGCAACATCGGATTTGTCGTTTGAATCTATAAGGCTACCGATTCCAGCAATCGAGTTTCTTGGGCTGTCCTTGGAACCTGGTATTTTTGATCGAAGGGCGCCTCTGAATGATTTGTTGGACTCCTTGGTATCCGCTTTGCTGAATGAAGGATAAGACGATAAGTTATCCGATCCTCTATCAAGAGACGTTTGAGATGCACTTCTCCGCGGGGTTGCAGACCCCGAACCTTTCGAAGGTTGGTTTCCCATCGTTCCACGTTCAAATATACGAACCCAGCAGATCTTTGTTGAGTATCAACTCCGTGTGATTCGGGATGACTCAGAGATGTCGCTGCCGTTCAGCTGTGGATATGAGCCAAGGAGGTAGGAGGTTTACTTCTTGTGTCGACAAGTAATTGTAATATATCACTGAACACTGCCTTGGTTGTCTTGGGCAAATATCGTGTACTGTATTCGTATGGCTAAGCGTAAGGTGTTGTTGCTGAAGTAAACAAGCCGTATGGTTCTAATGACAGCTCGAGTTGCATGCAATCGTAACAGCAAATTCGTATGGCTTTTGACGAAGGCTTTGTGTCGGAAAAGTGGTAAACTGTGATGAACTGTCTACCCGGTTGTAAGCATGAGTTCGGGTATACATTCCCCTTCAGACAGCTGTGTGATACTCTGAGCGGGATGAAACAAGTCACCTTTGTATATCCAAGCAGCGAAGAAAGAGGTTAAAGAATATCATGGGCGTCAGAATTGGTACATACCTTGACTGAAGATAGAGTAATTTCTAGCGTTGAGGCTGAGTCAATCTTGGTGAAGCTAGGGTCTTCGTCGAGAGGGAGATTCGTTCCGTCGACACTGCGATTATCGAGAAGACCGCCCCAAGTGTACCTAGGTATATTGGCGAAAGCGACTTTCGATGTATTACCACAGTTATATCGAGTAGAGAATCGTGGGGGGACGGAAGCGGCTCGTCCCAGAGCGTATGCGTTCTAGCTTCCTGAAAGACCGGTAGGTTTGCTTCAAAGACGATGGATGTGTCTAAGGTGGGTAGATGGTACCAGAGGGTGTGGATGAATTATAAATGAAGTCCTTCGGAATCTAGGACTCAACGGAGCACTAGCAAAGTTAATCAAGAATCAATAATTGATGATGAAAGATAATTTGAATTTATCAAAAAGGCTTCGCTATGTAGAGGGATCCGTTGGTTGTTTGATTTCTTTCCAATTCGTTCCTTTGAATGGGGGTTGTTGGTTTCTTTTAGTTTTTTGATTTGATTTTGGGCTATCGGGAACCGGGACCAAAAAAGACCCAAGGGCCAAAAAAGATGATGGATGGTCTTTCATTATTCCATACAATGATTGGTTACTGTGAAGAAAAAAATGCTTGGCGATCGCACTACATATTTTGATGACGAGGGAAGAGAGGAAAGAAAGTTATTATAAGAAGTGAAGCTCTAGTGAAGTCAAAATTAGTAGGTATATTTTAGTATGGCTCAAAAGTATCACTTCAACTCCTGGCCAATGTCTATCCAGTATCGATTTAATCTACTCGTGGTAAAAAATTCACCGATTCGAAGCCCTCAATATTTTATCATATTATGATGGATGTTGATCAAATATCGACTTATATCCTCCGAGGTTGAACAATATGTACTCCATATTGATGGTCAAGATAAACCTATTATATCTCCATATCCATTCCGAGCCATCTACATTCTAGATTGTTCTAGAACCATTCTACCCTGGGTACGGAGTACAAGATATTCGATTTTGAGTGACCATGAGAATATGTAGAGGTAGGTAGGAGAGCAGTTGGGATATTCAATACGCTTTTGTTGAGGTGGTATTTACGAGTGACGAGAACAATATCAGAGACGTCTGGGGAAAGCAAGAAAAGCTTCAGGTCATTTTCGGCGATATCCTTGAGGACATTCAACGGCGTGCCCAGAAGAGCAGCTGCATCATCCAATATACCATCTGATACCTTCACACGAAGAGGAGGCGAGGCTGAAGAAAGATTGAAGACTGACGTCGATATCCGCATCTCGGACATTGCTCAACTCCTCAAATTAAAAACCTTGGTCAGAGATAGGCACCTCAGTATGGACTTGACGTTGTTCTGTGGAAGAAAATGCGAGCCATAGAATTGGCACATGACAAAATCGATCCATCTCCTCAAAAAGGCATCAACCCTTCCACGTTGCTAAGGAGCAAAAATTGGTGTCGTGCCAGAACTCGAGAGGCCATGGAGTTATTCCAGTAAAGGACTTCCAGTCCCTTGATATCTCTGTTCATCACTGTTCTTGCTTCTCAATAACAAAGGAGTTTATGGGGAAAGCTACACCACAATAACTTATACTTCCTTGGATGCTCCTTCTATCATCTGGTAAATGTGACGATAAATTTCAGTTGTGGTTGTCATTATCATTTATACTACTTTCGCTCTTTCCGTTTCTTGTATCCCTTCCCTTGGATGTGTTTGTTTATCTACTCTTCTAATCTCCAATCCTGTCTCGATTCCTAATTTCCCCCAGCCTCATACACAATTTTGGAGCATTGTAATAATATGTCCATCTGGATTATCACCAAAGGCATCGTTATATGACCATATTATACTTAAACAATGGACCCTCAAGGAAAGCATCATCGGATCAATGAGTGTGAGCTTGATCACGAATGCGATCAGGAGATTCAAGAGGTGATTCAACAGGTCTTCCAGCGAGTGATCCATCCTGAGAGTAATGGATATGAGTCCGATCATGAATCCGGTCAGAAGGTGGTCCAACAGACAAATCACGAGCAGGATAATAGGAGTAAGTTGGTTCATGGACTCGATAAAATAGAGCCTCAGGAGAATAGTGAGGACGAAGGCAGTCATGGATCAATGGAGATAAGTATTCGGGAGACAAGCATAGCTAGGCGCTATCGCTGGTACATTTTGCATTTTAACCTTAAAGTGCTTGATTGGAGAATTCGAGATCTAGAATGGACACAGAGACTTCTTCACAGGCATACCATTACCGCCTCAGTCGCTGTCATTGACGACGCCGCAGATGTCGATTTGCCCATTGAGGAGCTTTCTCTTTCTCGCACAAGCACTCCCCTTCCCAAAAATTCTGGCATACCTGGTGCATGGCCCATGGTCACTCGAGAAATAGCCGGTGATCCTTGCTTCTTCATTCTTTATTATTCACAGTCCAAAAATGGCACAGCAGTGATTGAGTGCATCAGCCCAGAGTATTATGAACGTCTTGCTCGCTCGTCACAATCCACAGAATCTCTGCAAGGAGAAAGCTCTACGAGTAAGTACCGACTGTTCTTCTTTGTCGTACCCCCCAATGTCTAGCCCCGCCTTGGACAACTTATATGGCTACAATTTTTCCACTAATTCCCATGTGTTTGTAGCACAAGCTCCCATAAACTTCGATATTGATATCGTCATTGTCCCCGAAGAAATACTGGGGCGCCTAACACGGCTCAAACACTGGAACAAGATACGAAAGCTCTGCGTGGTATTACCCAAAAACAGCAGTAACCCCAAAGGCAACAGCAACCGTTTGTCGCCGTTGACTATGCGACGCCTGAATCGACTGTCAGCCCTAGATATTTTGACGATCTTTGCGACGAATTCCGGACATGCTCAGCGTCACTTCCCTGAGGAAGACTTTGTACGCTACGCTCGAGGAATTAAACAATATATAGAAAGCCGAACATCGCTTCAACGTATCGACCCAATTCAGGAGGGTTTTAGGCTATCGATCGAGTTGGTGTCAGTAGCAGTGCAAGCAATTGTTTTCTTTTTGGTTTCGTTTTTTCAGATACGGGGTTAACCTCCCTCATCGTGATGGACAGCATGGAAAGAATTGATACTATTGTGAATAGGAACATCACTTGAAAGCAGATTCATCCTTTGTACCCGAGTATAGCATAGTACTATTCTTCTATCTTAACCAGCGATTGTTAGTACAGACACCCAATGCATATTAGCGAATAGATCTTAGAATACTCCTTTCCATGTTCTATTTTAACTTTGGAAGTTTAAGATCCATCCCACGGAGCTAACTTACACTTTCCAACTCCGCATTTCAGAATTTAGAATTACATAGTCTTTACATTGGTTCTTCCACTGACAAGACACTCTCACATTTAAATGATACCTCGTAATCAGTGCTATCGGCTAGTATTTAGGCATAGTGCGAAATAAGCTTCCTTATATACCGGGACTGTATACGTACGGTGACACCCGACGTCGAATGAGTTCCCATGCGAAACGAATCTCCCGTCCAAACTTAAACATCTGTGTCCCCGCACGAAAGAAACATATATCGTATTTAACCAAACCACGAATTTTTACAATGAATGGCAGACAGGGGTCTATGCCATTTTTAACCAACACGGGGCCATAGCACACAGTAACAGAACAGGTTACGGGGCACTGAAACGATGGTAACCCCCGCGCGCGGTGCCTTAGCATGTAACCATTTAATCCTACCGGTGTCTGCTCATCAAGGCTTCTACAGATGCGAAAAGTGAAAGAGATCCTGAGATCTGATTTTTATTTTTATTATTTTTCAGATCAAATCCATTTCTATATCTGCTATCTAAAAAGTATGTATTTCTGATTCTGCATCATTAAATGTGGACGAATACCTATGCTCTCACTCCGTAAAGTTCTCAGCCCCCGTCCAGACTTACGTTGACAGTGGACAGACACGGCTTGACATCTACAATGTATGGCATGGAGTTTTAACATCAGGCTGGGAGACGTGAGCAAGAAAGAATGTATGTATGGATGTCAGAATTTTGTTATCCCCCCACTCACCTCTCGAGCCATTCAACTTTCAAGCGGACCACCGTAGTTTGACGGCGAGGCTTCTCCATACTTTTGATGGATGGATTGACAGTGATTGACAGTGATTGACAGTGATAGGGATGGATATCCATATCTCTGAATGAAATTGTTGTTGAGAATATTGATTTAATGCTCTTTATGTACTGCTCGTGGTTGGATGTTTTGGAAATGATACTCTTCTCCGACGTGACATGAAGCCCTCGTGTAGGAAACTTGATATTACCGTACGAACACATTGCAATATACCAAGCACTCGAATTACCTAAAAGTGGTTAATCGGTAGGGTTTAGGAACAAAAGACAATGGCAAAGAAGAGGAGATATAAATAGAGTTTTTCACTGAGTTCGGCTTTTCTTCATTGGTTGACCCACGGTAGGGCGATGAATCAGGTACAAATCCGTGGTAATGCTATGCCTATAGGGGCTTAGAGCGATAAAGTTCACGAAAGGATCCAGCCACACGGTGATATCAATCTGAAAGTGGTGGGTGTGGGTGCGAATACGCAGCAAAGTACAGAGTAGATGTGTTTGCACAGGTTGCGTGTGTTGCGTGCGTTGCCGTGGCCGATTCATGTTTGTATCTTCTGCATCTTCAAGGGGTGGGTGAGGAGGAAGGGAGTTGGAATAAAGGGTGGTAGGGTGGTAGGGAGTACACGTTGGTAAGGTGGTGTGGTGGTGTGATACAACAGTGATAGTCCTGTGAGAAATGAAAGATGTGAGTTTGTGGTATATTGATATGTTATTGATACGAAAGAAAAAGATATTCCTTTGACCAGGTCAGGGCTGAATATAGGAATGAGATGAGTAAGGAAGGAAGGAAGTGGGAAGGGAGAAGAGGACAAATGATTTATTAGGTGGCTATCAGATATAATATCTGTTGGTTATCAATACCTAGTATTCGATGATAGTAAACAATAGTAAATAATAATGTAACTTTATATCAAATTGAATCTGTTTCTTCCTTTTCTTCCTTTCCTTCCATGAAAACATGAAAAACTCCTCTCTACATTGCTCTTCATCGAAGATCCCTTAATGTCTCAAATCTTTCGACAATCAACCAGGATTTCCCCATCAAAAAGTCTGTGATTGTTCGTCATTCACACGGTTCATAGTTCACAGCCCCATACAGACTGCGTTGCTCTACTGCACCGCCTACCACAGTACCCTTACTTTACAGCTGGGACTAATAAATATTAAATATCAATCAATCCTGCCCTTCCACATTATTTTCTCTTTCCATCTCACACCAACAAATTACAAACTTCCTTCAATCCTTCAATCCTTTTTCTTCATTTGATTTCTTCTATCTATCCATCCATCCATCCATCTATCTATCTTGGAAGAAACACGTTCGTTCTTTCTCTTGGTATTTGATTTTACGATATCCAAATCATCGTCGATAGAAGAGGAGAATAATCACAACACCACCAACACCACCCACCACCGACACCAACACCAACAATCGTTACTCTATCTCCAAATCATGGGTTTCGGTCGATTTCTTTGCGTCGGTGTGCCGTTTGGCTTAACTCTCGCCAGTTTAGTTTGTCTTCTTATCGCATCTCTCGCTGGCGTTACAGACAAATCTCTCGATATCTTCGTAGTCAACACTACCAACCTCTCTATTTCCTCTTCCACACTCCTCAGTCTCGAGAACTCTTTCCGCAAACGGGGTCTTGCAGATCTTACCGTCGCCGCCTTGACTCCTTCCACCACCTCTGAGAAATCCACGGTCGAATCTGCTATTGCTTCAATCACCGGAACCGATTCTGCAACCAACATCACGGCCGCCGACTTGGGTTTGGCGGATAGTTACAAGGTGAGTCTTTGGGGTTACTGCGCCATCACTGGCAAGAACACCACATGCACCAAGGCGAAATTCAACTGGGCGGCCACTTCTCTCAACACTAGTACCATCGATACTCTTGCTTCTGAGACAGGTGTCAATGCCACTCTCCCAAGCCAAGTCAAACATGCTTTGAAGACCTTTATCGTGGTATCAAAATGGACACAAGTCGTATACATCATCGCCTTGATCGCCACAGGATTAGAACTCTTCCTCGGTATCTTCGCTATGTGTTCTAGAGCCGCTTCATGCGTTACATACATCATCTCTGGTTGCAGTACCGCCACTGTCATTGCCGCATCTATCTTAGCTACCGTCCTCTCTTCCGTCACAGTCGGTTCTATCAAAACAACCGCCAAAGCATACGGAATCGAAGCCTCTATCGATACCCATTTCCTCGCTGTCACATGGCTCGCTGTCGTCTTCAGCATTGCCAGCAGTTTCTTCTGGGTCTTCACCATTTGCTGTTGCGCATCTAATCACAACAGCAGCAAGAAGGACAGACGTAGCCTCAATGATCAAGAGAAGTTGATCCCACAAACCATGGCCTATCAGAAGATTGATGGACCAGACACTGCATACGCCGGTCAACAACACGGTATCTACCATCAACAACAATATCATCAACCTACGCGCACTGGTGCTTATGAGCCTTATTCTCACGGTGCTATTTAAGTGCTGGGAGTCTACAGATGAAACTGGTCATTGAATAGATAGGAGGATATAGGAAGAGATGAATGAGACAACATATCTGTTGCATTTAGCGTCGGGCGTTCAGGTTACTTTTATGACGTCTTGTGTAATTCGGTTGGTTGGGTATGGATCGAAGGGTGGGTATCCTGGGGAATGGGAAAGGCAAAATAGGAAAGTGTTGAAAATATAATTATTTGCATTGCTTTGCAATATTGATAGATGAATGAACGATACCCTTCTTATACTTACATTTTCATCCCTCTTTGTGTCTTGAGTGAGTGAATGATGGTTTTCTGATATGATCTTTGTATTATTTCATTTATAAAGCGAGAGTCTGGGTGGAAGTATAGATATCCCTAACCCTCTGCGTCTTTTCCCCTCACTTAAACATCCTTATAACTTATAACTCAATCCCTATATAAAAGAAAAGTATTACCCGAAAAGCAGCTAGTGGCTAGTAAACACCCGCTCGTTCAAGACCTTTTACTATCATTCCCTCCTCCCTTTCTTTCCCTCTCCTTTTCTTTTCTTCCCTTACCTTACAACTCCATCATATAAACCAAGCCTAAGCCTAAGCCCCAGCCTCAAAATGAGAAAATAGGAAAATAGGAAGATGGTAAAATAGAAAAATCCTTTTAATATCGCTATTCTTTAATCTCAGTAGCTTCTTATTCTTATTTTTCTTCTTATCCTGATTCTCAATCAATCGATCCTTAATTAACCCTAAATTGGGAAATTGGGAATAGCAGGAACTTGATAATAGATATAATGAATATCATTATTATGGTATTAAGAAGATGTTATTGTTGTTTTGCTGTGATGGATGGTGATGGTGATGGCGATGCCGATATTTAGGGGGGGAGGGGATTAGTTTTTGTTTTGGGGATTGGGGATTGGGGATTGGGGATTGGTATTGGATTTTGTTGGGAGGGGAGAGGAGGGGGGGATAGTTAGAACTTAGCTAGGGTTTTTCTGGAGAAATCACGGTTCTGTGTAGTTTGGTCTTGGTGTTCGGATGAGATTGGAGATTGGAGATCTGAATTTCTTATTTTTTTTTAGGAGAGAGTAGGAAGGTATTGTAAGTGACGCTTTGACGAGGCTGATGGTAATCTATCAGGAATGACTTTGAAAGTCTCTAGGAAGAAGAATATTTTTGATCCCTTCTTTAGGGCTGGTATAGGAGCATTATACGTTTTTTCTGACCTGTTCCTTCACATTTCTTTTCTCTGCAGGCGGAAGAATTCATGTGCTGTTTTAGGCTTGGAAGGTCACTGATGTGGTATAGTACACTATACTGCTGTTTAGAAACGAACTTTTCTAGGTTCTGCACTACGTAGTTGGAGAAATAAGCGCAGTGCTGTTGAGAATGTATCGAGGGCAAAGAGGGTATGAGATGAATGATGATAGTGCTTTATGAGTTCTGGGATGGGCTGTAGAATGGAATCTCGAAGCGAGAGCTTGGTAGTGATGATTTGAGAAGTAATGGGCAATGGGTAATGAGTGCGAATTCAAGGGTGCAAGGAGATACGATCACTGTTGAGGTTAGCTGCGACTCTCAAGTGGCGAGTACAGACATTCTTCGTGAGTAATGAATTTTTCTAAGTCTTGCTCTATGTAGCTACTGTATGATATTCCCATTGTGTTTTTGAGAGGGATATCTTGATATCTATTTCGGTTGAGAGCGAAAGTATTAGTCCAGCCATCTGGTTTGCTTGTTAAAACATAGTTTTGATTCTCGATAGGCATGATGCATCATAATTCTTCAGTTCAAGGAAAATAACTCGGTCTGATCAATAATCTATTTGAAGTTGTACACTGATCGCCTTAGAGCATCTCTCACAACTCCCAAAATAGCACAAGATTAATGTTACTATTATTGATAGATACTTCAGCATGGTATCCCATTCATACGACAGGAAGCTCAGTACTCTTCTAATGAGAATCCGGATTTGAGATACAACATATTCCAAGTAATGGTCTTTCTTCCCAACCAAATGCGTGTTTAAGATTAGAGAACGACACTCATGGTGTTGGGTAAATACCAAAGAGCGCCGTGCTCAGAATTTCAAAAGCCAATCCACACTTCAAAAAAGTCTCAAAGTCACATGAAAACTCGATAGTCCAGCTTGCCAAAAGAGTATTTATGGATGACCAGCAATGGGCCAACGGCGATAATGGTGCGTCCGAATCGAATCAGCACTTGTCTTCATCTCTCGGCTTAATCGCTGTCGCTCACATACAGCTGTTGAACTTGACGTAAAAGATGAAGTTCTGCCTCCTCCTATAACTGGGCTTGAAGCTCGTGAACCACATCGTGGCATTGGATAAAAATCGTCTCCTTGCTTAAGAACATCATCCAGAATGATCGCCATGGTGAGTGTACTTCCTGGTAGAAATCCACGCCTCTCGCAGTATCCCGCAGACATGACCTGCTTCCTATTCTTGCCGTTCAATATTTCATAGTTACCACTTAAAACTTGATATTTTCCGGGACCTTCTTTAAAACGACTATGAATAATCGCACGAAGATCATCGAAAGAATATTCAGATGGTACAGGAAAGAAACGCCCAAGTGCATCTTCCACCTTGACAGGAGCTTGACAGTAGGTGAACCTGGTATCTACGGCGGGCAACATGCCTCGAATTTCGCTTGCCATGCGTAGCATTTGTTGAGTGGAGGTGCTGATACAAGTCAGGCTTATAATACAGGGAAATGAGATCGGACCTACCAGTTTTGAGTCGTCATATCTCCCAGATATTTCAGCGGGAGAACCACTTCGCCATTGATAACGCCAGACAGTGGTGTTAGCATCGATTGGTTACTACTAGCTAGGAGGGATTGATCCAACAAGCTGTCCTGGATTGTGGTTACCGACATTTTTGTATTGAGGATATCAATCCGACTATCTTCTATTAGGTTCTTGAGGCTTAAATGATTTTCTTCTGCTTTCTTGTTTGCTAGGTCAGATACTTCCAACGCCAGAGTTAACAACATCATGTTGATACTATCAATATGGATACTCAGATATCCAAGTAATTTTTGTACCTCATCTTTCTTTCTAAATCCCCATTGAATCTCTCGTCCAACACTCCTAATTCCCCGAGGTACACATGAGCCTAGAGTATTTTCATATTTTGAAATTGTTCTCAAAAATTCTCTTCTAGTGGATACCGACATAGCAAAGCAGCACATTTGACACCGTCTAATCCTATATTGGACTCTTTGGAGGTACTGAAATTGTCAACATGCTTCAAGGCCTTCTCTAAACTTTGTAATTCACGGACAAGCTCTTGATAATCCGATTTGGAACCTCCTGTCTCACGAAGACCTTTGATCAAAGTCGCGATAACTTCTCCGACGGCTATAAAGTCGCCGGTAGAAAACCCAAATGATATTTTCAAAAGGACTAATTTATAATATAAAGCTTCTTGACAAAGATTTTAAATAGTTTTAAAGGGAAAAGTAAATTTTGAAAATAACGAAGAACAAAATGATTGGCGTGCAAAAGAGATGGAAGGCTGGCAGGCGTTTATTGCTGAACTGTATATGTGGCTTAGTATAATCGGAATTATCGTTCTCGACCTTTTCAAGACCGGTCAATTGCCCATAGCCACTTAATGACATTCATGGTATCTCCTGAATGATGCCGTGACACATAGATCAACATCATCACCATCGAAGGACTTGCCGACTTGACGTTGTTTCCTAGCTGTAGCCGAGTTTCGATATATGATGGGGAAACAACTTTTATTTCCTATATGAAGCACCAACTCATTCGTGTTGATTTCGTTGCCCGTATCATATTTCTTCAGGTAACCTATGTGGTTGAGTTACTGAAAAGGATGAAGAAGGATTAGAGAGATATCCAAAGATTTCTCTGCTCTGAATATAAGGTTAGTAAATAGATCTTCAAATACATACATAGATTCATCTTGTCACGAAGATATTATAGTGCCCTAAGTGTGTTACGAGGGTTCATCTAGACCCGAAGAAGGGAACCTAGCTAGCTGAGGTCAAGCAGTCCTATGGATTATTAACCTTCCTCATTTATCCCAAGTTCCACAAACCCCACACCAAGATCTTCATTGTGTCTGGTATCACTACCAACACACATTTATATTGTACACAAAGTATCATGGAACGAGGAGAAAGGTAAAAGACACGAGTACAACGAGCACAACAGCTTACGAAATTGCGACGGTAGGGACTGTAAGATTCCGTAGACGCGATCCCCGCCATATCGAAAACGAGCTTCTAGAACTCTTGTCCAATACTCATCCTGCACATAAACCAACTAACGCTATGAAACCATCCAACGTTAAAAAGATACATTTAGCTGCATATGAAGGCCACGGTGCAGATATAGCATCATATTAGGGCTGCATTCTGGACGCGAGTGAAGACATAAAGCGCAAACAAAACATAGCACTCCGTCGAAAAGCTTCAAAGACACCCGAAATACATGCTCAAGCAAGTGAAGATGTAGAGAGATTGTTTCAAGAGAATTACACTGAAGAACTCAATCCAAACATTGTCTGCTGGGACGGTCCACATGACCCCGAGAATCCAACGAGTTGGAAATGCTGGATCAAATTCTCGAATTGTTTCTTAATTTATTCCAATTTATTTTTAACGCCTCTAGCATTCTCAACGTTCCATTCTGTCCCATCTCTTATGCAAGAGCTCTATAGCATCAGCTGAGAATTGGCGGGATTAGTTGCATCTGCGTACGTCATGCGAAAATGAGCGTATGTTCGCCTGTTGTTTTATGTACGGCGATATATTGGGTCTAATGTATGGTTACCTCTTTTTACTCTTTACTACCTCCAACGCCGCTACTTGAGGAAAAACATGGATTCAAATATGGACTAGTTGGACTAACACATCTCGGCTTGGACTTCGGTTCTATGATCGGCCTGGTATCATATGGATATTTCTCAGATCGTATGATGAAGAATCCTACCGTGAACGCCAATGTTCTCGCTGCTGGAGGCGGTCAAGAGCCGCCTGTGGTGAAATCTAAATACCGTCTCCCATTTCTAATTCCGGGCTCCTTTCTAAATCTCAATGGGTCTTCTCCTCTATGGGTGAGCGGCCAAATATAAAGATCGTTACATCTCACCCATCCTCTCCACAACTCTTATTGGTGTTGGTAACATATTTGTATCTATGTGTATCAACCTTCACCTATTTGATGCATTCACAGGCTTTGCTGCAAGTGCTTTAGCTGCGAACACAAATTTCAGTAGTGCAATGGGAGCGGTACTTTCTCTTTCCGGACAATAGATGTATGAGACATTTAGTCTAGCATGTGCAAACAGCTTGTTGGGTTTTCTCGCACTTTAGATTATTCCAGTCCCATTTGCGTTGCTGAAATGAGTGGAATACATAAAGACGAAGTACCCGGTTGAGAACCTGTGAATCTGATGACTTGAAGACTTTTTGATGTAAATATCAATAGGAGGATGCAGATTGATCATACATATTCACCTGGGCTTGCAGAACTCTTGTTAGCAAAAGCCGTCCCACGTATTAGTTTCATGTTCGCATATCCTTACTTTGACTCAAGTGTCCACTGCAATGTAAATCAAAGTGTTTGCAACATTTCCTTAACTCCCAAACAAGCAAGCAATGATTTCTGCAAGCACTTCTTTATTTCAAGAACCCGCACAAACACCAAGCATACTCTCCTATATACCCCCAAATAAGGCAGAAAACTCCAACAAACAATGCTCTCTAACCCATCTTCTCATCACCACAAATCGACCACTAAATTATCATGACTAACGATACCAGACCCGCAACCTCAACTACGGGGATTCATTTATTAATGGACTCCCTTCTCAAAGTTCGAAAAATAAAATAGACGAAAATTTCAAAGACCAAAAAAATTACCGATAAAAATGCCTTTTCTCCTAATCTTCACTGGCGCCAATCTTTACAACAGTATGTTGCCGTAGTGGGCCTACAGCTTCTTCTACCTTCTGCGTGTTTCTCTTTATTTCTATGCTAGAAAGGTTAGATGAACTTATTGTTGTCCGCTAGTGGAGTTAGACGCATGTAGTTGGATTGGCGTAAGTGACACTCTTTATCCTAGTTTGGGGTGAAGGATGGGTGAGAGCATTATCTTTTTCTGTAGATGACCGAGAATGAGACACTGACTTTGGACTTTTGGTAATTACTTTTGATATCAGATAAGGAGATAGCAGTTGTGAATTTCCAAGAGACACCATTATGTACAAGGAGATGTAGTGCTAAAGGATGGGTTGAAAATGGGGGGGCTGGGCTCATAACTCTTTACACATACCACGATTGCAATGGGCATACCTGTAATAATTTAACCGTAGAGACTAGTACCGCTTACCACTAGGCTAACTACAATGACATCATGCTCCTAGCTCCAACCCAATTGACTAGTGTGCGAACTAGTATTTGAGCTAGGTATCATTGAAGATGCTAATCGTAAGGCTGAAATGCAGCTTGTATCAAAACTTCGAAGTCTTCAAGTGACTAGCATCTTAGCGAGTAGCCTTTTGGAAACCTATTTGCTAGTGGATTCGTCGATCAGAAACACACGCCCATTCAATCACTGTGCTCTATCCCCTTCTATCTGTATCACAAAATCTCTTCTCAAGATGATTGAATTTGCTCGTCACAAGATCATCTAACCAGGGTATAATCACGCTCAACCCGCTTCTGGATAGGAAAAACAAATATGGACATGATGCGGAACTTTCTATCCATTTATCATTGAACACCAATTCGCAAGTCAATAGTCTTGGACAACTAATTCTAAGTCTTACTGGTAGATAATCTAGTAGCGTTCGAGACTCAAGCTCTGAGTTTTTATCAATCTGACATTTCATTTGATTCCTCGAAATGAGTAGCAATGAGACATCTCAATTAGCCAGTGTGGGTAAGCCTTATAGACCCGGATGGTAGATTTTCTGGCACATCTACCAACTGTTAGTCCATAAGATTATCTACAATACTTACTTAACTTATCAACACCAAAAGCGCAAGTAAACCTCACTTGCCAACAATCAATAATTCGGACACTAAAATCTCCACTATCAAAAAAACACACCAACAAACAAACAATAGAAAACCAACTAATAAAATCTGACATCCTACACGTCGTCTCACCTCATATCTTACATACTTCCCAGATATCTCGTCGTCTGTAAGCTACCGAGAAATGAGAATCGGTAGATACTTATCCAACTACGAACATGTTGCATATTATATCTAGGTAAACCTCAACCTCCTGGGTAATATAACCCAAGCCAATCAAACCAAAAAAATACATGCATTCATGCAAGCAGTCTTACGGCACACAACTTGCGATTCTAATTTCAAAACAAATCATAATTCTAGAGTCTAGTGGATTCAATCCGATAGATATCCAAAGAAACTACAGGTGTAGCTCACTGCCCTATGCAAAGTTCATTGAGTCTCATTGCATGGAAAATTAATTTCCTTCCTGTTGGATCCATCAATTTCCACCCCTCGTTGCATCTATAACTTTCTTTCAAAACATTCGAAACTACCTTGCATACTATACTGTATTGTATGTATGTGGTTGACTGCACATTTCTGAAACAATCTTTCAAGACAAAGACAATCTTGACGTACCACCATATAGACTCGAAATGTATTCCGGCTTTTCGACTCTCTACTTTCATTCTCATCACATCCTCAACTCACCGAAAATTCAATACTGAGTGGAAAAAATGTTCTACACCATTCCCGTGGATCTTGGCTTCGGCATCACATTACCCATCCGAAAGCTCACGAAAGTCTGGAGGAATAGCAGCAATAGCCGACGCTCGGCTAGATCTCCGCGTCGACTTTCATTTCATTTCAACCGGTTGATACCCCCTACATTCACAGTGCGACGATGCTAGCTGAAGTTTCTGGTTGGAGGGAGGGAAGTGATGATCTCTTATAAGCGTGGCTTTATGATCTTTATATTGGCAGATGAACTTGAGGAACTACGCTCTCGGTGGGGTTCTTCATTTTTCGCGCCTTTTGCCGTTGCTAACTACGTTTAGATAAGTGATGCGCAAGTTGCCGAAGTTGCCTCTAGCAACCGTTTCGGAATCACATTCCAGATTTCCATTCGCTTCTCTAATAATCTTCCAGCCTTGTGGCAGGTGCTTGGTCTCATATGCTCGTGAGATCGGTGAACTCAACTTTGAATTTTGCTTTGAAGGTATGGCTTGTGGCAAGAAAATCAGGATCGACCTGGCCCTGCAACATCTTTGGAATACAAGTTTTCAGGGGAGCTAGAGCAGGAAAGAAGACCACCGAGCTGAGAATGAAAATAAGACTCATATTGAAAAGGAGCGTTATCGGCGTTGAAGGAGTACCTATCAAGGAAGACGTCATTCCCTGAGACACATAGGAAATCGTGTGCAGGTGCTCGTCAATTGTCCTCTAACTTGGGAAGCACATGTTGTGAGCATTGCATTAGCATCAATATTCAGCAATGAAATTCCAAATGACATTTCCACGTACTTTTTTCATGGCTGTTAAGTAGCACTTCTTGAGAGCTATCTGAAGAATGTGGTAATAGGATTTTAGAGAGCGTTAAAAAACACTGAACTAGCAGCTGTTAGGGCTTGATACACTTATAACACCTCATCAATATATACGGCGTAGCATGAAGCCGAATTCTCTGGTATGGATATTCAAAGTTTTCCATACATGAGTTATTGGAAAGTAAACATCTAGTGATTATTTTCCTCGTAAGGTTATATCTTTGGACCCAAAATAAGGTGGGGGCTGTCAGAGGCTGACAATCTGACATCAGAAAATTGCCACGGTACTTCAAAACGATCCTTCAGCGGTAACCGTCCCTATAATCTTCGGCGGTGTTCTGCCCCCTTTTTCTTAGTAGCGAATCAATCAGCTAGTTATGAGCCGTGCTCCAGTTCTGTAACCACCACAAGGGAGTTATCTGTAGTGTTCGTGCCGGGTGGGTATTTTTGACGACAATCTTTCACTGAGGGCAGAAATCGAGAATACTAATAGATATCTCGTGTTTTCCGTGTTAGAACATTCTGACTCTCTTTTACTTTTTCTGCCTTCGAGACCTTCAATTTTGCACTCACAATCACAGAATGCGATCAATTGATTGCTGGTGAACCTTTTCCCATATCGCGTGACGCATTATAATCGTTAACAATGCTCCAAATTATTATTCTTGTTCTCATTATTTGGCTTGTAGGATTAGTGGAGGGACAATGCTATAGTTTTGAGGGAGTTGAGATGGATCCGACATATAAGCCATGTAATGGTTCAGCACCCGTTAGTATGTGCTGTCATCTGGGAGTCGTCAACAACGGGGGAGATGAGTGCGGCTCTGGATCTACGTACGGTCTTTGTGGTATAAGTGGAACGCAACTTTGGAGAGAATCGTGTACGGATAAGACATGGCAGTCTCCACTGTGTTTGCGATTGTGTGTTGGAGGTATGGTTTCTCTGATGTATACTATACACTGTAACAAGGAATTGTAGCTGATAAGTCTGGTATGTAGCAAACGATACGGAGATCACGGCATGTCCAAATGGTCGTTATTGCTGTGGGAAGAATGCAGCAGATTGTTGCGACGCGAATAAAGGAAAATTCATAGTCAATAACCAAGTCTCGGATACAGCAGCGGGGGATTCTTTGAGCTCTCAAACTTCCCAAGCTACGACTACATCTTCAACATCAATCAGTACAGAAGCATCGAAATCGATGTCAGCCACTACTTCTGGAATTCCATCAGCTGTAGACCAAACAAGCAAAGTCCAGACATCAGTCTTAATTTCAACAGTATACCAACCCTTACCGTCATTGACCTCGACGACCTCCTCCTCATATACAACCCAGTCTTTATCAACAGGTGCAAGGGTTGGAATAGGAGCAGGCGCTGGGGCCTTCGTTGTGCTAATGTCCTTACTCGCATTATTATTGTGGAAGCGAAAGCACCCCAAGGGCAAATTGCCTGAACTTCCAGCTACAGAAACCAAGCCAACATTCTTCAGTCCCAGAAGGAGACTGAGGCATGTAGATATAGTGGAAGCAGATGGCACAACTCCAAGGGCAGTGGAAGTTCATGGAAATGGTCGGCGAATTGAGCCTATGGAGATGCTGTGAATTTAGTCTCTCGGACGAAAGACCTATCCTTGGGTGAGGATGACATAGTTAATTAAATTTCCTCATGAACGAATTGAAAAAATATATCAGTTGTTCTCATCCAATTTTAATGGTGGCAGTAGTTCATTCACAGACATCTCTATCTGACAAGAAGAGAAGGAACAATGGTGGTGTCCATATTCGTGGTCTTTTCCGAGAAAGGAAGCAAGGCCGACTAGCGCGACTATTAACCCCCCCCCCTCGAATCGAAAATGATTCGGAAGCTTCTGCTCTCTTCTTTTGAATATAGTACACAGTGCTCAACAGAGAGTTCATGGATTGTTATCTCATATATATATATGATAATATTGATTTATCTTGCCATTTCCATGCAGCCCATTGATGCATGATGATATCTGATTGATTCCCACAATATACTGGATATAATTCATGGAATCCACTAAACAATTTCCGGTGCAAACGATGGTCCGGGCGACGAGATAGCATTTCCAGATAAGCATCTGCGCTCAGCATTCTCTATCATTCTGTCGACACCACCATCGATCCAGGATGGTGAATTCCCTGTCCATAAGCCCACCAACCTTCTATATTTCACCAGTAATCGATCAATCTTGCTTCTCTCCTGAGCCGCTAGAGCTTCATTCCATTCAAGGATTTCCAGCGAGTATTTGTAAAAGGATAAATCAACATCGACTTCTTGATTGCGAAAATCCTTTAAAATATCAACGTATTGTTTACGTAAACATTTTGCCTCATCAAGTCTAGCCATAGTGAGTGGCTCCAATGCTTCGAGTCGATTCTTATAGTCCTGAAGTAATTCTTCGCCCATAACAGCAAGAGCACAGAGATGGAAGACTGAGCCTGGCTCCGCGATAAATCCAGATGACGCATCCAGAAGATTATCTTTCACCGTTTGCCATTGATCCACGTATCTAGTATAACCCCAAATCACACTCCAGATACTCTGTGATGGCGATACGTTGTGCAGAATTGAAGCTTTGAGAAATGCTTTGGTCAAAGTGATGCGCTCTGGAAAAGGAACGTTCTCGTCGATAGATTTGAAATAATTGCCTCCGGTGAGGGAAGAGCCGAGTAGGTTTTTGCAATGTATAGGGTTATTCAACCATGAAATGGCACAGGCCATATATTCTCCATCCGATTGCCATTTCTGCAGTAGAGGTTCGAAGACATGTTCGGGAGGATATAAAGTATGTATCAAGGGAAGTAGCTCCGAAAGTTTCATAGGCCGTGAAGGAATGGATATTTCTGGGGCCCGACCCCTCGCGGAATTGTGGGGTATCGAAGGGTTGCAGTAGCCATGTTGAGGTTTCTCGGAAGAGTCATGAGGATCGGATGATGACGACGACGTATGAGTGTTATGTGCTAGTTCATTCCAAATACAAGACCGAGTAGGATATTCATTCATGAGTATGTCCGTAAAGCTTTGCGGGTGGGATTGATTATCGTTCAACAATAGTAAGAAATCGGCATCTTTCAGATCGTCTTCAGTGAGTTCCGGTTCAACAGAGGAAGTCGATTGTGGATCTCGGGAACATCGGGTGCCACATTTGTTATTTGATTTATATTTTTTGATTCCCCATTCGCGAAGCATCATCCGGTACATGCGAATACTAGAAATCATTGTTTAGCACTCTAAAAGACACCTGGGAGAAAGAAGTTATTGTTCGACTCACCTTGCACCAAATCCACGAGTCGATATCAAAGTTTCCCTAACTTGCTCCAACGTTTGCCCTTCCGTAACATAGAGCTGCTCCAGCTCTTCTTTTATGCTTGCCCAATCCTTTGGCATTGCCGCGGCTTGTTCATTTGATACGTCTAGGCCTTTGATGCTGTAGAATCGATTCGATCCGAGTTTCCATCTTGCTGGATTCTTCTGATATTGAACGGGTCAAACCTCTCATAATAATAATGATTGAGAGCAACATTAGGTAGGTAAAAGGAGCCGCAGCCTCGTCTCGAGTGAGTGGCGTGGCGAATCATTTCTGTGTCATTCATTCATTGTTGTCTTTTACTGTTGACGCGTTCCGTTTGTTGCGCAGTCCGCCAAGTGTCTCGCTGCTTCCCTGTTCCCGATGATGATATAAGCGGACACCTTTTGACCACCAGGAACTCGCCACCACGGTGTGAAGTATTTGTTGTATTACGTGCTAGTACAGTGCTGATGTTAGGCGGTTTTCGCTGCTTCACAGAAGGAAGATTCTAGAAAGTGCAATTGCACTTTTGAGAACACTGGCTTTCTGTGTATGCTTGTACATGCGAATCGTACAAGGTAGAGTGTGTTATTGGCTCGTTTACACTCCTGGTTCTCTACTGAAATTGAAGATCATAATTACCGCAGTCATCCGCGATCCGCTTTCCCCAAGTTCTGATTGTGAGCACCAATCATCAGATAATCTCATGATGTTGATTAATTCTACTCTGAAGTTCGGAGTATGAGGTTGAGTTTTGCTGCTCTCCACTGGTTCATTAGATAACTATTCTCCGCCAGAATAAGCCAAGAGATCCTTCGAGTGATTTACCATAGAAACATTGAATCCGAATGTCGTGGCGAGTGACGATTCAGTAGGCAAAATGAAGCTTTGCCCTTTTTGCGGATTGCACTTTCAAAATGCGAACTATTTCACATTTGCAAAGTGCAAAACGGGATTTGTATGCTGAATGGCATTAAGTAGTGCTCAAATCCTCAAGATGTTGATTCTCTATTCAGTAACGTTGTGATTTCTATGCGAAGAAAGCTCCTCGCAATCGGAAATCTCAGCAGCGATTTCTGTTCAAAATTGAAGTTGTTACTTTCTCGGAAAATGGCCTCCAAGTACTCGGGACATAGAAGTGATCTTCGCCGATATCAAGCAAGGTATGTATCTTATCAAACATTTGTTACATGACCTCGGCACAGCTTCACAACTTTCAGTCTAACAAGTACTGCAGCACTCATGGGGTTAAGCATCAACACTCATCATCTCAATCAACCGACCATTGCCCAAACAACACTGTTCGTCAAACACCACACCATATACACACAACTGCTTCAAACACTCAAGTCCATCCACAAATTCTGAGCCAAGAGACCCTCGATCAACACACTATTCACCAAGCCCAACTGACTCAAAATCCATATCATACGCACGTTGTCTTACAAAACGAGATCCGGAGCCTTCAGAATGGGTTCAGTTCCCTTGGTGTCGACGTCCCATTTGATCTTTATCAAAAGGAAATAGGCGTATACCACGCCTATAATGATGGGATAGAGAGTCCTCCTCGGCAGTATTTCACTGCCGACAATCCATATAACTCCCAAAGCCAATTGTACACTCCGGATCCAATCTCCACACAACCTCATCCGCTATCTCATGGATACTCGATTCAATATCTCGCTCCCGCGAGCACAGCCTCACATACTATCCAGCCCACAAGGGGTGATTGTACATGGTCCGAAATAAGTCATGAGTACGATAGCAACGAGCAGGATGTGATGGGTTCAAGTAATGAGCTATATGGTACAGGAGCTCAATTCCAAGTTTTTTCACATGATATTCAACAGTATCTTGCTTCGGTCTCTCAATTGGAGATAGATACAATGCTAGGATCGTGATCACCTACCACTTGAAGAAAGATAAAACTTTTGATTAGGGTGTTGCAATCGAGTAGAATTGGTTTAAATCTTGAAAAGGCCAAAAATGAAATCTGGGCAACAGGGGAGATACTAGACGGGCTGGTTCTCTGAGGGTATGAGCTACCAACGATTCCGGTTTGGGACATTCTCACGAAACCCGATACGATAGAGAATGTAGATGTGATGATAACAGACATAGTAATGGTAACAACAACGCATCTCCTGACATCCAAATTTGCGGCAGAATCTTGTGATATCGATTGAATTGTTGTGCTTTTGGTAATCATACAAACTTCAACTCTTTTCTTTACTCAGCCACCCTGCGCCCAACTTTGAAAGTGCAATTACAACCACGCCACATTTGTCGAATTGTAACATATGTTGATCAGTCGGACAGATTACTCATTATCCCGGAACGGAAAACAACCGAAATCGTATTATACCAATTGGTTCATCCCTCGACCGCACAGCAAGGGACAAACTCTCATAGACCCTTGATTCTAAAGACAAAAATGGTGTGGCTGAACTCCCATCCTTGTACCATACACGGATCGGTCGAAAAGTGGTAGAAATCCGAACTGTTCATGCGAGCATGCATACTAGAAATCCGAACATGCACATGAATGACATGACTGGGGATCGTATTCGTGCCAGCCACAGCAGAAAAATATACCAAACGGGATTCGGTGTGGCTTGTTTTCTATCCTTGTCAATTGGCTGCTGTGCCAGGAGACTGAGGAACCAGTAACGGAGCAGCTGAGCGATTACATTGAAGGGTAAAAGTCGGATCCTCTCGGCTGGTTGAGTTTTCCGCTTCGAAGTTTATTATTATGAAGCTCAAAGAAGGAGGAATGATTCCAATTCGAATACATTCATTCACATCAAATGCCAGAAGGTGGGCATGGCGGGGTAACTTTATTAATCCTTAGCGCTGGAACTTAGTGTGTTCTCTCGGCGCTTACCCTGTTTTGAATCAACCCCCCTCTCCCAAATGATTTGTCGAATAAAAATTAATAATAAAACATTCCAAGCGCCCATAACAAATCAATCAGCCTTTTCTGGAGCGCAACGCTTGAAGTATTTCTCATGAAGAAACTTCCTCGACCTCTTGAAGTTTCATTTTCATGGTTCCGGAAGCCGCTGAAGATTTCAAGAAATGCGACAGACCTCTAAGTTTGAAGATTCAGTGCCAATGGCAAAATGAACCGATCAACGACTGATGAATTACTTTGGTCTCAAAGCGCTACAGAGAACGAATGATGGGGTGATGAGCCGTATAATTAAAAACACGATTTAACCTCGAAGGCGCCAAAGGTGGTAGTCGAAGTAGTAGCCGGCGACTTCGTTGTCTGAGGTAGCTAAAATTGAATATTGGCTTACATCGCGCTGATCTCTGGAAATTTACTCAAGAGCGCGACGCCGAAGGGACGGCTCAGTGTTATATTGAAGATTTTGGCACTAGAGCACTACTACGCCGCACAAGTGCCGGTAGTTCAACCCTATAAACATGTGATGCGAACTTTTTTGAAGGAATGCATAATTCCTTCACCGGTGAAGTAGATAGATTACAAGCAACGTTCTTATCTCGTGGGGGCAGCACTTCGTGTTCACATAACCCATTAAAAAATTCATTATTCACTATCACCAAACTCCCACTTTTCCAAATTGAGCGCCAATTTACATTTCAGCGCATAGGAATGTTTTCGTTATCCAAAATGCATCTTGCACAATTGGACGAACCTTTTTTATCGTTGCCATTCTTTACTGGAGTGTGTAGATTGTAGAAATATTAACCGCTGAGTGGAGGCGGTTACCCCTCTAGGTTCCCAGTGACAAACTCCAGTAATCTTCAATTGCCATGCTTTCATGCACGTCATGTATGACACTCGTAGAAACCATAGAGCGCGCTTCCCCACTGTGCCAATTGTACCTATCAACAAAACAATATCACATCAATACCAGATACACTATGGACCAATAGTTTTTCGTCGCAGGGAGAGCAGGAGAAATATATATCTCCCCATTTGCACTTTTGAACAAACCCAAAAATTCCAGAATATCAAAGATACAGGAATTGTACTTCGTCAAATATCATTCGCAAACATGCAAAACACATTCGAACATCATAAAACCGAAATCAAGCATCTGTTCTTCTCGGAACATTTGACTATGTCTGCAATTCAAGAAATCATGAGGAAGAAATACGACTTCAACGCATCGTGAGTAGAACTATCGTTGACGTCTCTGAACAAATCCTGACAGTTTCCATAGAATATCGGCATACAAAACCAAGCTTGCTGAGTGGAATATGTTTATCCCACTCTCAAATAGTACCAAAATTATGAAGAATCGTCTTCTTTTGGGTAACAGGAAACGACCCGAGCGCCTGTATGACATCTCGAGGTCTACTCCACGCTCTGTTCCCTTGACACCTCCTTTGAGCCCTCCAGCATTGAAGCATCAAAATGGGAATACTCGCATCAAACAAGAACGGGTCGCCCCTTGTTCCATATCTTTAGTCGTCCACTCGGGCGAGAAGAAATCGGGGGAGTCGTTCTATCAAGACGAATACATTGTTATCCTTGCAGAACTCCGCGGAAGACTCGGAGCTGCACTTGGCCGAGAATCAGGCTGAAGAATTTCAAGCACGTAAAGAATCACCATGAGAAAGCATGAGTTTGTAGCAACGCAAGCCAAGCATACATGTAGGAAGAGAGCAGGGAAAAAAGATTGTCATTGGGCAAGGGCACGGGGGGAAGAAGCATAAGACTTTCGCCAAGAAGACTGAAGTGAAGAGAAGGCATGGTCATCGTGGAAAGCAGAATACGTAAAGGGGTGGTAGTGATACGGTGATCATGTAGGCGTATGGGGATATCATTTTAGCTCATAGCTCCTAGTCCAGGATTTGTCTGACCAGATACCTCCTCAGAAGAGGACTTCAAATACCTTCTCAGAGGGGGACTTCATTTCCAGATAGACAGCCTCAGACCCTTAGAGGAGAAATATCTCTAAAAGAAAATGGAAACCATTTTACAAGCGTCTGAGAATGTCCTCAACAACCTCTGTTGTCGTAGCTTTGCCACCAAGGTCAGGACTTAGCAACTTGCCTTCCTCCAAATTGCCGTCAACAGCAGCATAGATCTTAGCGGCAGCGGCTTCCTCCTCAAGGAACTCCAACATAAGAGCAACACTTCGCAAAGTTGCAATTGGGTTTGCAATGTTTTGTCCCATGATATCAGGAGCACTACCATGACATGGTTCACCAATAGCAAATCCTTCACCAACATTGGCACTTGGAACAAGACCTAAGGAGCCGACGAGAGCTGCAGCTCCATCGGACAAGATGTCTCCATAAAGATTTGGTGCGACGATAACGTCGTAGGTCTCGGGTTGACGGAACAGTTTGTAAACCATAGAATCGACGATTTGCTCCTCTACACGAACGCTCGAAAATTTTGAGAGGGCCAATGCCTCTCTAGCAGTAGATCGAAAAAGACCATCCGTTTGACTCAGAACATTCGATTTGTGTGTGATGGTGACCAATGGTGACTTGTGAATGCTTGCAACTCCACTATCTCTAAGCTTCTGTCTGCGTAATGCGATGTCTCCTGCCATTGTAGCAATTCTGGACGAAGCTCTCTCTGAAATTCTCTTGATTGCTTCCGCGACCTTTCCACTTCCATCAACAGCATCATATGTTCTCTCTTCCTTGACATAAAGATCCTCGGTATTCTCTCTCACAATGACCATATCAATTGGGTTGGCAGCTGTCATAACACTTTTGACGGGTCTAACATTTGCGTAAAGGTCGAGACGCTTGCGGAGTGCGACGATTGGGGAGGAATAGCCCTTGACAGCTTTTGAAGGAGAACTGACTGCACCAAACAAAGCTCCATCACATTCAGTTTTAAGAATTTCGACAGTTTTGTCTGGCAGAGCAGCTCCAGTCTCCTCGAAGGTTTGAAATCCAGCTTTCAAGTCAACAAACTCAAACTTCAATTTGAGGGAAGCTGGTAAGGCTTCAAGAATTCGTCTTCCTGCTGGAATTACTTCTTTGCCAATTCCATCACCAGGAATGAGACCTTAATGGACCAGTGAAACGTTAGTTTTTGTTTCAAAACATCAATTGATTTGGAAGTAAAAGAATAAACATATTTGAGTTTCTTCTTACCTATCCTCAAAGTTCTGGAAGCCATTATTTTTGACTTTGTTGACTTCTTGGTTTGCTTTGACCAAACTTTTGAAATTGATTGTGGTGGTGGTGGGTGGGATTCCCCCAAGGTTGACACTAACTTGCGAGATCGGTCTCCCGTGAATCTTTTGACCGACCCTCGGATCACCCTCTCTCGGCTATTCACACACTGGAATTGGGCATGTCTTGTCTATTGTCACACCTGTAGAACACAAGCAAACATTCATTCCCCTTTTATTTATTCACACACACCTTTTTTTCTTCTTCTCGAAACCCCCTCCCCCTCGTGTCTAGCTAGATACACACTAGGGTAGATAGATGAACATGTAGTGGATGGTAGATAGTACAATCAATGTAGATGATAGATACCCTTTCAGACATTCTCTACACGCTCTACACTCTCTTGTCTCTACCTGATTAGATTGGACTGTATGGTCAAGTCTACCCAAGTATCTTCATCAATAGTACTTCTCTACACCTGGCTCCTAGTACCCGCCAACCTATCTACCCTCCTACTTATCTACCCTCCTACTCCGTAGATACTTCTCTGTATCCAGATTGGTTTGGATTAGTACCCAGATGCCCAGTACTACCCATCTGCAAGTATGTATGTATATATGTATACAGGTATGTACGGTGTATCTTGTTATTGTTTCCCTCATGCTCTTTAGTGTCTATTCATAGTTTCAAATACCGGTACTAATAAATGCACGAATGCACAATCCAAACCATCACCTACATCACCTACCGAGCCTCCATGCCACCATGCCATGTAAATTGCAATATT